TTTTGTAAAATCCATACCATTTATAAATGTACAGAGAATAACATGAACAGTTACAAAAGTCATAGCGTCCATGTGGCACATTCTCACACGTGTAATATACAGGTATAATTTATAATATACGTGTTCGTGTATAATATAGAAGATAACGCGGTTACATACTGAACATATGTGTGTCGTTTTTTTTAAACACTTTTTCAAAGAACTACGCCGACCAAGCAAAGAGAAATGCAAAGTATGGTACACAGAACCTTTCGCGTGAAGGAATATACCCGACACAACTCGGCTTAGATGTTCTACACGCCATGAAAAACGAAGAATTCGTCGATTCTATACACTGTTTTTTTGAGCAGCGACAAAGCATTTGTAACTATAGAGAACTGGAATAATGATGCATCAGCGCAGCGAGGGTACTACATCGAGGTCTTCCATACTGAAAGGGCTCGGCGCACTCCTGTTTTAGCAACAGCAACCATGTTTTCTTGTTTTTATTTTTGACGTGTTCCGCCATTTATATGCCATCCCGAAACAAAATTAGCTCATTCAGAATGCAGTTGTTGGGTAGCGCAGACACGACGACAGTATGATCGCTATTGTGGGAGTAGATTCATCCGTCGTGCCTCTTGCGGCTGAGTTGAGAACTAAACCCACGGGGACAACAACCTGAATTTTGTTCTTTTGTGTTTCTGGCGCAGCGTTCGGGTGACGTAACAAAACACCTGGTCAGCGTTCGGCTAACACTCGCGTTTACTCGGTGAAGCACCGAGTGAGCCCGAGTCCCTACCAAACGCCTGCACGCCACTCGTGTCCAGTCACACTCCTGCGCTCGCCCGAGAAAGATGGCGTAAAGAATCCAGTCCGCAGGACTTCTGTTGGGTCGACACCGATCTCTGCGGAAAAGGGGTCGGACAAAGCGCCCCCACATGGTTCGCTCTCGTCGCCGTACACTTTCAGTGTTGAAGACTCTATGGTAGTTGGCGACGGGTGAGGAACGGGCATAACGAAAGTACAGTAGAAACACACGTGACATTGAAAACGTCTTTGGGATACACTGTGGGTTTTGTTCGTTTGTTGTAGCGTCGTCGGGCAGGCTGGCTGTGTCAGACAGTCCGGGATGTATGCACACGGGAAGGTTACGCGTGGAGTGATGAACTTGCGTTTCGTTAATCCGGTGCGCTACTCAAAGTTTTCTAATAGGCAATATTAATTGATTATTGCCTTCTTTCTCATGGTTGAAAGGCAGAAGGAAAGAGTGTCTGGGTTACTTCGAGGCAAGTTTACGTGGCTGAGAGGCTACCAAACATGATTAGAGTCGCTGACAGTTTAAGAAACGAAAGCCGTGGCACTGCATCTCACTATCTATCCACAGCCAATCAGACTGCAGCATCAGCCAATAAGAACGCCGAAGAACGAAGCGTGATCATATTAGGCCCCACCCCACGTTTCTTAAGATGCCAGTGACTATAGAAAGGTTAGTTACCTGCTTAGACACCGTTTTAACAAGTATGTTGGGCGTTTCACGAACCGGAAGTTCACACTGCGCAAGCGCTAACTTGTGTTTCTGTTGTTTCGATGAACAGGGCTTACAGCATGACGGGCAGAAGCTTGACTTCTACACGCGCAGTCAGGCACACGCAAACACACAGTGATACTTTGCGGACACGGGTAAGAGGTAAGCATAAACATGAAAGATTCATGCTTTGAAGTATTTGTTTGCACTCGCACTTGACCCATACGGTGTCCCATAAAGTTCCCTAGTACCTCGAGGGTCTTTTGTTTGTTCACAAAGCATGGAAATTGCAAATGTTGGTTAGACAAGTTCCTAAAAAAACACACACAAATGAAAGTTTCAGAATGACGACCGACGTTTTGCCGAGAAACTAAGGTACTCCAGGACCACAAATAAGTTAAGTCTTTTCGAGAAACAGCCGTTGCCAGCCCAAGCCTATACATAAACTTTTTTTTTTATCATTCTAAGACAGAAAAGGCAGTGAACATACTCAAAGAGGACCAGTGCGTTCTCGTCACACAAGCGTCACTGTTCAATAGGGCAGCTTTTTGCTTTCTGTTTTGCTCAGGTCGTGTTTCCTGTCGACAGTTTTAGACTTCTTTCCAAAGAATACTCATGCTCCTGCTAACGGTCCCAAGATAACCTGTGAATGTTCGGAGATGTGTCCTCTACGGAAACTTGAAGTCGTACGTACACGGAGGGAAGGAAGGCAACGTCAAGGGAGGGAGGCGAAAGTCACAATCAGAGAACGTTACGTAAAGCAAAACGAGCGGAAACAAGTGTGCTATGATATCGGACGCAATCTACGCCTAAACACACAGTATTCATGTAGTCTTGCATAAAACCACGAGATAAAGCCGAAACCTATGGAACACATCTACAAAATTTCGGGATACAATAGAGTGGCCGGTCATGGTAATAATGGCTTACCAGACAATATTTAAAAACGGGAAGTCTCGGGCTTTCAAGAAGGATAACCTAGAAGTACCGTTTTTTTCTGAAATAACACGATAGTAGCTGCAGAAAAAAAGATAATATTGTAGTGTGACATGTGATTCGCATGACGATGTAATGAAGGGTACAGTAATATCCTCATGATTAGTACACATCCTCATGTCTTGCCCTAAAGGAGCAGCAACACAAACAGAACTATGTCGAAGTTCCCTTGCATTCCGCTAAGAAGGACATCATCCTCTTACACAACCTACGCACACACAGCCAGATGAAACCTACGCCGCATAGAAAAGAAAAGCAAGGGGAATCACGCGTCCCAACGCTTGAGCAAAGAGCCTGTATCCAAAGGTCCTAAACGCAAGCTTATAAACACGCACTATGTCAGATTAGCTGCACTGTTGAAGGTTCCAAGAGCGTTTGGAGTGAGCTTCTGAGATGTCTAGCCATGAAATAAAACTCTTTCTCCGAGTAGGCTCATGAGGTCGATGAATGTACGGTACGTTTGTGTCTTTGGCGACTGTCTCTGAATAAATTGCTATTGTTGGTGGAACTAGATCGTCGACAGCAATCCATTTTCGGGTAGGAATTACCATGGGCTTTTGTGTTTCTATGTGGGTCTGTTACCAAACTTGGTAAAAGTGCTTAGTCTCTTGCAGTTCAAAAGTAGACAAGCTTCGTCAAGACATATGAATACTGTTTTTGTTAAACTGGAGAGATATAGTAAAAGACTTATGGAACGTTCCCATGAATGCTTCAGCAAGAGGAAATAATGTAAAAAAAGCTTAATTGATAGAGATTTCTTTTCATATAAGGTAATTCTGCTACTTTTTGGACGAGACACAAGTGAATTAATCATCTTAAACAGAATAAGAAGTAACCGCGAAGCTAAAGGTTTACATGAAATTTGACTCACAGATAGTGCAAGGAAAAAAATAACAGTGCGTTGTCTTTATCTTTGTTTGTTGTTCTTAATTGTAACAGGGGCCTGTAATACCATGGACCATAGCCGGCCTACTTTAGCTGTGAGGTTGACTACGAAAGGCGGTCAGATTATGGCATATTCTTTCATGGGTGATTCACATGACACATATGCGTGTGTCTTAGTACGTGGGCGAACACCTCAATCGTGCGCAACGTGCTTGCTTGTATTTTTTTAAACCTAGGAAATGAAAAGTACGGCTCAACGAGATATGGACACGTGGTTTCACAGGATGTACAAATGGCAGTGTGCGTTGCTTCACAATGACTGTCGCCACTTTCTGTCTTTGCTCTGGCGTCTGGGGCAGTCCTCGGGTTTTTTCTTCTTACTTTTGCAAGTTATGTCAAACACTAGGGTTTTCCAGTAGCTAAAAAGTAATGACTCTTGGTGAGAGGTTCTTTTTTTTTTACTGCAGTATTTGAAGCAGGGTCATGCTACCACGTAAGAGTAAATTCAACCCTCCTGGGTAGTTCCGGTGCTATAGAGTCCATTGCATCCATTAGCGCTTCTTTTGTTTTAGCATGCACGAGAAAATGTTTTCTGAACCCAATCGGCAAACCTCCAAAGTAAGAGGTGTGACGTTCAGTGCCCATAAACAAATCTATGTTATTACTTATAACCTGTATAAAAATGGGACTCTCGAGGTACAAAAGAGAAGCTGGTAAATGTGATGTTACACTTCATTGTACTAACACATTGTCCCGTTGCGAGTGGTTTTCCTTGATGAGAGTTAATTTTGCGCGTTGGGCAGGTTGATAATAATACAATTAAACACAAGTTTGTTCACAACGGCTTTGAATATTATTGGAGGCTCTACATCGATTTCAAACTTTCTATTGCGGTGTTAGATGTGGGCGCGTATTTGATTCTTAAGTTGGAAACAGCTAAGCGAATCGGGAGCCCTCTATACTGATTCTAACGTGTTTTAAAAACAGCATTCTTCCACACACGTAAATAAGTTTTAAGTTGGTCGCTTCATATCTTTTAGACATCATAGCCACTTCATAGTCTGTGAAAGAACAAAGACTGTGCCAAATTATTTTGGACCTTTTTGAGATCTTGTGTACTGGGATCGGTTGTTATTTTACCCTCTGAAGCTCTTCCTCTCAGCTCTGATTGGACTGGAGTAGATGAAAGAATTGCCCTTTCACCGCTGCTCTTATCGAGACCATCAAGTAAGCACTCCAATGCATGGCTTTCACTGATGTAACCTCAGCGGTCATTATGATGGCCTCGTGCTGAGCGCGTACCTTCAAGAGGATGCATTTCACACCACCAAATTAGCTTTTCTCGACAAAGAGAAGCTGAAATGACAACCAGCATAATCCGATGACGTCTGGTGCAAGCCAAGCACCGACAGTCAACTCCGCGGGACAACTTCGGACCACCCGATCACCCCAGGACAAGCACGACAGCCAACCGAGTACCTCCAGTCTTCTACTCGGGAACCACATCTCAAAACACAAAGTGGAGAGTGTCCACAGAAGCCATAACCGTCTACGACACGAGTTGCAAAAGAAAAAGTGCCGGAGGAACGGCCTTTGGCAGCTGTCATCGAGCTTAGACTTCCGAACTCTCGTAACCACCTTTGGGGGATTCCATGGGACTATGGTCGATGGACTTGATCTCAGGGTGGTTCTCTAGGGGGTTCACGGCTAGCGGCACGATGCGGTCCGCCGTGACGTCGCGCGTTATGCCCTTGGTGTCGTCCACGCTGTCGGTCAGGTTCTCGACGTCCGCTATGGGCACCTTGACCACGTCGTCCTCGTCCTCCTCGCCGACCTCTTCGATGGTCTCGTCGGCGCCGCCTGGGTAGCCGCCGTCGCCGCCTCCGTGCTCGTACATGCCTCTGCCAGGGTTGCCTGGCTGCAAGAGCTGCGTTTCCACCCCTTCTTCCTGCAAAACGATTGGGGGTACTCATATGTCGTCATCAGCACGAGTTGTGGGTAAAGCAACTTATGATTTGCCATCAACAACAGTTTTTGTCGGTATGAAAGGAATTTTTGGATCGCTCGCTGCCAGCACCTGGTCAGCCGCAAAGCACACAGCTATGGCCACCAGTGATTACATGACTTGCACTGAGGTCACATCAGCAGCCATTGGGGCGGCCTTGCTGCTGAGTGCGTCCATTCTGCGGCATACATCTCGGACCCCCGCATTTAGTTTTCTAGGGGGAAACAAAGTGGAGTTGAACCAGAACGGCCACCAGCATTTTTGAAAGTAGTACGTATTATCATTCTGGCACCACGGGCAAGCAGGTCAAAAGTAGACGTACTATTGCGGACAGTATGAGCTGAGACAGTCCTGCATCCTTTTCTGGTGTACCTGGCAGTTTCTGATTTAGCTGTGGCCCGAACTGGAAATCGAATTCGAAGTTGAGATTTCCCACTTCGGAATATTTAACGAATTGGGATATTCTAGAGCTTGTGAAAACCGCACACAGAGAAAAAAAAAAACGGATCGGGTGTTTTATTTTATATTGTCCGCAGCGGTACAGATCCGTTTAGAGCGCAGCTCTTAGGCCAACGTTCCCGGGTTGAGCGGCGTTGGCGTCGACGTCGGTGGAACCGCGCGCGTGTCAGGATTGGTAGTTTTTTTCGCTAAACTTAACGGGGAAAGTTTTACACTAAGTTTCGCGGGAAATTTTACCGCTAAAGCTAGCGGGTTTAGCGGGAATTGTGTGGTTTGCGGCTGTCCAGGTGCTGGCAGCAAGCGATCCAAAAATTCCTTTCATTTTAGCGGGAAAAGTGTCCCGCTGAATATAGCCAAAATTCCCCGCTAAATTTAGTCGGGAATCTTCTCGATAAAGTTCGAAGGAAAATTTTCTGCCGAAGTTTACGCTTTAAGTTTCCCCTCTAAATTTAGTGGGGAAATTGACGTCACGTGAACTCCACCAATTCAACTTCCCCGCTAAATTTAGCGGGTAAAATGACGTCGCGACTTCGTGTCACGTCACCCACGAACAAATTCAGCGGCAGGAGGAGAGGAGGAGGAAAGGAGGAGGAGAAAAAAGGAGGAGGAGGGAAGGAGGAGGGGGAAGAGAGGGAGAGGAGGAGGGGCATACCCTTCCCTCGTACCCTCCCTCCTCCTCCTCAAGAGCTGCGCTCTAGTTTCGCATTAGAGAGTTGTAAGCGTTTTTAATGTTTTTTCCACTTTTGATTGCTGCCTTGTATTTTATATATTCACTTCTCCTTTCTCTATTTATTCCTTCTTTCCCCACCTTTAGGTTCACCCCAACTACACCTATACGCTATCCTTTTCTTTAACACTCCTTCTTTTTGTCTTTCGCTACCTCCGGATATTATGAGAGGAGGACTCTAAGAACTCTAAGAGGATTACCCCCCCCCCCCCCCCCCCCTCCACGGCTTGCGTTGAACCGCGGCTCTATGGCGGTCTTACATTCCTTTTTCTCCGCTGTGCCGGTTTCTTTCCGTGGAGAGTTCTTTATTTTAGTCAGTGTTCCGACTTTTGTTTTCAGTCTCTTGAGAGTTCTAAGAGGCGAAAACTCCTCCACAAAAGCAAAATGTTACAAACCGACGTTCGCTTTGCCCTTTTCACTTCCGCTTGATGCCTATTTTTTATATTCTCCATCCCTTAATCTTTCTTATCCCGAGATATTTGGTTTCTCCTTCCAACCTTTCTCTTCTGAGCGCAGATAGCGCAGGCACGCTGAGCATTGTTCTCCTCCATTCCGCTCGTCTTTCCTTTATTCAAAGATTGGGAGAGGGGGACGCAAAGAAAATTGTCTTCCTTGAAGAAAAATGGGGTTCTGGATGCGCATCCAAGAAGTGAGCACAATTCGCGCATCCGCAATACTATTCATTTCTGAGTCGCAGATGCAGTTGTCTTCCCTCATTCATTAGTCATCTACTGATGCTATTTTGTGACCGTGATAACTTTTGTGAGTTACGTTCGGCATTGATCTTTTCTGAGTGACTAGAACGGCCCGCCGGCTCCGAAGTCCAATGTGCGATAAGGCTTTTGAACGAACGGCTAAGGCTCACGCACATCTGAAATTGCTCGCTATGTACCAAACACTGGTTAGGTGCGCCCTACCTTGATTTGTTCGCCGTCCTTTTCTTTCTTCTCTTTCTTCTTCTTTTCCTTCTTGGGCTTGGGTTCCTTGGGCTCCTTGGGTTTCTTGGGCTTCTTGGCCTTCTTGGGCTTCTTGCACCAGACTTCGGCGATGGCGACCGCTATGGCGATCAGTAATCCCGCTCCCAGGAGCACAAACCAACCGCCGACCTTGATCACCTCCAGTGCCTTGACTTGGGTCAACTGCGATTAGCAAGAAATGACGATGATGCATGCACTGACAGTAGGATTGTAGAGTCATGTCACACGTTAGTTTCGAACAGATTTTTATTCAGTGTCTTTTTTAAAACGGCGGATTTTAAGGGGCTCTTTCCCCTTAAAGATATACAATAGAATGTACTTAGGCGAAGGCAAAAAATCCGAGTTCATAACTTTGATCAAAGCGCCTGCATTGGGTGTTCCGCCACTCATGTCGGCAATGCGGCGTGAAAGGTACATGGGTACGATAATTCTAAACTTGAAGGCACGGAAGGTCTTCCCGGTATATGAGTGTATGGAACCTATAAATGGTAACACGAAAAAAACAAAAAAAAAAACAACTCCTTGTTGATTTTCCCACAGTAGGCGAGAAGGACCAGGTGTTTCTGCTCATAACGTGCATCCAGTAAATTGCAAAAGGCGCTTTGACAGGGAAGTTCAAATTGAACAGTGGAAATGAGCAAGCAGAACGTCCCGCTCATTTCCTAGAGCACTTATATGGTAAAATGTTTCTGCACCTTCTTTATGCTAGACCTATTCCAAGATTCATAAATAAGATTGATTAGTCTGACGCGTATTTTATGCAACAGCAGACACACGCGAATTTTTAAATGACGCCACGAGTGACAGAAAAGACAAGGCCAGCACAACATAGCAACTGGTATCTGAAAAGCGGTAACATCCACCATTCTTTTTGTGCATGAGTCTCTGTACTCTATGTGACGTTAGTCTACGGTGAGCAAAATAAACGTAGACAGTACTCACAGGTCGAGGCTGTGGACATTCTTCTTTCTTGAACCATTTGTTGTACAGCATGGTTAGGTATTCGTCTTCCTGAAGTCTGCCAACTGTGACGTCAATTGTTTTTCTGAAAGGACACAGCAAAGCCGGGTTTGTTAACGCGTGATACCTGACGATGGTTCGTAAATTTACGCCTGGAACTTCCGAGGTTATGCTTCCCCCCAACAATACCACTATTCTGCCAAAAGGTGGAGTTAGCGTGGCAGCGTTGTTGTAACGTGTTTCTCACAATTTGTGAACTGCTCTTATGCTTGTGACGCAGATCAACAAAAACAAATCCTAAACAACAAAGGTGTGCAGCCTCCACAAACGAACGAGCCCGCAATTTGCGTGTAGTGGCTTCAGACACGTCGAACAAAAATCTGGAGTCAAGAAGTTTTCGCAGCTCGCCTATCGACTTTGGCGACGAAAGCGCGGCGTCATCGTCGCCAGAATATAATCAAAGCGCTCCGTTAGCTTAGATCCGAGCTTTCGGGTCGACGAGTCTAGGGACCCAGTTATAAAAATGCGGACGATCCAGAGGCGTAAACGGGATTCACGAGCTAGGAAGCATCAGAAAAGGTTACGTTCTGGTTATGGTCCCTTTTCGTGATGTCATCACCAGGATAGTCAATTGCGAACAACTAGCTTGACAATGCGAGTAAAAAACACGGTTGAAGCTTGAAGTCAACGCTTTCTTAAACGAACACCACCAAAGTTTAAAGTCTGATATTACTCTTATTCCCACAGATGAAAACAGTAATAACTTCATCTAATCATCATCACCCATCACTTCCCCCCTCCGTCATTACTCTGCCTACCCTGAGGCCCCCAGCCAGAAGGCAGGTGTCGACTAAGCCTATTATGATGATGAGAATTAGTCCTACTCATGACATCGTGGTAAGCGTTTGAGCAATCGTGAAATACAAAATTTAGCGACGTTTTTCGTCGGGCACGTCACCAATTCCATTTTTTGACTGACGCCTTCAAAATAAAGCACGATCTCCAATCGAAGTAGATTTTATTTTTTAGTTTTCTTCGTTTAGGGTCCCTTTACGAATTCCCTGTACGGGGAATCTGGCCACCGCCATGCCGCTGCTCGTGCGCGCAAGCACATGCAATTTCAAGGCTGCCAAAAAGTAGCTTCATAGGCATGCTGCACATGCCTGCTCGCATGGTGCACTAGCGGCGATGCCATGCTTATAAGGAACCTTTTTGCACATAACGACGACACCAAGCGAGGAAAGCGCGAACTACGGTTACCGTCCAGAAGGGGAGGAGTTGCGCTACCTCTTCTTCCTCCTTTTCCTTCGCGGGGGGAGGCGCGGAAGAAACCGGAGAGCTAGCACAACTCCGCTTCGGGACGCCAAAAGTAGTACTTCGACCTTTTGCCGCTGCGTAAGGAGCGCCCGCGCATGCGTAGCGCTCTTTAAAAAAAGTCTACCGTATCTCAGAATACGTCGCAAACGCGGGGTAGTGTCTTACTTGAGCGGGAACTTGTGCGACATGACAATGCCGTAGCCTCCCTTCTGGAACGTGTCTCCGAGCTGAGCGAGGTCGCAGGGCGCCTTGGCGCTGGAGTACTCCAGCTTGCGAGAGTCCAACACGAAGGCATAGTTGCCCCCGGACTCGCGGACTCTGAGCACCCCGTCCTCGTGCGTGTTGGCCATGGCGTTGTTGAAAGAAGCCATGGACTCCCACATCCGGGAGTAGATTGGGTCTCTGGTGCGCTGTTGGTTGTGGACAAGAAGCGCGACAAGGGAAAAAAAAAACAACAACTTCGTATTGTAATTTCTTTTATTTTTGCTATAGACAGGTGGGAAAATTCAGTAGTAGCTCTACCTCCTGCTCGAATAATCGTGTCGTGCGTTTTTTTTTTTTTTTTTTTTTTATTCAGCGGGAAGTTATTCAGCCCCAATGGGCGTCTGGTGCAGGGCAGTACCCCTGCTTGTCTGGAGTCTTTAAAGTGGATTATGTATTAGTGACACCGGAGTGCTGGCCGAAACGACGCTCATCCTCACCAAAACGGACAGGGGTGGAGACTTCTAAACGGGTTTTGTATCGGAAGGCCTCCCACTTGAAGTTTCTGCCTTTAATGACACTTGGACGCACGCGCAGTCATAGCACGGTGGAAGGCAACGAGCGCGTGCTGGAAGCCGAGCTTCTACTGAATTCTTCTGAATTCTTAGCATGTCACTAACTATCCATCGTGAGAGGGGGGGGGGGGGGAGAACAAAGTAAGACAGATAAGAACTGATGATGACACACACACGCGGGCGAGTAGTCAATATAAGCACCGTAGCGAGTTCTGGAGGTCCTGTTGCGTGCGCTGTCTTGTATGTGTGTCGTACGCAGACACTTTGCGCTTTGTGCGTCTCATGCATGTCGCACTGCTCATGCATTATACAAAAGACGGTCTGCAAACACCAGTCACCGCAATATCCTTGGTTTGAATGCCACGTGCCAAGTTTATCCTCGAACTCATTGCTCTACGGCATTCGAAACACGGACCTCGCAGTGACTCGCGTTGGGATCTCTATACAGACTGCCTTTGGCATGATGTATAAGCGATGTGACCCTTGCTTTAGAGTAAAGGCGCTTCCGCCATCTTGATGCATAAAATTCTTGACTTATTATATTCATGCTCTCGGTTCTTCGGGGTTGTGATTCGCTAATCCGGAACCTCACTGGCCGCGGGGTAACTTTGAGATAGCCGGCATCGCTACGCCCTACGTTTCTTAACATGTTAGTGGCAATAGATTGTGTTCTCTCACGTGCAGAAGAAAGAGTAAACGCAATGTCGATACATTGAGTTCATAATAAAAAGAGCCCGATAAATCACCTAAAGAAAATACGAATAATATGCCTTTTATACTTTCTCAGCCCTTCGTATTATTCGATTTCACGATATTGCCGCGCGCAGGGTCACGGACTTGTAGAAAGTTCTCGTTTACTCTTGCTGCGGACATAACTATCGTTCATCCCTGTTTTTGTTGTTCTAGAAAGTGCTTGTTCATTCTCGCCCCGAGCGCGCTACGCTCGAATCTTCTCCGCCGAATCTTCGAGATACTGACTCACTCTAGATAAGAGGCCGCCCGCGACCTTGTCGAGTCAGTCTCGCCCCAGCGCTCGATTCTGCTGACACGCCGACTTCGACGCCCGCGACGCTCTGCTTTCTTCTGTTTCCTTCTTTATTTTTGGCACAAGTTCGCCACATTAAACGTTTATTTATTTCTGTTTATTTCTTGTTTATTGGTCACGACTCACCACCCGTGACATTCTGGTGGAGGTGCGGGGTACCGCATGCCCGTGCAGCGTTCCCCTCCCAGGACCCGCAGTGCAAGCCCGACTCCAAGCTCGCTGAGAAGACCACTCAGCGCGGAACCTGAAACTCGGACCAGCCGCCGCACCAAGGGAGAGGATCCGGAGTACGGTTTGCTGCTGGATAAACCCAAGCCGAGGAAGACGACGATGGACAACCAGTCGCAGGCCCCCGCCGCTCCTGCCGTCGTCTACCTACCCGTCGCTCCTCGGACACCGGCTCCGTTCCACGGCGAACTCCACGAAAACGTTGAAGATTGGATCGACCAATTCGAACGCGTCGCCCGCCACAATAGCTGGACCAACGAGCAACGGCTGCAAAACGTGTATTTCTCGCTCGAGGGGACTGCCAGAAGCTGGTACGAAAATCACGAGTCTTCATTGACATCCTGGGACATTTTCAAGAGCCAGCTGAAGGCGACATTTGTCAACCAGCACCGCCGAGAGAGAGCCGAAGACTTACTGCGTACCAGGACTCAAGGCCCCAACGAGAGCATCACCGGCTTCGTGGAGGATGTTCTCCGCCTAAGCGCCCGCGCCGATCCTCAGGCTACCGAGGAGAAGAAGCTGCACCACCTGATGAGGGGTGTGAAAAGCGAGATTTTCGGCGGTCTCATCCGGAATCCCCCAACAACAGTCGACGAGTTCATCACCGAGGCGACAAATATGGAACGGGCCTTGCTAGCCCGCGCCAGACACTACCAACGACACCCTGGCGTAACTACTCTAGCGACATCTGGATCCGACCTGGGCACCACCCTCCCCGACATCCGTGACCTTATCCGTGAAGCCGTCCGGGAGGAGTTGAAGAAGTTGCTACCTGCTGCCACAAGCCTAGATAAGCCCTCAGTCGCCGAGATTGTCCGGGAAGAACTTCAGCAGGCGCTACAGCCAGAAGTTCTCGCCAGCGCCGCTCCTGAACCACCGAAGCTGAGCTACGCCGCAGCTACCCGACGACCACCGCACCCTGCTCACCCGTATACGGCGCCACCTCGACGTGAATCTCTAGCGCCGCAGTATTCACGACGCCATGAAGATCGGGCGTACGTCCGCCCAGAACAATCTGCTCCACGAAAGACCGACGTGTGGAGGACGGCCGATCGACGCCCGTTGTGCTACCACTGCGGGGAGGCCGACCATATCTACCGTCGTTGTCCCTACCGGCAAATGGGCCTGAGTGGGTTCCACCCGAACGACCCACGCCCGAGGTACGACCCACGCCCGAGGTACGGCGAACGCCCTCACGACATCGAGGAGTACCTCCGACGTTCCCCCTCCCCAGTGTCGTCACTCCGCCGTGAAGCCCGCTCCCCATCGCCACGACGTTCAGCCTCCCCAGCGCCACGATCCCGCCGAGAGAGCCTGTCTCCCCTGCGTCGTCGGGAAAACTGAGTGCGGCAACGCCTGGAGGTGACGTTGCCGAAACCGACGGAAGCAAACAGCCTACAAAAACGCCGGAGCGCTCCCACTCTCTCGACGCCCCGCATTGCACCGACGCGCCTGCAACGGTGTCCAACAACCTAAACGTTGTTATCGATGGCCAAAACGCATCGGCACTCGTTGACACCGGGGCAGACTACTCAGTATTGAGTGGGAGGCTCTCTCGCCACCTTCGAAAAGTCACGACGCCGTGGGATGGACCGCAGATACGAACCGCCGGAGGACACCTCATCACGCCTGTCGGAAGGTGCACCGCTCGCGTCGAAATTCACGGCGAGACGTGTCCTTTGAAATTCGTCATTCTACAAGACTGCTCCAGAGACGTCATTCTCGGCATGGACTTTTTGTGTGAATACGGCGCCGTCATCGACCTTGGAGAAAACAGATTGACGCTGCGGACACCTGTTCCGCCTTCAGAGAAACTCCAAACTGCGTCAGCCGCCGTCCGAGTCGCTGCCGACCACGTGAATCTGCCGCCGCGATCAAGTGTTGTCGTACCTGTCGTGACCGATGCAGCTACCCGTAGCGAAGTTCTTCTGGAAGGTAACCTCCAGTTGCTCCTGGGAAGAGGAATAGGCGTCGCACGAGGAGTAGCTGAACTTCAGGATGGCCGCACTGTGGTCCTCGTGACGAACTTCCGGAATGAAACGCAACACCTCACGAAAGGTGCAGCCGTTGGCCACGTCGAGGATCTCCGAAACTCCGTCGAAATCGCCGCCATTACTGATGAATCCTCGCCACCTCAGCAAGACGGTACGTCGCCAGCGAAACTCGACATCGACCCTAAGCTTCCGGACCCAAAACGACGGCAGCTGATGAACCTCCTCGCCGAATACCGTGACTGCTTTGCGACGTCGTCGAAGGTACGCCAAACAGCCGTTGCGAAGCACCGCATCATTACCGAGGACGACGCGCGCCCTGTGCATCGATCACCGTACAGAGTCTCCGTTAAAGAAAGGGAGGTGATCCAGGAGCAAGTTCAAGAGATGCTGAACGACGACATAATCCAGCCATCAAGCAGTCCGTGGGCCTCTCCAGTCGTACTGGTTAAGAAGAAGGACGGAACGCTTCGGTTCTGCGTGGACTACCGGCAGCTGAACGCGGTGACGAAGAAAGACGTCTACCCACTCCCCCGAATCGACGACACGTTAGACCGGCTGCGCCACTCTCGATACTTCTCATCGATGGACCTGAAGAGCGGCTACTGGCAGATCGAAGTCGACGAACGGGACCGAGAGAAGACAGCTTTCGTCACGCCGGATGGGCTGTACGAGTTCAAGGTAATGCCCTTCGGACTATGTACGGCGCCAGCAACTTTCCAGCGTGTTATGGACACCGTACTGGCAGGACTGAAGTGGCAGAGCTGTCTGGTCTACCTCGATGACGTCGTGGTGTTTTCCAGCGACTTCGACGAGCACTTGCGACGACTCCGAGCTGTTCTTCAAGCCATACGGACCGCTGGACTCACCCTCAAGCCGTCAAAGTGTCGGTTCGCCTATGACGAACTGAAGTTTCTAGGTCACGTGGTTAGCAACAAAGGCGTGCGCCCAGACCCTGAGAAGACTCGCGCCGTCGCGTCATTTCCAGTGCCGACAGACAAAAAGGCAGTGCGAAGATTCCTCGAACTTTGCGCCTACTATCGTCGCTTCGTTCGGGATTTCGCACGGATTTCCGCACCGCTCACAAACCTCACGAAGGACGCCGAGAGGTTCGAATGGGCCGAGGAACAGCAGCAGGCATTCGACGAGCTGAAGCGACGACTCCAGACGCCTCCGGTTCTTGGACATTTCGATCAGGATGCGGACACCGAGATTCACACTGACGCAAGTAACGCAGGACTTGGCGCGGTACTAGTTCAAGTACAAGAAGGCACCGAACGAGTCATCGCCTACGCAAGTCGGACTCTGTCCAAGGCAGAGAGAAATTACTCGACGACTGAGAAAGAATGCCTTGCGGTCGTCTGGGCAATCACGAAGTTTCGTCCGTACTTGTACGGAAGCCCGTTCCGCGTAGTCACGGACCACCACTCGCTCTGCTGGCTTGCGAACCTCAAGGACCCGTCAGGACGCCTCGCTCGATGGAGCCTTCGGCTACAAGAGTTCAACATGACTGTGGTTTACAAGTCAGGACACAAGCACAGCGACGCTGACTGCCTGTCCAGGGCCCCTGTCGAAACACCTTCCGGCAGCAGCGACGACGATGATGACGAGTGCTTTCTAGGGGCAGTGAACACCGATGACATGGCACGACGTCTACGAGACGATCCGGAGCTGCGAGCCTTAATCGAGCACCTGGAAGGGCGCGGCGGTACCGTACCCCGTGTTTTCTCACGAGCCGTGCCGACCTTCACCATTCGGCAAGGTGTACTCTACAAAGAGAACTTCGGGAACAACAACTCGCCGTGGCTGCTGGTAATACCGACCGACCTTCGAGGGGAGATCTTTCAAGCATGTCACGACGACCCGACGTCCGGACACCTTGGATACAGCCGGACACTGGCCCGTATTCGTGAAAAGTATTACTGGCCCAAGCTCCCCAAGACCGTCCACCTGTACACACGATCATGCTACGAGTGCCAGCGACGCAAGAAACCTCCGACGAGGCCGGCCGGACTCCTGCAGCCTATTTCTCCTCCAACTGCACCCTTCCAGCAGATCGGAATGGATCTACTTGGTCCTTTTCCGCCTTCGACGTCGGGGAACCGCTGGATCATCGTCGCCACAGATTATCTCACGCGGTACGCCGAAACGAAAGCTCTTCCTTCGGGGACTGCTGTGGAAGTTGCCAAGTTTTTCATTGAGTCCATCGTCCTCCGGCACGGCGCTCCAGAAGTTCTGATTACAGATCGCGGATCATCGTTCATGGCACAACTGACCCAAGAAATCCTCCGACTCAGTCACACCAGCCATCGTCGTACAACTGCGTACCACCCGCAGACCAACGGGCTGACGGAGCGACTCAACAAGACAATCGCCGATATGATCTCTATGTACGTCGACGTAGAGCATAAGACGTGGGACGAGGTGCTGCCCTACGTCACGTTCGCCTACAATACGGCGGTTCAAGAGACCACTGGATTCACCCCTTTCCAGCTGGTACATGGTCGGAAGGTAACGACCATGCTGGACGCGATGCTGCCCCATGAGCCATCTGACAACGAGAGCGACGACGCCCAGGCGGTTGCTCAACGCGCCGAAGAAGTTCGCCAGCTCGCCCGACTCCTGATTCAAGACCAGCAACGCGTCGACGCCGGCCGCTACAACCTTCGTCGCAGGGACGTCCACTTCCAGCCCGGAGATAGGGTGTGGGTATGGACGCCCATCCGTCGCCGCGGCCTCAGTGAGAAATTGCTGAAACGATACTTTGGACCCTACAAAGTGCTTCGTCGCCTCGGTAATCTTAACTACGAAATCCTCCCCGACGGAACGCGCCCATCTGCAAGACGTCAGCCGCGACCCGAGGTGGTGCACGTCGTCCGGCTGAAGCCGTATTACGAACGATAGAACTTTCCACTCTCGTCGACGGGTGAACTGTGAACTGCGGCTCGCGATTCTGCTGCCTTTTCGTTTTGGATTTGTTTTTGTTTGTTGTTTTTCGTTTTGTGCTGCATCGGGACGATGCACTTTTTAAAGGGGGGATAATGCCGCGCGCAGGGTCACGGACTTGTAGAAAGTTCTCGTTTACTCTTGCTGCGGACATAACTATCGTTCATCCCTGTTTTTGTTGTTCTAGAAAGTGCTTGTTCATTCTCGCCCCGAGCGCGCTACGCTCGAATCTTCTCCGCCGAATCTTCGAGATACTGACTCACTCTAGATAAGAGGCCGCCCGCGACCTTGTCGAGTCAGTCTCGCCCCAGCGCTCGATTCTGCTGACACGCCGACTTCGACGCCCGCGACGCTCTGCTTTCTTCTGTTTCCTTCTTTATTTTTGGCACAAGTTCGCCACATTAAACGTTTATTTATTTCTGTTTATTTCTTGTTTATTGGTCACGACTCACCACCCGTGACAATATAAGGATGATTGATACCGAGTAGTTAAACCTGCTGAAGTGCGTGCTTAGCGATTCTCTACGCCCAACTGTACGCATAGCGGCTAACGATTTCCGAAACATTTCTCGACAATAAAAGTGCATCGTCACGCTCGCTCGTACCTTGAAGAAATCCTCGATGGCCGAGTCCTTCACGATTCCGTATTCGATCTTCTCCTGCGTGGCGAGGTCCTTGATGTCCTTGAGGGGCCCAGACGGGGCACTGAACGGCTGGTTGACCCACAGCTGGGCCGTGTACATCGAGAGCATCACCAGAACGAAGAACCACCAACCGCAGCTGATGATACGGCTGCCAACGGACCTGCAGTCAAATCACAGGCATGTATAGGCGAGCTTCCTCCCCCCTCCCCTTTCAACTCTTTCTCCCCAAAAATCAAATGCACCACAACTACAGTGCTATATGTTCTCAGGTTGTTTATGTTAAACATTTTTGAGGTACTTCAAAAGGGCAGTCACCGGCTGGTAGCCGAGCAGAAAATAGAGCGCGCCTCGGTGTGCAAGTCAGTTATTCAGACACAAGCACTCTACGGAATTTGGTGTGTCTACTTTCCCCGCAAATCATTTGGGAGAGCCAATTGCTGTTATCTACGGAGTGCACCCGGCTCACGATGTTCACGCTTCCTGCTTCGTGGTCCGTTCTTCGGCGATCTTATTGGCTAATGGCACACTCTCGCTGGAAAGTTGAAACGGAGTGATAATGAAATCGTTGAGGGGGATTTCGTCAGTGACTGAACCGCCTTGAGGCCTCGAGGAGGTTTCTTTTAAGCCCTCATTAGTTGTTTCCTCATCATAGCGGTCGCGCGGTGCTAATACATGATACAAAAGACACTGTCTGAGGCATATTTTTTCTTGTACGACGGTCCCGTCACATTCCTTATACAAAAATAAATGTATCGCAAATTTTCGTGTTGTTACGTGAAACGTTCTTGGTTCAGGGCTAGTAACCTCCAGGCATTTTTTTCTCGGGCTCTGCCTCCAGGATTCTCCGCTCCTCTCCAGCCCACCGACTCCAATCCATGAACTCCACCGAGCCCTCTCCATCTCACTGACACCTCTCCACCCGATTGACTCATTGATCCATTTACTCCTCTCCACCCCGTCGACTCCATCCACTCCTCTCCACCAGGTGGACCAATCAGCGGTTAGATTTAGTTGAGCACTAGTGACCTCCGGGCAGTTCTTCTCGAGCTGTGCGTCGAGGACTCTCCACTCCTCTTTACCCCGCTGACTCCACCCACTCGTCTCCACTCCATTGCCCGTTAAATTTAAGAGGGGGGAATGAAGTGACACTGCTTGATGTACATGACCTACAAACAAATTCACTTTTCTCGCTAAATTTTCACGATACGTTTAGCGGGAAAATTCGCGGTTACGCTTTTTTAGGCTTCACTTAATCTGAAAACCTAGCCTAAAAACGCTCCACCTAAAAAAAGACATCTTTCATCGTGTCTGTAGCGTCCACCGTGTCTCTTGTATGATGGCCTTAGACTATGGACATCTGGTTGAACCACGTACTTGGGTCTACAGTTGTTGCACTCCTCAGCCATGAAGGCTCCGAGGGAGTACCACAGCGAGTTGTACAGGTGGCTGCAGGCTCCGGGCGGCTGACGCGGAGGTGTGGCCACGGCCAGGTTGATCCGGTTGACCACAAACAGCACGATGGAGACGGCCACGTACGCGGCCAGCAGGCAGAGCCAGATCTCCCACGAGAGGGGCCTCAGGAAGCTGAAGACCGTGAAGACGCTGATGGTCTCCCGCGGAGGGGCCTTGGCCAGGACACCGTAGCCCGTGGTCATGAACGGCTCGGTGAAGTAGACGGCCTTGCTTCGTTCGGCGGTGATGGTGATCGGTGCGACGGCGATGTCTGCGTCCTGTTACCAGGACCGCATGAAGAGCGCGAGAGAGATGCCGAGAAAATAAATACGAAGCTTCACGCCACTATTGGCACGTCTGTTGCAGTGTTTTCTGAATCGGTCTACTACTCCTTGCAGGTGTACTGCTGAAAGCCTGGCATGTTGTTTCCATACTTTATTTCTTGTTCTTTAACTTTTAAGTGTGACTTTGAAGTGAACTTCTAACTTTAAACCTTTAAAGTACGAAAAAAAAAAAAAAAACTCCGCGCTGGGCTTTTTGTGCTGTTCCTTTTCAAGTTATTCCTACCATCTTCGATTGCCCATGGGTTTTGTATCACCTTTGAGTGCAGAACGGGATTGTATGATTGCTCGAATTCTCGGCAAGAAAAGGAACCCATATTAAGTTTAGGGGCATGTTTAACGAGGGGCGCATACTTATAGCTGGTTCACACATACATCGCAGCGCTAAATCAACACCAGGGACAGCGGTGATGCAGCGCTGACTTGAACGTAACTTAGCACCGATGCACTGCCGTAACGACATTGGATCACTAATATAGCGCGAAATCAGCGCTGCATTAGCAAAGTCAACATTCTTTCCAGCGTTGACTAATAGCGCTGATGTAGCGCTGAAGTGTATGTAGTAACAGGTCTTTTCATTGGCATTGTCCTCCAAATATCTAGATATATATATGTAATCCTGTAGACTGGGCAAGGCACCGAAAAGAAAACACAAAGCGAATCTTGAAGATGCTTGTTGTGTCGCCATTTCTTCTGTGGTTAAGTGCCTATTGTAAACAAGCTCGCATGCATTCTTGCTTTAATAATAATAATAATCAAGAATCAAGAATAGTTTTTATTTGTGCCCAGGAACAACCTTGCGGTTTTGGTGCTGGCGCACGTAAAAAACTAATAATACTAACTAATAATAATAATAATAATAATAATAATAATAATAATAATAATAATAATAATAATAATAATAATAATTGTTTATTGCTACCAGCAAAGAAAAGTTTGGTATTGCGGATGCATCAAAGCCAACAGGTGGCTTGTGCGACGCCATCCCCCAATAAAAAAAAAACACGATATGTAGCATGGGTAGTTACGGAAAATACAATAATATAAAACAGACAAAAAAGAGAAATGTAAACATAATTCCATGAAGTTAGTCACTCTAGTTATAACTTGAAGATTTTACGCGAAAAGATATTATGCACAGACTAAAACGGAAATCAATAGCAATGTCAAAGCAAAATGAAGTACCACAAAACTGGAAAATATGCGAAAAAAAAGTCACGGAAGGTCTTCTGTTAAAATGTCCTACAAACAGCAGAATATTAATTAATGTTCCAGAAAGGCAGGTGCTTAAAAGTGGCGCACATTAGTAAGCAAAATGAGTCTACAATAGTTCGCTACTAAAACGAAACCAATAGTTCGCTTTTAAAACGAGATACCTCTAAGCACCTTTTTAATTTTGCTTAAGGATGTTTGGTTTAGAAGTTCAGGTGGTAAGTGAGAAAAAATATATGGCACATAAAGCGCACGCGTACTTTCGCCATAACGAGTGTGGGAAAGAGGTATGTGAAAGGGTGCGTATGTCGAAGATCATGTGAGGGTGGACTTAAGATTTTGAAATCAGAATTCCAAAAGTACCGCAATACCACTGAATGAACATAAAGGGTTTGAAAGTTGGGCAGTTGCAAATATTCGAAAAGATTAGCGTTGTCAGGTTTAAGTTTATAAGATATACTTTTCAGGATAGCTTTCAGGATACAGTCCAGTTTGGTTTTCCAATAGTCAGAAGAATGGCCGAAAACGGTGATGGAGTAGCGAAGGACGCTATATGCAAGCGAATGGGCAATCATTCTTCGAACAGATACAGGAAAAAAATATTTTGTATTATATAATAGGCAACTAATGCTTCTCAGTTTTTTACAGATGTATGTAAAATGAACATTCCATTTCAGACCACTATCAAAATATATGCCTAGATACTTCACGCTATCTGTATACTCAACCGGACTGCAGTTACATTGATGGCGAAAGAAGAGTGCAGAACTAATGGAATGTTGAGAGTGACTGTTTTGAGTGGATTATAGAAGCATACTAGTTTTTTCTTTTTAACATTAATATAAAGAAGTTTTTTTTTTTGAACCAGTCCATAATTGCTATTGCTTGAGATTGCAACTGGCTGATGGAATTGGCATAGTTGATGTGTTGGGTCATAATTACAGCGTCGTCCGCGTTTAATAATAATAATAATAATAATAATAATAATAAGTCTTTATGATTCAGCACCATTGAACCATAAAACTAGTAACATTTAGTTTTGGAAAAGATTTGTAGTTCGGAGATTAATCAAAGTGAGTGTACCTTACGAAGGATCTCCCCGATCATGCCGTTCCAACCGGACTGTGACGAGATGTCCCGGGATCCGTACTTGTTGTCCTTGACGAGCCGAATGGAGTACTCGTGGCCTATCGACCTCATCATCTTGTCGATGAGGTCCTTGCAGTATCCTTGAAGATTGTCCTCGTTGTCGCTCGTGTCGTTTGGGTTTTTGTACATCATGAAGGGTGGTTCCTAAAGAACACCCGAGGCAGAAATGCCACATGCCCGGCATAAATAAGCAAAATGAGTTTTTTTTTTTTTACTTCTTATTTGAATGTTGGAAGTGTGATTATTGATCGTCATAACGCTAGTTCATATTGAGACTCACAATTATTTAATATTGCTTCCCGAAAACTTCAATATTAACGGAAGCTGTAAGTAATATTTAGAGTGCTTTAAAATGCCCATTGATACTAGATCACTAGGTCTCCGTCTTCAGATTGTAATTTTTCCATTTCGGGTTGAAATATTATTCAGTATTGCATATAAAATACTGATCAATTATCTTTTAAAGTTAAGCACACAATTTTCTCAGATGCCTTGCATTAAGAAAGGTAATTTTTCGAGTTGTTAACTTCGGTTAACCAGTGATCGGGATTAAGTGCCCTCCTAAAATCAGGAAACTTGGCGTAACAGCCCTAAAACAGTTTTTGTAAATTCCACTAAAAATTGTCCTTTTTGAAGTAAAGATGGTAAATGGGTTTACCAAGATGGTCGTCACGATAATTTTTCTCGGAATGACGTCTACTCGGGTAGGATGGAAGCTTCTTGTATCCTCTTGTTTTATAAACCCACTGGACTGAGTCCAATAACCCATCTAAAAAAAGAAAAAAAAAACATTATTTATTTTAGTTAATTATCGGCACTGCACACTCAACAGCTCCTGAGTGATTACATCAGTAAACGAATGAACTTTTAATAATGTAATATTATATTTATCCTGTTATATCGATCTTAGAAGAGCAGGAAAAGGTGTTAGTTTTGATAACGAATTTGAGGGGGGGGGGGGTAAACTAAATTTGATAATATTTAGAGGAACCAACAAAAAAACGACTTAAAGTTGCAAAGGGCACCAGCGTCACAAAGGAGAAAGTTTCGAGCGTGTCTGAACATTGCCAAATTTGCAAACTTGATGAACCAAATAACTTTAGGAGAGTGAAGATGCTAGGGCTCAAGTATAAACTGAACAACGTTATTCAAAACATCGGAGCTATCATTACAGTAAAAATTAAAATGATCTTGAAATTTTTATCTTTGGAATGTCGATTTACTCCTTGGATCTCTCGATGAACTGTGAAAAGAAAAGCTTTACGTTCATCCTAGTTATAGTATACAAAATACAAGGACATCTCGTTTCACATGGGTTTCTAAGGAAAGAAGCTTACATTTATTGTCTATACACACACATTTCTTGCTATCCATAAAAAATAAAGCCATGATATATAGTACTCTTATTTAGTTAAGAGGATCACCCACGTCTTCCGCCTCCACCGAATTCTCTACTTCTGGTCATGGTAAATTAAAGTTCCTTAAGGGTGGTAGTTTTGAAAATACTGAAATTCTCTTTGAACGCTTTCCTTTCAGTTACTTCCCTGGCTGGTTTGCAAATATACTCAGAATATTCTAATGACCATAATTTTTGAAGATCTTTTTCATCGCAATTGATATCAGGCGGGGGCATGACCTACTAATGTCTACGGTGTTAGTTGCGATAGCCCTTTTTAGAGAAAGTGTGGCCACGAGCGGATGTTGCTACCACAACGAGAAAGCAACTAAACCAGTGGGATCATAAGTGAAACGCACTTACTTTCTGCATGTCGTGATGGGACGTGAGCTCTAGGATGTCGACCGAATATCCAACCCTTTGCCCATGTTCGTCGAACATAATCCGTCCTGTTGTGCCGTTGACCGACGTCTGAAAAGTCCAAGGTTTAGCTTCTTGAGCTTCTACAAATTACATATAAACGATGCTGACGTTTTGTGCGATAAGGGCTCCTCTAGTACGTGGCTCATTATAAGAAAATCTACCAGTGTTCAGAAGCTGGCATCAAACGTGCTACGGCCTTTCTGAAAACAACTGATTCCTTTAAGTTCTTAGCCCCGGACGCGTACTTTTGCTCATCATCTGCTGTCCCTATTCCAAGGAGAGGAAGTTTCTTGGAGCCACGGAGAGCAAGTGAGGACAAGACAATAGAGAAACATGATACACTACTAAAAAGGTGTAGGATTGAGAATTTGTAGCCTTGAAACCGGCTGCGATGGAAAAGTTGCCGCTCTGAACCAGCTTCTTCCATGACCTTGACCTTGCTCTCATGCCCTTAGCCGTGCTTCAAGCGCATGTTGGATGCCATTGCTCTTCAGCGCAGCGCACTTGAGTCGGTACATTTACATTCGGGGTGGTCAAGATTTTGTTTCACCCCGTACGCGTACACGTCAGCCTCTCTTAGTTAGAAGGGAAGTTTCTTTTTCCCAATATTCGTAGGACAAACAGAATATAAGGCTTTCAATGTGCCTTTCAGGATATCGCTTTAGTGCCATGTATATCGTTCCCGTAAGGTTGTGTTCCTCTTCCCCCCTCAAATAAGAAAACCAAGTCCTGAGACAAATGAAAGGACGTCCAGCACTACTGACAATTGTCTTCCATGAAACCGCCACTGCCTATCTTAATATTCCAACCTCACAATTTTATATCGGCTATTTTTGGTTTCAGATTTGGCTACCAGTTCGCATGAACTTTTTTTGTACGTTAGGACAGGCGCAGACTCATCAGTTCTTCCCTTTACGCATTTTCAACCAGGTGGTGATGTTTCCCCTTAAGTTTTAAATAGTAAGTCACTTGTTTAACATGGTGTCAACAAAGTTTGATGGGCATGACGCAAGCCAATATGATATTTTGAACTTACCTTCTTGAGTATCTCGGCTATGGGTTGACCATGTTTGTAAGGATTCAGTGGTGTGCTGTAGCACTGGGACGACTGTCCCGACGATCCTTCTTGAAGGAGCTCCATGCTGAGTTCTGGTCTTTCTCTCGTCAGTCGCGCCATGGCGTCGGTTATCACCGATGCCGCGTCGTACGCGAGAGCCTCTTCTTCCTGCACATTCAAACGCACAAAAGTCTGACGCACAACAGTTTGATCTAGATTGAACATTTAATATGTGAAACATGATAAACACGTGGAGAAATTTGCAACGCCGACGCTGGTTGTACACCATCAGACAATATACGTTCAACACTATTAAGGACGTGCGTTATAGATATTCAAAGCGTTGTTTTTGTGTGAGCTCACTTGCAGGAATTGAGCCTTCTAAAGTATTCCGATTGTGATGTTCTTTCATTAGCGCTGAGCAGAAATGTCGAGGCAGTGGTTAGTCGCTGACCACATGCACGTTTAGAAAGACACGGCGCGCTAAGAAAAGAATACCCACCGGTATAGGAGACATATGTCACAAAATACAGATTTTCTAAGGAAAAAAATAATTACCGCAGTATTTACTCAGAAACACGCATTTCAAGTTCAAAGCGATTTCATCTGCTCGTGCGCGCCAGCTCAAAATAATGTCTATGAGGAGACTAGTGTGCCAGGGATGTCAAAATATGCCACTTTTTAGTCTCCCATTCGCTGGAGGAGCGCGGAGGGCACCCAAAGCGTGCAGTAAGTAAGCGTCCTAAAAGAGGCCTCATGGAGAGCTCCAGAAAATCTGCCGTTTTGGTTTTTGTCTAGGATGGTTTCTTTTCGAGCAAATCAATTTGTAGTACACGTTTCGTGAGAAGAGACTTACGGTTAAGCTTTCCGAGCTGCTGTAGAAGGAGTCTTGGCTGGCCGCTTTGACAGCACTGTGATGACTGTCAGCGTCCTCCTGGAGTATCCTGAGGGCTAGCACTTTGGTGGCGTCGTACGTTTGGATGTCTTTCCAGTACTCCGGCAGTGTCTGGAAGCATTGAAATAGAGGATCAAAAGAGGCAAGAAAAGACAAATAAATGAGAGCAGAAGCGTAACTTCGTCTGCTTCTTGCACAGGGGTTGCGATGATGTCAGAGCGCCGAGCTCTTATTGGCTGATTGAAGTAAAAAATAGTGGGTAGGCCTCGAGCCATCAAGCATCGAGGTCTACCCACTATCCTTTCAATCAACGCCAATCATAGCTCGGCATCGTACTAACTTCACCGCAACTCCTGTGCAAGAAGCCGACGACTTGCTCTCCGCGTAGCAAAACGCCGGTCCCCGGCGTTCCGCGTTAGGGCTCTGTTATACTTCGACGGTCGAGCGTAGCAAACATAGCGTATTGCTGCCCACACAGATGGTGATTGGTCGCAGATATCGAGTTCCTCCTCTCCCTCAGGTTCTAGCTGCATAAGTTTCCGCACAGGTAACCCCCTTTGCGTCGGCTATAGTCACTGACAAAACGAGAAGGTCTTTCAGCTGTACCGTCTCCAGCGTGAGCTTCCTACATTCCATAACGTTTCGGCGTCTTGTGAGCTTCGAGCGTGCTATCGCAGCTAAAGCACGGCGGAAAGCAACGAGCGCGTGCCAGAGGTCGGGCATCTAAAGGGGACGGCCCTGTCGTTCTCATCATATCAGTGACTATAGGGTGTTTTCACCAACGTCATTTCGTCCACCATTTTGTTGTTATGAGCAGTCTGGCGCGTGCAGAAGGCGACACTCTGAAAATTCACATCACACCCTTAAATGGCTATTGCTCAAAAGCTTATAGGTTTCGTCACGATGACATCTAACAACAAAATGTCGGCTTGACGTCATGCGAAAGCACCCCTAGATGTCGTTATTTATGAGGGATGCATCATTTATTGACTCTTTATTATACTTGCTTGTTTGAGGCCGTAAACAGAGTCGACGTATTTACTCACCCTCTACTACCTGTCTTTTTTTAGAAAAAAGTTAATTTCAAGTTTTCAAGAAATATAGATAGGTTTTTAGAATGCTTGTGCATATATATGTTTGTTACAACCGTATTAGAGTGCCTATAAAAATAATGTATGTTCTCCTGTCTTTAAGGACCCTAGTGCTGGAGCAAGACGACAGGTTCTAAAATGCGGCTTCGACTGGCCTGTTTATTGCGTTTTCGTTCTTGGTTACATGATTTTTGACGCTTGATGTCACAACGGTCCCATTTTGTCACTCATTGCAATCCTTTTGGTGGCCCAGGAGAGGAGGTGGATGGGAGCTACGGGGAACACTACCAAAAATATTGAAAGCCTGCGAACTGCATTGTATACCTCAACGTGACCCCGTCGCATTAGGACGGCGCCAGCTCGGCAATAGACCCTTTGCAAAAGTCAGTCTGGCCACCGTGTGCAGAGCCAAACTCGACGCATTAATGACGGCACTCCGTAGCTCCTCCACAATAGAAAAAACGAACGTCTCTTAAAGAAAAGAACAGAGAGGGAAAACGATGTTGGTCGTTCTACGTCACCTTCGATTCACGAAATTGAGGTTGCTTGATTTTGCAGAGCATGATCTCCTATCACCGCCATTATAGAGCGGTAATATTGGAGCTTTTGGGACTCTCACAAGGTGACTCTGACCTTTGAAACAGGTCTATTGAGCCAACAAAAAGTTAGGACGCAGACAACCTGGTGAATGTTTATTGAGCCCGAGCCCGCCGTCGAGAGTCCTTTGACTCATTGATTCAAGACGACGCCCAGTCAAAACGGTGACGTAACACTAATGTTCAAGCTGTGTCTGCGTTCATCTCACTGTGATGACGTCAAAATGCTAGTGCACGGGCTTTGAATATCCTAGGTGGCGTTGTTACGGGTCACACCGCAGCGACGACAGCGCTTCTTGCGTCTAAAACCGACCGCCAGGATCATGTCGACCGGAAAGATGAGCCACCGGCTTCCGCGACGCATTCTGTTACCACTTCTGAACAACTTCAGATGCCACGGGCCGAAACTCACTAGTGGGGAATACGTGCTACGTGCCGTCCGTAGTGAAGGGTAAAGTGACAGGCGTCGATGGACTTCTCACTTACGTATCTGGCGTAGAGGAAGGTGTAGTAAGCCCTCCGCTTGCCGTGCGCGTATTGCACGACACGGCGTGCCGTTTCCAGACTGCAGTCCAGGAGGATGTACTTCTCGGTGTCCCACTCTTGGTTCTCGCGTTGCTGCAGGAAGTCGACGGCAGCCCTCTCGCCGCGGATCCTTTTGACGAACTCGACCTGGAGACCGTAGTCCGCGGGAAGAGCCGCCAGCACCTCCTGGAGTCGGTCCAGTCCTGGTAGAAGAAACGTAAAGAACCCAAACGTCAAAGAATAAAAAAAAAAAAAAAAAAGAAACACATGATGACATTTTTGTTTTCACACCTGATTCGGTATTCGGTTGCCTACAGACACTGGCAGACTGCAAATGACAGCACGCTTTCTTAGTTGTCCCGCCTTTAGCACGAGCTTCCCACCTTCGACAAGGCTTCGGCGTCTCGTGGTGCACAGGCAGCCGAAGAACGGCGGATTGCAACGAGGGCGTACTGGAGGGCTTGTTACTTAAAGAAAATTTCTTGTCCCTCTCATCTTTTCAGTGATTATAGTAACAGCTTCTCATCTAAGACTTTTTGAAAGAAAGAAGCCTGGGGCGCCCTAAAGTAAAAAAACAGCGAACAAAAAAAAAACGGGACCCAAAGTAGAAGATGGACACAGGACGTACGCGTATGTCCTGTGTCCGTCTTCTACTTTGTGTCCTGTCTTTTGTTGCGCTGTTTTTCACTATGTCGTTCAACCAGCCAACCCATCAAGCTATCCTGTTATGGTATGGTAGGTTTGACAGTGCTTTCTTGCACGCATCTTAACTGAGAATCTTTGTCTACAAGCCGTCTTCGATTTGTAAGAGCCAGCTCACAACCCGAGGACATACACACCTTTCCAGCGTTTATGCCCAAGGGCCATAAATGCCGCGTTACAGGGCTGGGGAAGCATGCGCGGCATGTAATATTTTGCAGAAGAGAGCCGCTGCGCATAATCAGAAAGTATTCCGTAGCCCCCCAGTAGCTAAAGATGGCTGTGCGCACAAGGCGATCATTTGAATGACATATACAAATAAGCTGCGATCGACGATCGCAGCTGATTTGTAAAACTTCGTTGACCCACACTGTCCTACATTCTATATCTTCGACCTGGGAACCTGCGGCGGAATACTTCTGAGCAGGTACTGCGAGTTATGTCTCTACCCTGAGAAGGCCGTGCTCGACGCACGGCACACTTATGCCAAAGTTGTACCAGGGCGACAAGCAAAAACAATCGACGAGGACAAGCGTCAAACACGTGCAGCCTGCGCGCGATGGTACCTTGAGCAGGCTGTCAGTCTCTCGGTGCCGGTGATTCCAAGCCTGCCAAAAATGCCTCTGCGTGTTTGAGATTTGTCGGTTGCCGGCTGTTTCTGTTGGTCACTCTAGTGGGACGTGGGCCCTAGAGGGACGGTCCCCAACAGCATCCCTCCAAAGAAACCCTCTTGAAGACCCGTAACTAAGGCCTTTGGACATCTCTTGTTGTTATTGTTGTTGTCATTGTCCTTGAGTTGTTGGCGCACACCCAAGAAGGTTATTGACCAAGGATCAGTGGGAAGTATATATTAAAAAAATAATAACGGGAGTCGCTTATATATTAGATTTCGTAAACATTTTGCCTTGAGATTGAAAGGTCCTACAAGTGTAATCATATAAATGCTACAATGTAATCGTAAATGGTTGAGCATAGAGCTTTATATGTACAGCCAAAGAAAGTCGCTCGGAGCAAAACAATGTTCTCCATAGTGAGACTGGTTACACAAAACAATAGCGGCGCTGGAGCATAAATCGTCGGAAAGGTAAAAAAAGATCGCTTAATAGTTTTATAAATTTTGTAGTACCAGCAAAAAAAAAAAAAAAACTACAATGTGTCACCGATAAAAGTATAACAGGTCTTTTTTAACCGCTAAAGTGCGCTATGCATCGCCGAATGCTCATTCTGCGCACAAATGTAGCGCTAGAGGTCGGAACCAGACGTCAAAGTCCCAGCACTGACCGTTGCCTTATTCAAAGTTTATAAGTGATTCTCTGAAGCTGTCAATGGGAAAATGGTGGCCGACAGAGCTCTTGAATACATGGAGCTGTATGGGCGAAAGTTACCAAAAACCCGCAAGACTGGGAATTATGATCCCATTGAAAATTTCAGAAAATCACCTATAATTTCTGAATGAGGGAGCGGTTAGTGCTGAAACTTTGGCATCTGGTTCAAACCTCTATTGCAATATTTGAGCGGAGAATGAGCGTTCAACGTTGCATAGCTTGTTTTTCCGATAAAAAAGAACAATGCACATTTTTATGGGGACACGCTGTCGTCAAAAAGCCCATTCTGCGTGTCTAGGAGGGTCTGGGATCCTATATCGCATGCATGTCAGTGCTACATCACACTGTCGGGAATCACAGTAGTCAGTATCCAAGAATTTCGTAGATCCACGTAATTAGGCATAGTGTATGAAAGTTTATTTTGGCCGTCTGTGAGAAAAAATACACCGGCACTGTTGCGCAGTTACCAGCAATAACACCTCTCCGTCTTCCTTCTCTGCATGAAGCAAAGCTGCTGCTGTGAAGCCATAAACCTCCGGACCACTGACAGCGGCTGTTGGACGTCAACTTCATCGATGCCAGCAGACAGCACCAATCACACAAGGATCCGCCGGTGACGCAAATATCATCACGTTACCGGTGCTCTGAATCATTAAAACATCACAATTCTTATATCTGTCAGTTCTGTATCCAGCCTGTCTGTCCCCCAACTCTCAACAGGCGTCAAGAGATTCCTCCAGACTCTGTATTCTGGGCGCCCTAAAAACTTCCATAGAGGCTGAAATATTCCCCTTTGACTTCAAAGGACGCCAATAAACCGTTTCTGTTGATTTTCTTATGCCCGCGTATAAGAAACTTCGTCCCAATACACACGACGCGTTCCAATGCACTTACCATTACCGCTCTACTCAACCAACCATTAGACTCAGTCAACCATCTCTGCCTTACTTCAAGCCCCATCCCCGATCTGATACAGCCAAAACCGACTCTTCGAAATACAGCCTTACCCAACTTGAATTCATCCGATCCGTCTCGGCTTGATTAGGAAACATCTAAAGCCACTCCAGGCATTTAGGATATAAGCAATCTAAACATCTCGCTACATGGAACAAGAGTAACACTGCTGCCGAGAATCAGACGGCGGAAAAACGCTCGAAGTGCGGTCTTGTCAAGTTTCACGGTGCTTACAACCATTACATTGATAGCGCGATCAAAAAGAGATTTCCTATTTGCTCGCAGGCGGCGGCTGGTAGAGTGGAGGGCGAGCATCTGGGGTCATCGATCGCCCACAAACTGTGAATAAAAAACGGCAAGCCTCAGGGGAAAGGCCGCAAGCGAAAAGAACGAAGAAGAAGGCACGCAGTCAAGAATCCTTGCGGGTTAGTGAACTCCATCGATCCAGTCTGCCAGGAATACGTCATGATTTAGATATTGTAAATAAATGGCTAGGACCGAACCTTTCGTCACAATGCCGTAGAACTCCGGACAACACTGAATTCCACCTGATGACACCTTCGTACACCGTGTGGTAAAAATAAATTATGTTGTGCTCTTGTTCGGTCAACGTGAAGTTAGGGAGCCCCAACGGGAGTCTGGCGAGTCTGCTGTAGATGAGCAATTTAGCCAGTGGAGTACCACGGGTAGCGGGGGGTCTAACTCGCATCACACAGTAGTGATACACGACCTCACTGTGGTACGACACTCATCCAGATTGAAGCGGACAAAAAGAAAGGGGGGGATTAAGTATGGGGTTACTAGGTTCTGCAGCGCAAGCTTTCGGTCCACGTGCTCTGACCTGCGGTGCGTTAGCACGCACAGCCGCCGTTACATGTACGTAACGTATAAGTTACCGAAACGTTCATGTCCCGCATTTCGCCCGTGCCAGGCTATCTCATTGAACCGTTAGCCACGCTTAAAATTAAAAGTGTCCCGATGACTTGTACCTAAGCTTTCGTAACGTAACTTTACAGAACGTAACGTAGCGTAATGTAAAGTAACGTAACGTAACGTAACGTAACGTAGGAAACAGGGCTGTGTGAACCAGCCTTAACATTGGACGACTGCGGTATCACCGGATGATAGCAAACAACAAGCTGGATAACACTAAAGAGCATTGGATTGTCGAGAATGACACCGGGTTACACCGGATGAAACCGGATAACGCAGTTTCGGGTTTCGGAAGGCACAGATGAAACGGACCTTCATACATTCCAGTTTCACCTCACTGATTTTCGAACAATTTATTTGAGTGAACGTAGAAAAATTTTTGGGTTAGTTACCTGATTAGATAATATTAGCGAGACTCGGTAAAACTGGCATTTTAATTAACCATGTGCGCATCCGATTCAGACACCGAGGTGTTCATTGAGTATGATGCCTTCTGGCTTTAATATCATTCTCCTGAACAACGATACTACGCATTGTACCACCATCTAATAACGTTTAAAAATCTGCATCGGAGGGAAGGACTTTGCGATTATTATTTTTCTAAGCTTCCCGGTGGAATTGGTTGTAAAATGTTTTAGATTTTAACCGAAACCGTGTTCGAGGCTTTAAAAATGCGTCAATTCTAGTTCTAGACATAGACATAATGTCATAGTTTAGTTTCCATGTAAAGAGCATGGGTAAACATTTTTTAAACATTATTTTCGTTTAGTCAAAGCTGATAAGCTTTAGGCAACTGGAGTATACGACCTTAAAGAACACTGCGCGTGCTCTGGAGATTGGGGACTTTTAGTAGACCGCACGCTAGAGCTTCGGTTTGCTTGCAAGAACTCGTGCTGACACTTGGAAGCATAAATTGAGCACCCGCCCTATACATAGTCCGAGTCATTTCACCGTACGCACTCGACACCACAATACCTTCATATATTTGTTCCTAACAAATTATATAGTTGGGAGATTAATATGGAAAATTACTCGTTGTCTCCCACTTTAGGTGTGACATGAAAACATTTTAAGGTGTTTCACTCAATTTTTTTTCTAGTCTCAACATAGGATAAAACTCAAAAATCACAATGCCAAAGTGACGTGTTTACTTGGCGTTATTTAGCGTTTGCGTCATATCTCGAAGTGAGGGTGAATGGTAAGGCACACTTGGTAAGGACTCTTCGAAATGATTAAACAGTGTGAAATGTTTCTATTATGGGCTCAACGTTACCACTCTGATAACCAATAACTTTAAAGCTTGAAATTAAACAAAAAAAAATATGCGCGGACGATCACGCCACGTGATGGGAATAATCAGCTGGTGCGACATTTCGGTGATATTGAGCTGTGATTGAGCGGAAATTTCGGTGATGTTGCGCCGCGTGGTGTTTCACGTAAACCACAGCCGATCACGCACGGAAGAACAGCTAGCACCAAACACGTCCTCGTGGACGCGCTGCACAAATCGCTTGGTCGCACCAGCGTGTCCGTTCTTCGCTCGGTAACGTTCTCTTCTACGGGCCGCTCCACGCTCTCGCACAGCATGATCTTGACGTCGAATGCCTTCCATCCTAACACCCAGGGTCAGACCATCGGTGCCTACACATCGACGACGTTTACTCTCACGAGCGCGTTTACGCCGTCGAGCAGCCGCTGCTTGTCCCGGCATTTGCCTCGGCCGCCCAATTCTTGCGCACAAAGGCTTCGAGCGCCGAGAGAACGGTGGACCGAATGCGAGAAGGAGCAGGTGGCGAGCACCGCGATCACATGACCCCCAGCGATATCAAGAGAGTGCCGAACGCGCTCCGCCTTAACCGCGACTGTTATCAATAAAATGGCGAGGGTTTCACTGCTATCCTCGCTTTTCCGGTGCCAAAGTCACCTGCGATAAACGCGTGCAAGCTCCGTTCGTTTTCGGCAACACAACACTCGCCCATTACAACAAGCCCAGTACAGCTTGTGCTGTATTATGCTCGCGCAGAAGCGGAGGGTGCACTACCTAAGAGCGAGAGAGCCAGTCGCAATATGCCGCGCAGAACCACGTACCCATACCAGTTTGTGCTCGAAGTAGTCACCGTTGCGCTATACACCTTACCAACTCTTATCACTGAAACAAACAAACAAAAAAGGGCCGAGTAACTGCGCATGTGGAAGCATGCGCGGCATCTGGGATGCAGCGGAGGAGAGTCAGCGCGCATGCTCAGAACGGGGATCCACAGCCCAGTAGACGAAGATGGCGGAAGATGGTCCGTACCTTCTGCAGAATCGTAGATGTAGTACACCCTCGGCCAGCGTAGGTGTTGGATGACGGCGGCGATGGCACCGTGAGCCTGCGGTCGGAGCGTGAGCCCAAACCTCGTGCTCTGGAAGGCGGTCGATCGCGCCACGGACGTGCTGAGCAACGGCATGTGCAGCTTGGCCGAGATGGCCGCCAGCGCCTCGTGCACCGTCCCGCCGTCGGGGGAGACCAGGACAGCGGCCCCGGAGGACATCTGGTTGCAGGCTGTCGTAGCAAGAAGACGGTTGAAGAACGATTCCGAGCTGTGTACATTAGTGCGTGAATGAACCCGCTTGAAAATACGCGTCCTCTAGTAGCGGGTGCGGCAATGATCCGTTTCCGCCATTACTTGGTCACGTACTCTGAGCGTGTATTGCAAACGAGGGCCGAGTCAGCGTTCGGCGAGGGTTCGGATTCAACCACGCGCCTCGCGCGCAAGAAAATGGCGACCGCCAGTGTTGCTCGATGGGACCTTGAAGAGGGTCTTTTAAGGGCTGAACAAGTATGGTTCACGTGAATATACTCTAGATACGAAACTTCCGGAGGACTTGAACGATACCTTCTATAAAAATCCGAAAGTGGCACCGAAGGTTTGCTAAGACACGCAATATTTCTTAGTTCTTTTTGCAGAAGATGCCAGGTTTCTTAACGTAACGTCAACTGAGAGCTTAGACGAACGCAGGGTTTGGCTCGTCATGTTTACGCTTCTTGCCTCGCGATTCGTTCTTTGGCGATCTTATCTACAAATGCTGCAATCTCATTGACTGTGCAACGACAATAAGATGCTCAGGTATCTTAATACATTGAGTTTCTTAAATTGACACTGATTATACCAATTCGGGGTTCTTTGGAGGTCTCTTTTTAAGGACTCTGAGCCTGCTTCACTTCCTCTGTGTTACGTTTGAATCTACTGGAGAGATGGACGTTTGACTCGGTGCTTCTTCCTCTAGCCTTCAACATAGTCTGAAGACGTTGTGACCCTAAACAAGCTGTCTTTTAGTCAACGTTTGAAAGCTAATGAATGCCCGGCCATGGTATATTTTTTTTTATATCACTTATCGGTGTCTATTCATTCACCGGTTTGGTCATTGATTGATGCATGCACTACTCGCTTCGGGTTTTTATTCAAGCACGTATTACATTTCTATGGTCGGTGACAGGTTAAGAATGTAGCAGGGACTCCTTTGATGATACTTGGACGCGTGCGTGGTCATACCCCGCGGAATACAACAAGCGCGTGCTGAAGGCGGAACATTTGCGGCCTTTTTTTTCCCAGTCACCAATCATAGTTTCTTGATGCGTGAGGCGCATCTTTAAAGGCCTAGTAATTCGGCCACAGTATTGCTCCTCACCGTCGTTGGTGACGTTGAAGGTGTCGTTGTCGAGTACCCTCGTCGTCATCGGCGTGATCTTGTAACGGTCGCTAGGTGCGTGTTGATTGGTGTATTGAATGACGTCACGGAAGGCTGTGACCACGCGGTGTGGTTGATTGACTCCCATCACCACTCCTGGAAACAGAGACAGAGATAGTCTATCAGCACAGCCCAATAACAGCCTTCCATAGATACGCTTATTTGAGCGACAAAAGTGTTTGTAGCTTTCCACTTGCCCGTGTTTGCGAAAAAATGTTTAAAAGCAAATTTTTAAGGGCTACAAGAAAAAAAAAGTTAATTCAAAAACAACCATGCAGATTTTTTTAACTTGAATTCAAGGGATTTTTAGTGGCCATTTTAGTGATAAGCACGTTCACATTATTATTTTAAAGAAAGTCCGACGAATTTATAATTATACTCACTATTAATACAAACAAACCGCAGATATTTTAAACTTAGCTTAACGAGACGCGTTAAAAACTTAATAAGAACTAAAAAAAAAAGAAGGTCGGACGTACCGAAATTAAGTCGGCCTTTCTTGATTATGTCGCTGAAAACCCGTGCGGTACTAACGGTCGCAAGCAAGCCGAGACGCAATTATCGGATATTGTGAACATACCTTTAATGAAACATATAAATACAAATACGGTTATGTGCAAAATATGTGGAATACAATCTCGAAAAATATTTGCGGATATAATTCGTACACGTAGCAGTTAGCAGAAATATAATGAATATTACTAATAGAGATAAGGCGGATATAAATTGAAGAGAGCCTAAAAAATGTAATTCGTTGTTACGCTTGAGCGAATGGATCTTCACCGCTAAAAAGAAGGAAGAAAAGTATATTTGGGCACGTATTTGGTGAAGGTTTGTGTTTCAAGAAGCAGTCGTTTCGACAAGAGCACGTTTTCTTCTCGTTTCATTTCTGCTTTATTTCGTAATGTGAAAGAAAAATAAAAATAAAACGCCACTTAATAAAATGATTTTCTTAGTCGATTTCGAAAGGATTGAGGCTGGCGCCAATCGATATTTCTTAAAGAAGGTTTTTCTAACATTCTCCGCTTCGTGCGCTTTTTTTTAAAATATTTATGTGTAGTTTTCTTGTTTTTTTTTAGGTACCTCTTTATGGATTTCTCGGTAACTCGCTTACTCTCCGCTGAAAATATGGCGCTAGCGGTCCGGACGAGATGGCAATGTTTGAGAAAGGACAGTTATCTTAATCTAAGAGTTGTAAGCGATTTTCTTCCATTCCCTTACTATGTGTCTGTGGAGTTTGGCGGCCGCCATGTTCCCGTTGAAAGTTTGAGAAAATTGCGTATAACTTTGAATCACATAACAGCAAGCTTTGAAACTTTTGCATCTAATCCAGATAGTTAACACTACACTTGGGGTTGTCTCTGAGCGTTCGGCAAAGCGTGGTTTATTTTTGCGATCAATAAAACACAGTGCGTTTCTTGTTTTTACTTTTCTAAGACAGCTTGTATATAAATAAACGTTTAGCGTAGGTTGCTTTATTGTATATTGTTATATTCAAATTTAGCACGCCTCATTTACAACTTTCTTATCTTTCCAACTTACAGCATTTTACGCTGCATCGGTCGCTAGGCAGCCGTTTATTTAAGCCGTGGCCGGGCTTTTCCGTAATATCATTTCCTTCTTCATTTAGAGAGTGAGTAATCATAATGATCCGTGTGCCCACCGATGCCGCGCTTTACTCCAATTCCTCCAATTTAATGACAGTCATCGAGCAAGCTAATATGTAATAACTGTCATGTATTTGGGGAGTAATAAAGGAATACATGAATAGGTCAATAAACGTCATAATTTTTTACAGTCGGAGGCCCGACTTAACAAGTTCCAAGTGTTACCGCTGAAAACGATAAATATTCCATTGGAAGGAAATAATTTTCTCAAAGAAATTTTACCATTCCCTCATATAAAATGGTACCTGTTAAGCAAGAGTGGTCTTCCAAATATCAAATTTCCTAAGCAATAATAAAATTACTTATGTAATTTTGATATTTTCCAATCAAGTGTAATATTTCTCAATCAAGTCTCATATTTTTTCACAGAAAATGATAATCATTAATTAAGGCATAAATTTTTTGAAGCACGCGAAAGTAGGGTGCTTTCCAAACGAGAATGGAATTTCCTAAGCAGGGGTAAAATTTATTACGTATGGTATTGCTAAAGCGAGCATAATATCATTTCTGATCAAAAATGGTACTCATTAAGTAAGTTTGATGTTCCTTAAGCATGGTCTGATATTTCCCAAGTAAGGATAAAAATTCTTAAGCAATGATGAAATGATTTGGTAAGTATGATATTGCTCAAGCAAGTATTTATAGGACTAATTCATAACCGAGAAACGAACTCATTAAGCAAGGATGCTATTTCTTAGGCACTGGATGCTCCTTATGCAAGTGTGATATTTCCCAAGCAAGGGTAAAATTTCCTAAGCAATACGGATATAAATAAAGTATAATATTGCTCAAACATGTAATAATTAGCCTAGCCTAGAATGGTACTCAGCAAGGATGTATCCCCTTAACAGGTGTGGTATTCCATAAGAAAGTATGATGTTGCTCAACCAAGCTTGATATTCCAAAATGATGGACGGTACTCAATAAACAAGTATGTAATATTCCCTTACCATCTGTGATATTTTCTAAGATATTTCCTAAGCAAGTATAATATTTTCTAAGATTACTATTTTTTAAGCAAGGTATGTTATTTCGTAAAAATCTTAGGTAAAAGATTCCCTCAAGAAGGAATATTTTAGGGATTGCCGGCGGTGCTGAGAAACCTCATTTATTTGATATACGGTTATAGGGTAGAGAAATTTGCAGTGGTAGGACAATTTGCTTTACCGAAATTTAGTATTGTTTACGTAAAACTTGGTAAGAAAAGCAAATAAAAATTAATTATTTGAGTTAGTGCGCAATAGTAAGCCTCAAACGTGCAAGGGCTTAAATTATTACAAATAGGAAGGCAGAACAAAATGACGTTAAAATATCGAGGAAGCAAAGGGTTAAAAAGAATTGATGGCAAACCGTAAGGGTGCCCTAAGGAGTTCTCTGAGATCGCCTAAATATGGCGATAACTCACTCTGCTGGCTCTAAGCATCCTACAAATCCATAAATCGTGGCGATACGTGGACTATTTCCTTATAAAAAAAACATCAAAGCTCGCAACACGCCGAGGTCCTTTTTGGTGATAAGAGGAGCATGTTCAGAAGCCGGAACCACTAACAGCCAATAGCAAGCGAAAGGTCCTCGTGCCCTGACAAAGTAAAAAAAAAAACCTTATCAGGGCACGTTTAAGATCATAATCTTTTTGCGCTTGTAGTGGTTTATAGTATGTATGAATCGTGAATTCTTACACTGTATAGCTGCTATATTTAAATCGCGATCAACATCAATCGTTGACTAAACTTTGTCAGCAAACAACGTTTGTGCTGCAAGTACATGTCTTTGTCGCATTTCGTTATTTGTCTTAATCTTTTTTTCTAAGCAGTTTTAACGTTCTCACGCCGAGCTAAGCTGGACTTTTTTGTACATTTTTTTGTATTATCGTAAATGATTATCCTTATGATAATGGTCAGATCTCTGAGCACTTTTTCTTTTTCTTGTGCTGATTTTGAACAATTTAAACTACACGAAATATTATTTTTATATGAAATACTGCAAACCACACGTAGTTCTAGCAGGGAGAAAAAAAACTATACAAATGTCCTTGCAAATCTTATACAAAAAAAAATCACATGTGAGGAAAAAATAATTAGTCGCAGTTTTCGAGCACTTATAAAAACGCACATTGCTGCAGAAGGGTCTAAATGAGGAACGGTAAAAAGCAAGGAGATAAAGAAACACCCTAGGATAGTTCACAGTTTCAGGTGAAAATAGAAAGAACAGAGTTGACACGAAAACACGAGTACTAATTTAGACAGGCACAAACTAATCTTCGGAAAATAAATGTTCTAAAGCTTTACTAAAGGGGGGACCGTTGTCGTTGGAGGCAAAAAATGCCTAAAACTTCATTTTTTTCAAAATGGTTTCTAATTTCGTGAATGAATATTTGAGCTATAACTGAACTTATTATGTCTATGCAGGCTGAATGTTTATTGAAGTCGGTTTTAAAAGACTGTTTTCACACAACAAAATTGTTGAACTTGTTGAAAATTTGCAGAATGGATACTGAGCATCTAGGGCCAGATGGAAATATAACTTTTCCTGAAATATGTCGGTAAATCTATGAAGCACACAATGTTGAGAGCGGATGTTTTAATATAGGTCTAAGAATTTTTTCCATTGATTTTTTGTTCTAATACTTCTTCGCCACACATTGAGCACTGAACTTCAATGTGTGATAAACTCACTAATAATGGGTTAATCTTAAAAGTGTTTCCAACATTGTATTTTCTACACTTCGGAGTATCTAGCCATCTGTTAAAGAGGATATTTTGTTAAGTAGTTTTTGGCCCATTGTTCCTCCAAACAAAGGCAGGTGAGTTTTAATTTTCTTGAGGACAATTCCGCTACTGAGAAAATGATCAAATATTTGAAATCAGCACAAGACGTTTATGAAGCTTGTACAGTTTCATTGGGTTTGGTCAAAAAATAAGAAAAAAAGCTCCTTAAGCATGTAAAGAAATAACATCAAAAACAAGAAAATTCCGATCACCAATTGTACGAGAAAAGAAGGAATGCTTAAAAGGTTAGTACTTGCGTAAAATGGCGTTAAGGAATGCTGGAGATAGTAACGAGTACGGCGTGTTAAAACTAATTTCATGTATGCCTGTGAATTATTAAAAGGTATGCACTCTAAGAAAAGCCAGTGGGTCTACTTTCTTACACAACACTCGGAGAGCCAATCACCGCAACTTACGGAGGCAGCTCAGCGAATGACGATCCCGGAACATATGTTTAGACCAAAAAACGCTCTCTGAGTTGTGACATTATCAGAGCAAAACGTCACAACTCAGACTGCGTTTTTTGGTCTAAACCTATGTTTCGGCATCGTCATTTGCTGAGCTGCTTCCCTAAGTTGCGGTGATTGACTCTCCGAGTGTCGCGCGGAAAGGTAACCGCACGGGATCTTTAGAATCTCCTAATTATAGAAAAAATGTAAAACTTCAAGGCGGGATTTTTTGGGGACTGAGCTCCAGAGTTTCAATGTTATGGGTCTTTTTCTATCGGGGCCGAATTACGCTTGGTAAAAGGGTCCGAGGCAATGCTACCATATTCGATTTTTGGCCTAACCAGAGAGTTGTACGCCGCCATTTTATTAGGTAAAGGTGGACCTTTTAATTTATGCCTTATTAAACCCACTCGTCTGAAAACTGCCGAAAAAATACTGTTTATGTGTGTAGACCAATTCAATTTTTTTTAACTTAAAGCTAAACAGAGGTAGTTGTATTTTTTAACCGGAGTAACGGAAAGTAGTTTAAATTGTATTGACATTGGAATGGATTTTTTTTTTTGTTCGTGATCGGAAGGCCTTTTTTTTTCAAAATTTAACTTTATACCCCAAGTGTCGCACCAACACTGCCCATTGCTCATGCTTGCAGCAAATACACGAACATTTGCAGAGTAATTGATGACAGACACGATATCATTAATATAAATTTAAAAAAAGAGCAAATGTTCAAGAACACTTCTTTGAGGTATCCCAGACGTCACATTCTTTATCTCCGAATAGCTCTCATTAATCTCCACAAATCGTTTTCGGTTGTGGAAGTAACATCGTACCCATTTTACAATTGAGGGATCGATATCGGCGTCTTCTAATTTAGTGATTCGTTTGCCGTGGGGCGCAACGTCAGAAGCCTTAGTAAAATGAAGAAAATTTGCATCAGCGTTCTCTCTTCTGTCAATTATGAATGCCAATTCGTGAATCGTGGAAACAAGCTGAATAATTGAATAGAATCATTTTCTAAATTCGTGATGGTAGGGCGTGAGACCTACATTAGGTGTTCGGAAACTCGGTAATTTGGTTAGCAACTATGTGTCTCAATGGTTTACAAGATGTGCATGTTAAGGAAATGGGCCGGCAGTTACTTGGTGACCGTTAAGGCTCGCTCACACACTTGCGACTTCTTAAGACCGAGTCCCTTGGAACCTCTTATATCTCTTACGACGAGAAGACACACTGGCGCCATCTGTTGGGTATCAGTGGAAACTTGGCGGTTCCGCATATTTTCTATTTCTCTCGCGCGTTTTCTGATTTAGTGATTCGTTTGTCCTATCTTTCTTGGCTCGAAAAACTTTTGTCAACGGCATAAATGGCCACTTCTCATGGATATTCCGCACATTTGACCTTGGAAATTCCCCTAAAAACCTTTGTTCTAGTGAAATGCAGTTCCAGGGTCGCCGCATAGATGGCGCCAGCGTACCAGTGGGTTCTCTCGCTCTAAGAAATTTTAAGGCGTTTCAAGGTACTCGGTTCTAAGAGTCGCAAGTGTGTGAACGGGCTTTTAGTTATTGAACATAGTTACTATTTCTAGTCACTTATTGAACATAGTAGCTACCTATTGAGCACAGTGGTCAAAAAGTTTTGAAAATAACACGGTACGAAAAAATGTCGAGGGTGTAATTAATAAAATGGTTGAGGATCACATTTATTGCAACGTTTTACTAACAGAATTTGCTAGGAAGTTGTTGCTCTTCTTAAATCGCCTCACAAAGACTTTCATTCTTTTTTTTAGAATATACTGTCAGTGATAGGTTCAAGCAGACGGGTTAGCTTATTTTAATTTTATTAATGACCGCACTACAACAAATCTCTGAAACAGCAGACACCTTTGCACTCTCTACGCCATTCGCCGTTTTGAAGTTTCATTCATCGACGCATTTAAGGAAAAAAAGTTCATAACAAAGTTTGTTAGATCGATTAGGAGTAATATACTTGGTGCGTTTTGTGCAATATAGAGGTTTCCAGGTGCATCCTTTTGGCTAATATTAATGAAAATAACTTGGCAGCATGAATAAAACATTTTAAATGTGATTCGTTGACATTCAAGTACAAATAGAAAGAAAGTTTTCCGCCGGACTTAAGTTGAGAGACATAGTTTGTCGATCTACGCCGATTTAAAATAAATCATGAGCGTAAGTACGTAATTTATGATCGGACAAGAATTCATCAAGTATGTTTACGATACAAAACCAAAATACAGATAAAAACAAAAAGAAATAGTATGAAAAATGAGTGCAGGTATTTTCGAGAATCACTCAGCGTACCGTGCGAAGTTAATGACCCTTCCGTTGCACTACAGGGAAAAAAAAAAAGAAGTAATCAACCCTTCTCCCACGCTATCCCGCGACTGCTAACGCACCATAAAAAAGAAAACAAGCCCCACGATCATCAATTTCACCGTGAAAGAAGCCCGCTTATTTCTGCCCACCATTCCACCGCATGCGAGCAAACAAGACTCCTTTCTTTTCGCAGACGCCAAATACACCAGTCCCCCCAACCCCTCATCCCTTCACGTCGAAACTGCAAAATAACCTCGGCAAGCTACGACGTAGCCTCAGCAAGGTAGGCTTATCTCTCCCAAAACTACTAAAAAAAAACAGCTAATATAAAACACTAAAGAAAATGTTAATGAGAAGAGCTGCCTAAGTTCGGAGTTGTGTGGCGCTTTGCATTTGACATTAAAAAATAGACGTCCTACGAAGAAAGAAAAAAAAGAAAATATAACTCACCAATCTTGAGCGCAGTTCCGCTCTCCAGATGAGACGCCGCGACGAATAGAACAAGGGCGGCGAGCTTGTAGCACCGCGCACGAACCCACGAGCAACCCATCATTGTCGCTGAAAGCTTCTACACACCAAAAACGCCGAAGAGAAGAGTCTGAAAGCTCGCGAGAGACCTCGGCTAACCGCCTTCGCTCGTGCGACTCCGCAACAAAAATAACACGGCGCTTGACCACCGCGCGCTCTTCCTTACAAAACGCGAGGCGCGTCGCGGGAAAGCCGTCCACACACTTCACTCTCGACGTCGACGCAGCAGCTGTAGATCAAATCGGAGCCGCACTTTGCGCAACTGGCGCGGGTCAATCTCCGCCGCGAGGCGGGCTCAGGCATTGCGTTGCTGCGTTTTGCGATCACAAAACTTCCACTCCAAAAATGGGGAGACTGAAAAAAAAAAAATTGAGGAGATCCTTGCAGTTTTTGAACCCCCACCACAACGACGACGACGAGTCCTAGCGCGAACGTCCGAGGCTGCGTTTCTCCCCAACACCACCGAATACCGAACTTCCCTCGACGATGGCTTCCTTAGGGAATTCACTCCGGCGAAGCGTCGTCGTCGGGATCGCGAAATAGGGAGGGAGCACGAGTGGACCGGGAAGTCCGGTGAGCGCAGGCAGTTGAAGTTCGTGAAGCTAGCGCAGTCGTTCCCCAACCGCGGTTGAGGTATCCGCCATTGCTCCGGGATTCGGGAGCGTTTCGTGGGTGTGGTTAGGCTGCGCCGGCGCGCTCTCCCCGACGTCCCGACTCGCGTGGGGAAGGGAGTGGAAAAGCGGGAAGAGGACAAGGGGGAGGGGAAAAATATGGGTGGGAGGCGGTGGATGCTAGGGCGAGGAGAAAGAGAGGTGTCATGGCCGACAGACGAGCGTTGCGGGGAAGTTCCTTTTTTTTTATTTTTAGGAAGCTCGCGATAGGAAAGGGGAGTAGTCCGGTGTTCTTTAGCCGTCCAAGAGGGTTGTTTGTTTGATTATATTTTTGTGTGATCAGTAGCAATTGTTTGTCGTTTAGAATGTTTTAATGTCGCGGCATTGATACGGGTTTATGATTTTCTTTTTTTTATGAGTTGGACGAAATGTTTTTTTCTCAAGTGGTTTCGATGGTTTGCAGGTCTCATTGAAGCTCCTCTGCGAATAGGAATTTGTAGAAGCATGCTCTAAAGGCGCTTTAGATAGCTCTGCGATCTATTGCAGCACACAAACATACAAAAGTTACAAATTCGGCAAAAAATGCAAAAATCCATTCTTTACTGAAAAAGGGGGATTTTGGTTCTTTTTTTCGGGGGCGGCCTGACAGTAGATTGAGAAAAATGGTATTTATACCGCGCAAAACGGAAACGGAAATGAAAGCTTTCGAAACATGTGCAGAGCACGCAAACCGATTTCTGGTTAGGCGTCGTTCCCGAATGGGCCGCTTGGGGGACACCTTGTCGTCCCAAAAACTCTATAGTTCCTTTTCGTGCTCTCTCTTGTTTCTATTTGTCGCTCCTTCTCTCCTGCTCCGTGACGTCACGAAGAGGGATAGCAAATCACGCTCCGTTTCGGATCGATAACGACAGGCCTCCCACCAGCGGCGCTGCGATGGCAGCGTCCCGACAGAGAGCCTGGATTTGAGAGAGGGAGGCACTCGAATCACTGACAGAATTCGCAATTTAATGGTGGATGCGGATTTCACGTAGATAGGGTGCGCTTTCGGATGCGTCATCTATCACGCGGAGAGAAGGATAGTCGGTGAAAAGGCTGAGCCAAACTTCGAGACGCTCGCTGTCGCAGACAACCGACGTTTTCGCCACTTACTCGCACCTTGTGCTGCAAACGCGGCCCATAGACCAGATGACCGTAATCGAGTAGTTGGAAAAACTCTAAAATGTAGGTACACTTACGTCCCGGCATTTTTTTTTTTTTATTTTCTTCCAGCGTTATTTCAGAACCTCAACGCGGGCGGCGCGAGTTTTTCCAGGCCTGAAGCTTTTTATAGTCTTTCTATTTTCCCCCTTACTGGTCTAAGAAAATGAGCAGAAGGAGAAGACACCGAAAGACGTTTTCTTGGTCTTCGTTTCATCTCCGAAAGAAAACCGTGTTATTCCTTGCTTTTGTCGCTTCCGTTTCCACTTAGTTCTGTGCCTTTCTTTATTTGTTCACCATTCCTGGTTTGATTCACTTCTGCCTCCGATGGCAGACCCAAGCCTTCTTAATTTAGAGAGAGTGACTCGAAACAGAAATCGGTCCGCCGGCCCGTACCTCAAATGCAAATGCGATTCATCTCGGAGCTTTGGATAGTATCTTGTCGAGTTAAATTTCAACTGTCCCTTGCTTCTTTGCGCGTGATGCCTAAGGTTAAACAAGTGTGACGGTACTTTTTTTTTTGTTTCTCGAGCTTGCTGTGCGGGGGCTTAGGATGCCCCGAATAAAAAGGTCGCGCTGCAACAAGTACTAAACTAAAAGATCCAAAAATCAACATGACGAAGCAGCCAAATAGTAATATTCCTGTAGAGTAGTTAAGAACTTAAGATGTAAATAAATTTATTGACAAATTTGCTGTTTATGACCGACAAAATGAAAACGGTATGATGCGTGTCTCTATTTGCTCTAGCGCTTTGAAGACCAGTGATTGGCAACGTTACACTGATTAAATAATATAGTTCTAGAATTTTTTCATAAAATGACTTTGCAAATGAGCCCAGTATCTAAATTGTTTATATTAGCGCATGGTCTGCCAATAGAACAACTTCTACGTTTGAATTAACTCTGCCAAAAGAAAGTTGTAGTTAAGATATAAAATTTCCAAAGCTATTGAAACGGCGAGTCGACGTGAGATAAAATGAAACAAAACCCTGGAATCGATAAATATCGTGTCTGCATAGATTCGTACGAACGAAGACTATGAAGCATGACGGAACTCCCGAAACTGCGGGTAAAAACGACACGCACACACCAAAAAGGTCTCAAGACTACGCTCTGCTTCAAACAACACTGTTCAATCCCCACTCCTGCCCGTTCCGATATGGATGGGCATCGTACCGGCGTGCGGTCGTGTATCACTACTGCGTGGTGCACTTTAAAGACCCCGGGCTAGCGGTATGTACTGCACTGGCTAAATTGCTCATATATAGCTGGCAGACAAGGCGCCCGTTGAGGCAGACTAAGCTCTAGGCTGTATAAACATACACACAACTCAATTTTTTTTGTATGACATTGTTAAAGCTGCTGGCGCGAGCATGCGGTTTGATCCCGCAGATCACTTCCACGCGTTCTCCCGCACACGAAACCATAGATGAAGCCAGGATCTCGCGCAAGCAGGAAAGGGAGACCTTTTAGTGTTCGTGTCGTTTTTTCGCCTGCAGTCTCGGGGTTTGTGTCATGTTCAACAATCTAAACCAACTCGTTTGCGCCCTTACATTCACTTCACAAGTATCGACCTTTCCAATGTTTACGAAATCACAGTCCACCGTGCGAACTTCACAGCCCAACACGTGCGTGTTCGTGGCTTCGGAAAGCGAGCAAAGCACTCGCCAGACGCACGAACAATGAAAATGGCACCGGCTACCGGAAAGCTTTCTTTCCTGCATCACTCCGAAGCAAGAGGTGAAGCCTCCTTGTGGAAGCCGAATCTGCGCAAATGATTCTCTCCTTTAGTTCGAAGACAATAAACAATTCTTAAGGTGAGTTACGTCACACGCGTGCTTTACTTCCTCTGGAAGTCATTTTAGATGGAGTTCCTTTGACGTTCTTTAATACGTACAATTTGTTTTACGGTCTTTTTAAACACAGAAAGCGTTTTAGTCAAATCCAATTCGCCAAGTTTCTTTTTCAAACCGACACGAAAGAGGGGTGCCCATCTTGCGGCGCTTTGATGCGTTAGGAAAAACCCACTTTCAGAAATTGCGAACGTGCTCTGGAATAAAAAAAACAAAAAAACAAAAAACATTTCAGGCAACGTTTTCTTAAATTTTTTATAGAGTTTTTTTTTTTTTTTTTTTTTTTTTTATTTACATACTGAGTTCGTCAGCTTTGCTCCTATCCGATTTTATATTATGTGCTATGCTGTTTTCGCTATATGTACTGTATATGCTTATGTAGAGACATTCGATTTGCATTCAAATGCTGCACAAATGGCGGATGGACATCTGGTCACTATAGTGATAGCTTGAGTGTTCGAAGCCAACGTTCGTAGTTCCGAACACTTTCGTTGTTTTCTAGAGAGCTTCAGTGCTGCTTGACCGAACTAGATGTTCTGTCTGAAGAAAGAGGTTCGAAAAACTTTTCGGGAGTCCAGCACCTTTCAGATAATTTTGAGTTGTCACAGATGTGCTGAATAGATCAAATAAAAATAAAGACCAATTTCGCAAGGTACTACACTAATGCACTGTGAACGCGCAGGTTGATAGCGCTCTTTTCTTATAAAAGTTTTTTTTTTTTAAAAACTTTGCAATTTTGTATTTTTTTATGTACTGCAACTCGTAGTTTTTTTATTATTTAAATATTGACTCAATTTCAGTTTATCTAAGATTGATGGTGTCTGAAGCTTGGACTATTTGACGTAGTGTGCTAGTTTGTTAAACGAGGACTGGTGGCACTTTAAATGGAAATGAGACATAAATAATGCGGTCAAATACAATATATTTTTGCGCTTTCATATGCTTTCCTCCGCTCAAAGTATAAACACACACACGCACACATAATGAGCTACAAAATAACGGGGTTATCAATTCTCTTAATTATTCATTTCGACCGGCCTCCTCAGAAGTTAAAATCCCACAGGCGAAACAATGTATCATTTATCGGTACTTGTATGTGTTAACCAAATGGCGAAGCTGCCACGCAAGCACGCACAAAGTCAAGAAAAAACGAAAGTGACTACGGCAGGGAACACAAAGTGACACTTTGCGCCCATCAACCGGTGTCACTCGGAACGGCACAATCAAAATGCAGCCCGCCACACGTCGCTTGCATGACAACAACAGAAAATACAAAAACAAAAAAAGGGCGATGCTTCGCAACCAGCTGTTTCTCGAACCACCCTCCCTCACGTGCGACCCACATTAAGCAGACGGTCGTGAGATCACGTGACGACGCCTCAACGTTTGGCCAACCGTAGCCATGACAACCCGCTTCGCGCCAAACCGACCTGTCGCCGACAGGAAAGCGAACACTCCGAACAGATCTCTCTAATCGCTGCTGCCGTGGCGTCGGCTTGGCCGCAGCGCTCCTCCGACCCGAGGTTCTTATTGCGGCTCCGAGATGGCGCCACCGCCGCAATCCCGGGGATCGTGACGTCACCAGGGACGCAGCATCCCGCATCCCTCCGGGAGGAAGAGAAGAACATGGAAGAGGATAGAAGGAGGAAAGAAGGGAAAACGAGAAAGAATATGGAGGTCGGCTGTTCTCCCACTGGCTGATGAACATGGCGGCGATGGTGTGCTGCTGCGATGCTACCTGTGAATTCTGGGTCGCTTGCGACGGTTGGGGCTGAAGGCTGAATTTGAAAAGTTGGAAGTCGTTCGGCGTGCTACGGACTTGACTGCAAGCGGCGTCTGTGCGCGTGTTTTGCGGAGGTTAAGTTCTGTCTGAGATTTGTTTAGGATGAGAGGATTGTTGGAGGCTGGCAGAGATGGGTGTTGAGATGAACGGGGGATCCTCCGGACTGATGGTGTCGTTCTCTGCTCGGATGATCGGTTTGGTCGTGTGCTTTGTTGCCTTATCGTGGCACGGATGTCAAGCCGTCAGAGTGGGTGAGTTCTTTCCTTTGCCTTTGAAGAATTTACGCTAGATCGCTCTTAATAAAAGTACACCATCTTTGATAACGAGTTGCTATAACGTCCGACCAATCGTTATAAAAAAAAAAAAGAAGAAAACTATGGTGCTCAAAATAAACTCACCTTTTGCTCTAGCGTTACTGACCGTAAAAACACGCTTTCTTGCTTATTTTGAGCAGTAATGTTTATGTCACGGAGTTCATAGCGCTTTTCTAAATTCGGCCGTGCCAGGTATCGATTTGTTGTGACCCACTGCGTTTATATGGCTTTGAACTGCGATTTCCGCGTTCTTTGTTTTAATACAGAGACTCAATTTAGATTGCGTTTTTTCATTTATTTAGGAGTGCTGGAATTCTTGTGCTGACACATAGCATCGGCTGACCACGTATCTTCACTTATTATGTCGTTTGTGACGCAGTTCGGGTCTGCGGATGAACTGCGCCTTTGGGACAGATGCTCAATACCAAATTAACTCTATTTTTTGCTCTTTGCTCATTAAAAATGTTTTTTTGTGTTAAAACTTTGACACACAATATGCACCAAGTTCGGCCGTCTCTGCACGACATCTTAGCTCGTTACGCGAAGAAACCAATTTATGCAGTCCTCTTGAATCACCCACGATTCATTTGAATCACGCGGAAGGTAGTGAATATTTGACATCACCAATGACGTCACTTGCGAGTTTTCTGTTTTTCTCCGATCACAGGAGTGCTTTTGAGGAGAGGCCACAATGACGTATGGCGTGAGTACGAGGATGCCATGACGAACTTCAACAACAGCGATGTGGCCAGTCGGCTCGGCATCGACATCAAAACTCACAGAGCCACGTTTGACGACAACCTGTTTATCACGGCCCAAGAATGTGAGTTTTTCTGCGGAGTCGGAGCTAGTCATTTGCAGCGAAAGAAAACATAATTGTAATATTATCGCAGTACAATAAATTGTCTCGAAGCGTGGCAAAGGTAAGAAAGGGAAATGAGGTTACGCTAACTAGAAAAGGAAACCTCTCAAGTACTTGTTAGGTTTATTTATTCCTAAAAATGGGCTCTCGTGGAAGCAATTTTTTCTTTTCAGCGATTTCTCATTTTTATGACACGGAAACTCTCGTTAAAATGTGACGCTCTTTTTATTAAACGGATTTTACAGTCGTGTTTGTTTGACAGGGAAGGACGATTCTACAATATTTTTGTTACTGTAAACTAGTTGTTTTTTTTTGTGCACACTGATCTTGATACTCTACTTGATGCAGTCTATAAAAAAAGAGAAAGGTTGAAATAAACTGAAAAAAAAATTAAGTTGTGAAAAAAATGGAATTCAATGTTTTTTGTTTTGATTGCTATACTAATATGTTTAAGTATAGTGTGTCAAATTTTTGGTCGATTTAAAGTATTCAACCGCATCCGTCCATTCATCGGTGTCTGCTGAGAGAGTCTGGCAGTTTCATGTTAACCTGACGAGAGTAGCAACATATTTGGAGTGAGTTTGCAAAACTACGCGAATAATATAAATATACGCCAACCAGGGGTTTACGAGCAAGCGCGTTTGCCCGCAAAATCTGTAGGTATACCGCGCATGCGCAATGTCTCGTCTTTCTAGCTCCTACGTATTGTACGTTACGCAGCCAGTGTCACCGACATTTTATGACGTCAGAAACATGGGTTGGTTTACTGTAAGTTGTTTTAGAAGCAAAAGAAAAGTGAACCCGGTTATAACGAATGAATGTTCGCTTATAACGAACAAGAGCCCAGTCGTAACATGTATCTGGTATTTCCACGCAGTGTGCAAGCAACTGAACGCCGGCGTCACGACGGTGCTTCTGCCAAGCAAGGGCTTCTCGGACGCGGCTCTGTACTCACTCTTTGGAAGCACCAACGTTCCGCGGATTACCACCACCGTTCAGCAGCGATGCGGATCCAAAGATCCGCCGGTGCTCCAAGAGGACGTCTGGAACGAGACCACCACCTGGGCTCCGTCGTCGACCTCGACTCTGCCGCCGTGGTTTTCCGACGGCACCACGACGGAAAGAACGCCCGACGACGAAGAGGACCCGACGACGCTCGGAGTCACCATGATGCCTGATCTTGCCCCCGCGGTGATAGAACTCGCGGACGTGTGGGGCTTCGAGTCCCTCGTCTTCGTGTACGATTCGGACCACGGTAGGTATGGTTCTACAGGGTGCTGGGTAGAAAACTAAACACCTCGGAAATGAGCTGCGCTATGCTGTTAGCTCACATGCACTTTGCAAAATGTAGCAGAAGCGGTTAGAATGTGATCGTAATGTAAAAAAAGAAAAATGGTGTTTACCTAATGAAAAAGACTAAAAATAATGATTTTTGCAAAAACGTGCAGTCAAAGCAGACGGTTCTGAAAAGTTCGCAAATACACAAAGTTGAATTTCATATGATATCAATCCCCGGGTCGCCTTTTTTCACAGAAAAAACGTTCTTCAACCATTTTATGGGCTTAACATTTGCTTTTTGATTGAATAAAGTTAGGTTCTGAAACTTCGCATACTCCTTATATTACGGATTTTTTATGCAGTGCAAAAATCTCGAACCTGCCTTCCCGCGCACGCCTCTAAGTTTAGGCTTTTCTGTCTTGATAAAGTAGAGGGGCAGTACCGAGAATACCTCTTAGAGACTAGAGGTGCTATCGAACAAAGAACAAATGCCATGCAGTAAGCGTCGTCGGTTCAGTTCCATACCTAACGTACGACTTCAGAAACGCGTTCAAGTTTGGCGCGCATTCAACGACTCCGCGTTAACATTGAGGCGCTCGATTCGACGTCCTCATTGGTTGTTCCGGATCTGGGATCAGCGAATTGCGATATTCGATTGAAAGCGGTCACCGGGCTGTCATGGCGATAATATGGCGGAAGATTTAAAAAGGGCACACTTTATTTGTTTTCGTTCTTTAATTAAGAAGGGAGATGTGATATCCTGTTAGAAAGACTTATTTTTTTTTTATTTATAATTTTTTTAGTAGGAACGCGTTAACATTTTTAAGTGAAAATAAAAAGCAAACAATAACAACATTTTGTTGGGTTATTAAAGTCCGTATCCTGCACGTTATCATTCCTGTCTGCCTTCAGACTATTAGAAACGCAGCAACAATATAAACGAATAAAATGCGGTACATACGACGTGGAACAAAACTAAAAAAATTCCAGGCATAGGGACCGTGGTCGCCTTATATTTGTTGGTAGCTTTTATATTATTCCTTGCAGCGCTCCGTAAATATTTAGAGGATCTCCAACTATGTATCATCAACGGTCAAGTGCAAAAAGACAAAATATTGGGAAAATATATTAAATAAACGAGTGAGGGCAAAAAGTTTCTTACTTAATTTGAGGCACAAGTATTTTTCTGGTGATGTCATGAAGTTTTGCCACACAGTATATGTTTTGTCTCCGTCGATGACAACGTTTATCTCCTTTCCTGACAGCTTCAAAAACCAATTCGTTCCAAAAACAATTATTTAATTCATTATCGATAGAATAAATACCAAGAAATGTAACCGATCAGTCAATTAATTGATTGATCGATAAAAACAAATCAACAGCTTTTTAGCGACGAAATGATTACTCAATAAATTAATCGTTCGGTCAATTTATAAAACGATAGACAAATTATTACATTAATTATAAACTTTCGTTCTTGCTGCGAAAATAACACCATGTTGTTTCAGTAAATCACGGTTAGGAAAATGCCGTTTTTTATTCCAAGTTCACTAACTTGCAACAAAAAAATAAAAATCGCTCTTCAAAAAAAGCAAGAAAACTCCCTGTTAGTTTTTCTTAGGATTTATCGAAAATCGAATGCGAGGGAGAGCCATTGCATGCTAATTAAATACTTAATTTATTAATTCATTCGTAAATGTTAACAACTGCCAGATCAAATATTGGATGAGTGACAATAGCGCATGGGCTAATCAGTCGTTCTGCACCGGTCTTCAGCGCTGGTCACGCTTCAGCAGTTCATGGACTCGGGCAGGGTCCGCGTTCAGCAGGCGAGGCGCGTCAGCCGGAGTGCCGAGGCGCATTCCATGCTCAGCAGCCTGGAGAAAGGCGACCAGCACGGCCGGAAGCTGGTGGTGCTGGACTGCGCCTACGACCTCGCCAAGGACATCGTCATCCGCCACGTCCGTGACGTGTACATGGGGCGGAGGAACTACCACTACGTGCTTGTGAAACCTGTGAGATCCATCTACCCACCGAGCTAATTTAAGCGCCGTTCACACTCTTGCGACCGAGTAAGACCGAGAGAAACCAGACCGGTTTTTAAGCCTTTTGCGACTTCTTGGGATTGGATGCCCGGAAGCGGAGCTGGTCCTAAGAGATCGCTAGAGACTTAAAAACCGGTCTGGTCTCTCTCGGTCGTACTTGGTTGCAAGAGTATGAACAAGCCTTTATTCTTCGAAGGAACTGTGAAAATTTAAGACATAAAATAAATATTTGCAGCGACCTTTCCCTCCACAATAAGACATGAAATGCATTCTTTAAGGAGCGATCGTTTAAACTTCTTTAGAAGACATGAAACAGTCGTTTCGAGAACTGGAAAGAGAACATATATTTTCATAAATATTCCCACTGAATTGAGAGGGAAGAAGAAGTGGTGGGTATAGATCACGTGACGTTACGTCAATATCATTTGTTTTCCGCTAAATTTATCGGGGAAACTAAATTTAGCTAGAAAATTCTCCCATGCACCAATTCAGCGCTTTACTGCTAGCGAGGAAACTGAACGACTCGTGGCATACATTGTTTTCTGCGGGGAAACCGAATTGGTGAATAGGTCACGTGGTGTGAATTTTATCGCTAAATTTAGCAAGGAAACTGAAATGGTGCTTGGGTCATGTGACGTAAATGTCCACGCTCGCTAAATTTAGCGGGAAATGCACGAACAACGGACATATAAAATTTTAGGATTGAGAGGGTTTCATTAAAGAGTGTGTTATGCTTAAAAAAAAAGAGGAAAACCTTGTTTTGCGTTTTGGTTATTTCCGACAATATTAGGATACGTAGAAGGCGTTAAAGACGTCCAGTATTAACCAGGTGCGACACCACTCCTTGCATGACACCGTCACAGTTTCGCCACGGTTTCGTACTCTTGGGATAGTTGCTTTCCGCATACCTGATTCTTTCCGCATACCCACCGCCTTACGGCGGTTCCAGTATGCGGAAATCATCAGGATCGTACCGTTGATCTTTGCACGCTTATTAAGGTCGTCTCTCGACATTTGTCATCCTATTGGGGCAGTTGCTAAATTGACGCGATGCGGCGCGGCTAGTGCCGGGAAACTTTAGTGTTGGAGGTCCATAGGGTTGCTAACTGACACTGACACTTGTAGGCCCAGGCTGTATCACGCCACGTGGTCACGTGATTTGTGACGGGATGCCATGAACCACGCGACACACTCCCCGCCATGGGACGTACAGTGTACCGCTTCACTGAGATAAATGAATACCAAAAATCCTAGAAGTGCATTTCCATTCATTTTTTTAACACATCTTAAAGTTACGTTGCAAGTTTCAGCTTGGTCTAGGATGAAGCATATTAAAAAATATTATACTGGACGGAGACACATAACAACAAAGTCCATAGTACAAGAAAAAAAAACACTAAATCTTTAGTTTTTTTTTTAAAGTATTTGTCTGTTTTATTCTCGAGTATTATTTATTGCAATAAGCCACCTGATCATTCTATCCTCACTATCAGTGTAACAGTGCTCATCCTCAAGTCTTCTCTTCTCGACTCTTTTCTGGTATCTGCCGATTGGGTGCCTTTGACGTAGTGAATCTAGTCCTGGTGTTTCGTTGCTTTTCTGCGCAGATCGTGAGCGAGCGGTACTTGGAAGGTGTGTCGGAGTTCGCCGCCCTCAACATCACGGCGTTTAGGTTTCAAAACACTGAGGGAATAACGCAAGCGTACAACTACAACTACAGGACGACGGTACGAAACTTTTGAATTATTCGTTATTTCTTCGAATGGTTGTCTGGGAGATTCCTCCGATGGTGTGTTACAAAAAAAAAAAAAAAAAACTTCATTTCCGAAAGTTTTTTATTTTTGATATTGAAGTTAAAAAAGGAAGCCTTATATTTTGAATTTTTTTTTTCTGAGGTTCCCGTCAGTTCTTTTTTCTTTTCATGTTACAATCGCTGATGGTGTTCAGCGCTTCCAACGTGCAAAATCGATGTTTTTTTTTTTTTAATTTAAATCGAAATTTTGTGATTCGCTACACATCTCTATATAATATCGGTAATTGGTCACTAGCCTTGTTCTCCTAAAAACACAAATACCTTGTTGGATTTTTTAACCATCAAGAAATTTGGTGCTTCTACTTTCCCACAATGCACTTGAAGAGCCAATCAGTGCAATCTACAACGAAGGCGCGGTGAATGAACAGGCCGTACACTTGTGACGGCTTAAATATGATACAGTCTACCCTGTCGCACTAGGCATGACGCTTCCCCATGCCCCCAGACACAGCGCAGAGTGTTTTTAATGGCTAATCACACCTTCAGCCTCGTCATTCGAAAAGGTTTTTCCTTAAATTACAGCAACTGGCTCTACCAATTGCTTTGCGGGTTGTTTTAGAGTAAGTGGCTAAATGTGTATGGCAGTATTGACCGTATTAATTCCCGGCTGCAAGATTTTTTCAGCCGAAGTTGTTAAACGTTCGCACGTTCGAAATATGGCTAAAAATGCTCATCGTTGTATGCAATGATCCAGGAGCGGGCTTTTGGCCGCTGCCATTTTCAGCGTTCGTGCGTTTCGCGTATGACTTGTTCGCTTTGCCAAAGCCTCGAACACGCGCCTGCAGGTTGAAATCGCACGCTGGGCTATGGATCGGTTAAACATTTGAGAGGTGTATGAACAAGGTCCTGACTTGATCGTTTGCCCCCTTCTTTGTTTCTTTTGTCTTGGGCAGGCAGAAGAGGCGGCGTTGGTGGACGCGGCGCAGCTGATCATCAACGCTTACCGAACCCTCAAGGAAGATCCTCCGCCCAAGAACGCGGACCTGTTCGAAGATCGCGTCAGCTCCGGGTACTCCGGGGGCACGTCTTGCGGTCGAGTGGCCTACCTCACCAAGGACCAGGGCCAAGTGGTCGACGCGTACCTCAAAAACGTGAGTCGAAAAGAACGGTGAATGACAATGTAATCCCGTGGAAGCCTCGCATGGCAGTAATCCACTTTTTATTCCGCAGAACATGTAGGGCGGTTTCACGTGACGCACTTCCGGCTCGAAATCTTGTCGGACGCCATGTTGGTGAACTTGTGCGCCCAGTTTTCCTGCGTGCGGAGACAGTACTTTCGAACTTACTAAATCTCTTTCGTGTTGCGATCGACTGTGTCAGTCAAAGTAGTCGCGCGAATATTAAGAAGCCTCGACCGGTTCTCAAAGTTTACGTATCAAGTCTTCGTAAAGACTTGAGACGAGCCGGCAATCGAGAAGCTCGCCTGTCGGAAGAAGGCATGGGTTATGCGACCCAAATACGCCCCCGGTCGTAGCTGCTGAGTTCTGTCGTCGACGGAGCCACACGTCAAGCTCGTGCGTCTCGCCAACACCAAGAACGTCGCCGAAGCGCAATCGTTTGCCAGCTAATTAGTGCAGAAATTGGGGGACGCTGTTCATCAACATTGTGGAACGCGGCTGCCCGTAAGCGAAAAGGCGTTTCGTGAAACCGCCCTATGCGCTGAGATGCTGAGGAAAAGGAGGAGACCAGAGCGCGCGGAGGACGTCAGAACGCGGAGCTCTGATTCTCGATTGATTAGAGGGTAGACCTAAAGCTAGATACATTTGTCTCCCCTGCACTAGTCGAACGCGTTCGGATGCGAACGCCAAACGCCCGGGGCTTGCGTTCCGCGTTCTAATGCATTCGACCAGTGCAGCGGAGACAATGGCCAGCATGTTTTACGTCCATACCGCTAATCATTGTAACCGCAGCTCTAGTTCCGACGTCCCCGCGGCGTTCGATTCTCCTCCTGTCCTTCCCCTTCTCGGGCGCATGGCTTCCTGACAGACGAGAAGTCGGCTACCGGTGTGTGGCTTCCAGGGGGTTTCTCTTCCGCGTTTTTTTCCTACCTGATCCGACCTCTCGCGTGTTTTATTTATGCATCTACATTTTCGTTTGTAGATCTAAAACAAAATGTCTTGGCAGCTATTCACTGTGGGCCGCATTCTTGCTAAGAGGCTTAGCAAAATCCTTTAGACAAACTTTAATGGTCACTTTCTGGGTTCCCAGGAGACTGTTTTTTTTAAACTCTTCTTACATGCATCTATCATCTTCATGCCCCACTAATAGCTGAATTTTTTTTTAATTATATTTCATTTTACCATACGTGTGCCCAGCAATCAGTGCCAAAAGCGCAGTGTTTCTGCGTTTGTCGTCTTTTTTTTTTTTTGGTGCGTATATCATCAGCAACTAAACCAACTACGTAAGCGTAAACAATGTTGTAAGTGTGGCAAATCATTACCATTGGTTACGCTCACATTTCTTTTACAAAACATTCAGAAAGCCCAAGAGTCGATGACGTTTGGTCGTAACCGCGTGAACCGTTATTCTGGTCGCTTTGGTTGCGGACAACGCGAGCTGCACTTGTTTAAACAATTTGCACAAATTTTTCGGGATCACTGCTCCCAACATTCCCAGGGATCTAAGAGCGAAGCAGTAGAAACGCGTTGTTAAGACACTGCGGTGGAATCGCCATCGTTTCACCGAAATTACTGCGTTGTCCCACAAGGTGGTCTTCGACGGCAAGACGGGGAGGGTGGCGTTCGACTCCGAGGGTTGCCGGGTCAATTTCACCGTCGACGTCATCCAGGTCAACGGAAAGAACCAGTGGATTCAGGTACACGGCGCCACTTGCACGAAGCCCCTTGAATCGTACGCGCTACGTTATGTTTATAATCCTTGACTGGCTTACTGGATGATGGCTACGAGAGAAACGCTCTCTCTCTCTCTCTCTCTCTCTCTCAGATAGATTTAACTACAGAGAAGAAATTTGGGTTGTGATATTTTTTCTAGTAGTGTGATAAGAAAGGAGTGTTTATATTTAAGTGGACACGAGAAGTTTAAAGGGAAAGAAATCGTCGCCCCTTTGCCGTACAAGCGTGGCGATAGCAGTGATAACAGAGTACCCGATCCTCCAGTGTGGAGGGACTATGTTCGCATGTGGAGACTGGATGGCGCGAAGGGTAGCTGGGTGCCATCATCTAGCAGACAGACCGCGTGGAGAGCAGAACAAACACGGCAGCGCCAACCAGGGCTCTGGTGCCAGCTCGCGGCAAAAGAGCGTATACCTTGAAACTGTTGCTACCGTCGCGGCAAAGTGAGCGCATCTAATGGAGAATCCGCTTTTTCTTTACCGCTTTTCTGTCGCTATTTTTCACGTTCTTTTCTCGTAGAAGCCAGGAGCGCGCTCGTTTCACTGACCAGAACGTCACTGTGTGGCTGAACACGTGGTGTCTTCCACCTGCCCGGGGAGGGAGGGGGGGGGGGGGGTAGGGGGGGGGGGGGGCACACGTATGCATTCGAGGAAAATGCTCGGCCAACACTGGTGCCTAGTCGGTAAGGAGACGATCGCTGCGTCACGGTTCGGCTTGCATTCGGCTTATTGACTTACGTCCCTGGCTGGAAACCGGAAATGATTACGTGCCAGCTGTATAACAAATTATATGCGTTAAAATAATATATGAACATTCGTAATATACGGGCTGCAGTGTCTGTATTTCGATGCTTACCAATCAGTATGTCTCTAATGTTTGTTGACAGTCACGGAAATGGGTTATTAATTTCTGTTATTAGAGTGAAGAAGAGGAGAAATGTTTAATGGGCGAGTACAAAAGAAAAGGTAAGAAACAGGAAGGAGTGGGAAAACGCAGGGATAAAAATATTAAATGAAAATTAGGGAAGTAATAAGAAAAAGCAAAAATAGTCGTATAGTTTTTAGGGGGATTTAGTAAATGGTGTTCATGGGAGGACATTAATATCGAGGCATCTCAAAATAATCAAAGGCTGAAAGAGGAAGAGGAAGAAATTTCACGAAAAGGAGATTAAAATGGGAAAGGTAAGAAGTGTGACAGAGAAAGAGGCGCAGCGGAGAACACGGAACACAGAGAAAAAAGCGTCACCTTTCGTGAGGAAAACAAAAGTATAACGATGGGGGAAAAGAAGACGAAAAACAAAACGAACGTGAAACTGTAAAAGAAGATTATATGAGTATCGTTTTTACACGCGTGTATTTCTACTTTTAGTCATGACTGAGGTGATGAGGGGACAGGAACACAAGGTAAATAGAAACACCCCCCCCCCCCCCCAAAAAAAAAAAAAAAAAAAAAAAAAAAAAATTGGTACTTCATATAGGTTTCAGCGAAGCCCAACTCATGCAATACGTTTCCCAAAACATAAGGCTAGACATTCTTATTCAACATTCGCAATCACGTTAAAAATGTAACTCCTGTGTATTTTGAACATGCCATAGTTTCGCGAAACTATCGCTTCGCAATATTTTCACGTATTTTCGAGCCGACATGTGCTATGCTTTGGCGTGCGTGTTCCACCGACCAACGCTAGGTCGTTTGTAAGAGTGCGGGCCTTTTTCGGAACTCGTTAGATGGAAAAGCCGGAAGCGTCGGTCGTCCCGCTCTTCAACGCGTGTGAATCTTTCAGCGTGCAAGGTCAGCACCGTGTTTGCATTAGGCTCGTCGCAGGAAAGCTGTCCGTTAGCGACAAAAAGGTCAAACCGCTCGTCCTTTTTGCCTAATGAAACTAAACCTCGGCTTTCTTTTTTTTTTTTTTTACTTTTTTTTTTTTTCTTTTTTCTGTAGACTGGAACGTGGTCGAAAAGTTCCGGCTTCGTGCGTTCGGGAGAAAGAAATGATTCTGTTCCTCCGGGTCATAAAGATTACGTCTACAGGGTGACTACGATCCTGGTAAGTGGGACGTTAATTTACTGCGTTGTCAACAGTATTAGCATCTGGCAGTAGCGAAACGAAAGCACAATTATTGGAATTACTCTCAATTCGACGCTTATTTGGTTAAATTACAAGCAAATTGAGTTCACTTAGTGATGGTAATATTATTATAACTAATATCTGTTTTGGCTACAGCAACTGACAGTTTAAAAAAACACGAGGCGCGGCTTGGTATGTTCACACTTCTTACCTCGAGATTGGTCCTCCGGCGTTCATATTGTCTAACGCTTCAATCTCATTGGTTGCGGGGTGATCATAAGATATGCGGAATACGTTCTCTCGTTCTTCAGTTTTTATGGGACCATAGTCAGCTTGTGAAGCCTTAATATCTAAATAATTCTAATTAAGCGATTTGTGTGTTACTCTTCATTTTTGCAGGAAGATCCCTACCTCATGGTGAAGAACAAAAAATACGAGACCGACGGCACTAACCAGACCTACGAAGGGTTTTGCAAGGATCTGATTGATGCCATCAGCCGCTTGACAGGCATCAAGTACCAGCTTCATCTGGTCAAAGATGATCACTACGGCAGCGTTTCTATCGACGGCTGGAACGGAATGATTGGCGAAATTGTCAGCAATGTAAGTTGGTATTTATGTTGAATTTGTATTCTGGTGGCCATTTTTAAAAACTGGGGATTTGTAGCTAAAGTCCCTTGGTACTTCTTTTACAAGTGACGACAACCAATACAAATGACGAAGTGCATTCCGCTAGAACATAATGCCGTCATTCAGTTCAGACCTCTGCTGTGTGCCGCCATTCGCTTCCAAAAACCTGCACCGTCACGCAGTCGGTGCTTCAAAGAATGTTGCTCCTTGTAGGAAGCTTTTATCCAGGTACTTTATTTGTAGCTGGTGATGTATGTGCAGTTAGGTTTGAGTGTGAACGAGTGGTGAGCACTCGATTTATGTTCAAACTCAGAAGGAACATGGTCGTTGGAGTCAATTGTTAAAATGATAAGCTGAGACTAAAGATAATTGTGTATTTCCATACACACGATTATTGTAACTCTAACGATGCAGGCGGTTTTTTGAGCTGTCACTACGCGAGCGAAACCCGAGGAATGGGAAATACAAGCGACGCATACAGCACAGAAAGGTGTGGGTGTACCGTTTCTCAGGTGTCGGGTTTTGAGGCACGATGAATTGAATTCTCTAAAATGAAAGGCGGTTGCGCACATAGGGCAGTTTCAGCATTGTGTCACCAGATCTAAATATATAAATTAGTTATATTCAGATGATCACACCACTAAATGGTCACGCTCTAATTTGGTAACCTAAAAATAAAAATAAAAAATTAACACTTTTTAATATATAATTTGGTTAGGAAGCTCATTATACAAAGCGAAAAAAATAGGCTTAATTTTGTGTCTAAAAATTAATATAAATCTTTTAAAAAATCGGAGGAATAATAAAAAACATGACCACCTCAACTGAAAAACAAACAAAAAACACGCTAAGTTTAGTTTTATGAAGGTTCAAAAAAAGATCTTTTGGTGAACCTAAGCGCCGCATGCCCATGTGTGGGCCCTGGCAGTGCCATTAGCAGTCTCACAGTGTGGGCATTTGTTTATTACTATTACAGAAGCTGTCATCTTCAATTCGCAACCCTTAGATTGTCTCCTAGTGAGATACAATCTTACCATTTGCTTGCCCAACTAGACTATTTGTTAAGGAACACAGCTGAAGGGCAGACTAAGTATGTCTTGATAGCAAGCTTGCTTACGTTGGACAGTGTTCAGGCTCCGAGATAGCGTAGTGTTAGAGGAAAGGTGTATAATTCTGAAGACGAGTCTGGTCGCTGAAACGCCTCTCACGCAATACCAAGAAGCACGTTCGATGATTTGTTTCCCAAGCGAAGCGTAGCCATCAGCGATGAAAGACCGCTTTGCAACGAAGAATGGATATTTGCTAGTCATAAGGTCGGCTCATAAACACGCAGGATGCAGACATTGCCCTGGCTGGCCTGACCATCACCAGTGCCCGAAAGAACGTCGTGGACTTCACTCACCCCTTCCTGACGTCCGGAATCGCTGCCCTGATCAAGAAGCCGTCCAAACTCCAGAAAGGAGTTGGCGTCAACACCTTCCTAGCTCCGTTCGAGTTGCATCTCTGGATTGGCTTGGGCGCCTCGTTGGGGGCAGTGCTCCTCTTCTTGTTCATCTTCGGAGCTGCAGTGATGAAGAACGACCACTGCTGTTACCAGGCCGGCGACGAAGACGTGTCCAAGGACGCAGTGCTCAAAACTGTCTGCGAGTCCTTGGAGATGGTAGCTCCGCTGCCCACAGGCAGCTTCATGGCCAGGTAGGAAGAAATGGTCCCCAAACGCTATATCAGCTTATGTATCCTGAATGACCATTGTGCTACGTAACGCCGCGAGTTTCGAAAAAGAAATTTATTTTGTGCAACCTAACCTAACCTGCCCGAATCAAATCTAATTTAATCTATCACAACCTAACCTAACGTAACATATCCTAATCTAACGCCAGGATTATTTCTAGACGGCATGATTATAAAGCTACCTACCCTAACCAAGCCAAGCCTAATATAACCTAATTTAACGCCGTGATTATTTTCAGAGCGCATGATCTTTTTGCTACCTATCTTAACCAAACTTGACCTAAAGTAACCTAACCTATAACCTTGCCTAATCTAATCAAGCCTAAATTAAAGCCGTGCTTCTTTTTAGAATGGCCACTGTGGTACATAACTTAGCAAAACCTAGCATAACCTAGTCTAATAATTTAACCTAACCTAACGCCACGATTATTTTTTGAAGACATGCAGATTACACTGACTTGAGGAAACTCACAAATCGGCCGTAGTCTTTTCTAATTTATTCTCCAGATTACATAAATATTAGTTGATAACGAGTTTTCTCGGCCTATTCTCAAACTGGAGGATTTTTGAATACCTTGGGAGCTGGAAAAATAAGGCTTCACTACATTTTAAACTGGTTTGATTTGCCATTATTGTAATAAAATGGGTCCGACATGTATTTTAAGGGCCCCTAAAAAGAAACAAAAAATGATTTCTTCTTTTTTTTGTTTGGTAGGGACACGCGTGTCGAGAAATAAATTTTACGCGAACAAAAATATTTTAGAGCAATATTGACGGCGATAGATTTATTTGAACTTCTGCACACAAAGTCCATAACGTCACGGAATGGTCATTCGCTCAACGAGATGGTCATTCGCTCTTTCCACCTCAGCGTGAAGGCGAAGCCGATCCGCCTTTCCTACACACGCCCGAAATGCCGAAAGAGAAAACAATTGGAAAGGAGGTGACCACAGACTCAATCCCGTCTTGCGTCCTCAATATTGCCCTAATTGTTTTTCGCGTAATTTTTTTATTTTTTTGACACAAATGTCTTAATTAGGTTGTTTAAAAAACATTTTCAAGGAAAGCCTTTTTTTTAAATGCAATTAGCGGTGGGTGCCTAACATTAAAAATGAAGGTTCTTCATATGTTGGGTTTCACTCATTTGTCGTTTGGTGCAAATGTTCCGCAGACAACTGGCAGTCGTGACGAGAACCATGAGGCAACTAAACACAAAGCGCGCATATTGTAGTTACAAATAATCGCCACGGAACCTCCGCAAATTTTACCATAAATAAGTACGGGGAAAATCTTTAGCCTGCTGCCACAACTTTCGTATTGTTGCAGGTCCATCTCGGGTCGCATCGTGAGCAGTTTCTGGTGGATGTTTGTCGTGCTCGTGTTTTCGACGTACACGACCACGCTGACGCCTCTGCTGACGCTGAGAGACGCCGAATACAGCAGCATCAGCACTTTGGAGGAGTTGTCCATGCAGAACAAAGTCAAGTTTGGAACGCTGAGGACGGGGGGCGTTCAGGAGTACTTTGAGGTACGTGCTGTGTCTGCGGGATACTTTTGCGAAACGGATTGCGCAGAGGGGATAGGAAAGGCGTTGCTTTAGCCAGTAGTAGCCAATACCACCTACTTTAGCCAATACTAGCCAATACCACCTGGAAGACAAAGCCTGCGTATGACGTCATCCTTAGCAGGCCCTCGACGCGCCCCTAGCGGCACGCTATAGCTGGACGAGGGTACACCGAAAAGCAGGAGTCACGTGCGTCTGCCGTCGACGTTTCGACAGCGGAAATTTGCGTGGCTTGGGTGCTTATTTTATGTTTTAATGCCGATAGCAAAATTAAGCTACTCATCGCAGATTTCTATCTGTCCTTTAATGTAGTTGGAAGGGGTGGGGTTCCTGGCCTTCTTCTAACCTCCTTCAATTCGTGTTCCCCGCTAAATTTAGCGGAAAAATGAACGTCACGTGACCTCTGAACCAATTCAGTTTCCCTGCTAAATTTAGCCAAAAAATTATGTTGCGTGACGCATGCACCAATTCAGCTTCCTTGAGGTCGTCCTAGAGGTTGTTCTCAACGTCGTCTAGGACACCGTCCTCGACGTCGTCCATGGCGTCGTAACAAAGGAAGGAGGTAAACATGACAAATGCTATCGCCATTTATAGACAACCAGCAATACCGGTTTCTCCGTAATTTTTTTATTTTTTTTTAACCCTCAAACTTATTAGGGATGTTTAGGCGGTTGGGCCTCCCCAATAGATCGTGAGGCTTGAGTCCAGAAGGTTTGAAGAGGAGAGAGACGAGAATAAGGGCGTTCATACTCAATGTGTGTTGTATGCACACGTGGAGGGCACCTTGAAAAAAAAAGAAGAAAAAAAGACTAGTTACAGAGCGAAACATTGCGATTTCAGCATCGACAACGTCATATGTTGCAGCCCTACTCAACTCGTAAAATCGATTTTTTTCGGAACTAAACCTCACCCCGCCACTCTTATGTCCTTAAAACGGTGTTTCACGTCTTGGAGTACTTCTACACCTGAAACGCTGCGCAGCCAATTAGATTCTGGCATCGCGAGACGAGGACGCCAAAGAACAAATCAGGAGGCTAAATGCCTGAACGCAATAAGCCCCGCCCTGCGTTTCTAAAGCTGTCTGTCGACATAGATGCAGTTAAAGCAAACATAATATCCCGGCTTTGAAAAAGAAGAAATTATTAAGACAGGTCATTGATGACCCGGTGTGTTGGTCACCTAAGTTAGTTTCCAGGGCTCGCGCATTCCACCTCATCAGTAATTGTCATAACAGTACGTGAGTTGTAACTAAAAAAGGAGAAAACGGCGATCACCTCTTGCTATAGAAACCGACAGCTTAAGAGGCGTACGTCGAGGTTTATTAAGTTTACGTTGATTTCTTTGTAATTGGTTCATCGTCGTTTCTTCTTATCAATGCCGAAATTTTAATGGCTGCGGTGCGGTAATGTGAGGCTCGCGATTCCCCACGCCCTGCAGTTATTTAAAGTTTCCAGTGGCTATTACACTCTAAAAAAAGTTTGTGCGTCTACTTTCACGCACAAAACTCGGAGAGCCAATCACCGCAGCTTACGGAGGCAGCTCAGCGAATGACGATGCCGAAACATATGTTTAGACCAAAAAACGCAGTCTGAGTTGTGACATTAAGCAATGCAAAACGTCACGCTTGCATTGCTTAATGTCACAACTCAGACTGCGTTTTTTGTTCTAAACATATGTTTCGGCATCATCATTCGCTGAGCTGCCTCCGTAAGTAGCGGTGATTGGCTCTCCGAGTGTTGTGCGGGAAAGCAGACGTATGGGCTTTTTGTAGAGTGTATACTGTGACGAGCTCTGTACGCCTTCTGCTAAAAGTTTAACGAACCTTTTTCCACAGATGCATAGCTTTTGCATCCAAACTACTGCGAAAGCTACACAAAAATTATTCCGTGAGGATCTCCCGTCAGCTGTCTCAAAAAAACTTCGGCCTTTTTTTTTTTTTTTTCTTTTGTCTTGTCACCCACCAGGAGTCCCAGTACCGGACTAACAAGCTGATATGGGAGGCGATGAAGACGGAGAGACACGTCTTGGTTGGTACGCGCCAGGAGGGCGTCGGGCGAGTGCGATCGTCGGACGGCAAATACGTGTTCTTCACCGAATCCTTGTTTGCGGACTATGTCAACGGACGTCGGCCCTGCGACACCAAGGTGATCGGAGAGGTCTTCGCCACGCAGTACTTCGGCCTTGCCGTGACGCCGGGCTCGCCCCTGAGGTAAGCTGTTGTTGTTGTTGTTTTCTAGTAGATAAAGCATAGAACGGGCAGATAAACTCTCAAGACGACCGCCTTCCAGTTCTGAAACTTCTCTGAGTGAGAAGGAACCATGAAGACCTTCTCGTGATTCTACGATCATAGCGGACAATTAGAAGGGTAGTTAAATAAGACCGACCTTCTAATTTTCCGCCGTGTTTGCTTAGCGACGGGAAGTTCCTGACTATTGCTTCCTGTCATGAAGGTTCAATTAGGGTGGGAAGGAACTTTCAGGACTGGTGTCTTTTAGTCTTAACGGCCCCCTCGGGACGGGACAGAGCCCTTCTGAACCTTCGCGTCATTCCGCAAACATTCTAGCCAGTCAGAAGGGCAGCTAAGCATGACATACTTTCTGATTGGCCACCATGTTTGTGGAGCGACTGGAATGCCCTGAAGGTTCCTTACTCTTTCGAAGGTTCAAGCAAGGAAAAAATTAGCCTTCAGTACAGGCATCTTCCGGTTCCAAATGTTCCTTCTGGAAGCAAAGAAACCTTTCTGGACCTTCTGGTTAGTCGACAAGCATGGCGGCCAATCAGAAGGGCAGTTAGATAGAACGGACCTTCTCATTTGCCGCCATGTTTGTCAAGCGACGGGAAGTTCCTGAAGCTTCCTTTCTGTCATGAAGGTTTTATTCGTGTGGGAAGGAACCTTCCGGACGAATGTTGTTAAGTCCTACAGCTTTCCGCGGGACGCAAAAGAACCTTCAAAACCTTCACGTCATTCCACAGAAATGTCAGTCATTCAAAAAGACAGCTGAACATAACGAAATATCTGATTGGCAGTCATGTTTGGGAGCGAAAAAATTGTCCTGAAGGTTCCTTTTCGTCTGAAGGTTCAATCACGGAATGACATAATGTTCGGGACGGCGCCTTCCAGTTCTAAATGTTTTCTCGGGGCACGAAGAAACCTTCAGAATCCTCACGTCACCCCAGAAATATGGCGGCCAATTAGAAGGGAAGCTGAATATGACGAACCTTTTAATTTGCTACCATGTTTGTGAAGGGACGGGAAATTTCTGAAGGTTCCTTCTTGTAATTAAGGTTCAATCAAAGAGGAAACCACCCTTCAGTACGGATGTATTTTAGTCTTGAAGGTTCCCGCTCGAAGGAAAAGAGGATTCAGAACCTTCACGTTATTCCAGAAACTTGGCCGTCAATCAGATAGGCAGCTAAACATGAAGTGCTTTCTGAATGGACCTCATGTTTGGAAAGCGACGAAGAGGTGCTGAATGCTCCTTCCCGCCGTGAATGTTCAATCAGGGCGAGACAAAATCTTCCGGACGGCGCCTTCCAGTTCTAAATGTTTCTTCTGAACACGAAGGAACCTTGACGGTCCTCCCGTAATTTCACAAACATGACGGTTTTTCCAGTTTTGAACGTTCCTTAAGAAGGAAAGGAGCCTTCAGAGTTTCCAGAACTTTCCTGTCACTCCCCAAACTTGGCGACAGATCAGTAGGCCTGCCAAACATGGCGGACCTCCTTGTTGATTTGGCAATCATTTTTGTTAAAAATAGCTATGTAATTAAGTGACTCCCAGATAGTTTTACAATAAAGTGGAATGTGGAGAAACATTACATGTTACTTTTCTTGGTGCAGGGAGAAACTGAATGAGGCCATCGTCAACATGACGGAGTCCGGGGAGATCGACGAGATGAAGGCGAAGTGGTGGGCATCGGAGTGCGACGCCCCACCTCCGGTAAACTTATCGAGCTGTGATATCTGCCGCCGCTTTGCTCTAAGCCGAACATGGCGGAAGGTAGCATCGGTTACTTGTCTGCTCAGTAAAACTACACCTCGACTTTCGTTAAAAAAATAATATCAAAGACGGCCTTTTTGGACAATGTGCCGTTCAGTCAGCATAGCGGACACTGACTTTTTTTTTTACGTGGAACAAAGCAAACGCGAACGCATGCAGAGGGCAGAGCTATTGAGAGGAGTTAAGAGTACGGTCAACTGGCGTGTTCTGTGAAACCGCCCCATTTATGATGTCACTTCCCCGGCTTATTGGACACCTTTTGAGCGAAGCGAAGGAGTGAAAGAGCATACATGCGGCAGAACCAGTTCCTCCCTCCCTCCCCACCCCGTCTTTTTGGTTCATTACTACACTAAAGGCAGCGCGTCAGTCGAGGTAATAAATTCGGTAAGCGAAATTTTAAAATCAATTCGAGGGAAGGGAGAGACAGAAATAGGTAAACTAAAAGTTATTAAAGTGAGTATCTCACGGTCGGACAGCTGAGGCATCGCATATTTGACAGCGCAATGCCCGTCTTAGCTCCGTGTTCAGTCCGTGTAATTCGTCTCGGTACTAAGCAAGCCCCAAGATCAGTTGCTATTTGTACGTTCTGCTTTACCATTATCCTCCTCGCACATCCGGAACATCGCTTAGCCATTTTTATTTGAGATACATTACAGATACAAACTGCGTATCAATGCATCACTAGAACATTTTGATTTTTTTTTTGTTTTATTTATAAAAACCTGTTTAATCATCTCCGAAATTGCTTTACCAAACAGTGCCTATTTTGCTCTTTTCAAGACGACCATAATTTCTTTCAGCGCATTTCTTCTTGTTCGTGAAGTGGTAAGTCTAGAAACTAGGTGTGTCTGTTTCTAGCTACACCGTGCAAAAAAAGAAACCAATAGCAATAGCAAATATTATGAGATGTTCGAATGTTGAAACACAATGTAGTGCACTTTTGTTTCTTTTTAACGAGTTTTGACATGACACATTGACCACGGAACGTTTTGACTGCTTGACAGACATAGATGATTCTGCAGTTACATCTACGGTTAGCATGTATTCGTACCGAAGGTCCGCTCCGACCAGGCATTTGGAATTCCGCCGATCCTCTGTGTGCACAACATACGTAGTAAGTCACGTCCCGCGCATGTTAAGTAAGCAATACGTGATGAACCTGTGTCCTCGAGGCTGCTGCGCGCGTGACCATCTCGGGCACAAACTAAGTCTGAAAAATAAGCTGTTTTTTACACATGCCAGATAGTTTAATAAAAAAAAAAACAACCCCGCAAAGAACGGTTTTTGTAGGCGGTGTTTCGATAACATGTTAATAATTACAAAAAAAAAAAGTCCGATTAGCGTTTGCACCGCCTCGTTAGTTTGTCAACATACAAAGGTTAAAAGGGCAAGTGAATATCTTTTTCTTTTCTCGAGTAATCGAAGTCGTACCACTATATATTACGACGTGACAAACAATTATCATTTTAGTAATTTACCGGTGTAATCCGCGAGTCAAGATAATTTTCTAAACGTGGAAATTAGGGATGCCGCGAACCACCCTAGGTTCGAGTTCGAATGATGTCGATATTTTCGAACCGAACTGATGTTCGAGCTCGAAAGGTTTCGATATTTTCGACCGTACGGAGATTCGAATTCGAAAAATTCGCAACTTTCAAAAATCGTGGAGTTTCGAATTCGAAAAGTTCGAAACTTTCAGGGTGTCTAAAAGTTCGGGTTCGATTATTTCGAATATTTTTTACTTGAGGTTCGTGAAATTCGAAGATTTCGAGCTTTTCTAACTTGAAATTCGAGAGATTCGAATGTTTAGAATTTCTTTGGATCTGAAATTCGAAAATTCGAACGTTTCGATTTCTTATCGACATGAAGGTCGATAAAATTCAAAGATTTCGAATGTATTTCTACATAAAGTTTGAAGGTGATTCTCTTTTAGCGCTAAATTCGAAAAAGAAACTTAGGTTTCGAACTTCTTTAAAGTCCAAGTGCGCAAAGTTCGAAGTCCGGTTTTCATGCTCTGCCACAGTTTCAATCTCAAGTAACGTTTTCACGCCTCACTGGTTTTCACGAAATAAGGTTTAGAAATGTTCGGGTGTGATATTCAGATTGCGCGAAGTTGGTCAAGCAATTAATTGAGACGACGAGTGTCCCGGATGTGCTGGATTATTTGCCAGTGCAGAGTGACGTGTGCAGATCAGTAATTGTGGCCGCCAGCCCGGGGGGGGGGGGGGGGGGGGGTGTCTGTAACGTGCATCACGCAGTAGTGATCACACGAACGCACTGTTTAACGATACTCATCCAGTTCGAAACGGCCAGGGGCAGGCAGGTGGTTGACTCGAGGGTCACTTGAGGCTCAGAAAAACCTTGAAGCGAACTGGCAAACTGTTTCCCCACCCCCTTGCACACTGGTAGTAATCCGCTCGAACGCCGCCCGGGTGACGCTGGCATATAGTAAGTTTAGTTTGTACATGATGCAAAATCCTGAGACTGGGAATGAAATATGAAAGAAAAAGTGTAAGAAGTCAGAAAAAAGGGGACAGGACAACGTCTCAAACTCAGCTCAGGGCAACGTCTCAAATTCAACTCAGCTGAAAACTCAGCTCAGGAATAACGTCTCAAACTCAACTCAACTGAGTTTGAGACTTTCTCCTGACCCCTTTTTTCTTTCTTCTTACACTATTTCTTTCGAATTTCATTCCCAGTCTCGGGATTTTGCATCATGATCAACATACACCAGCTCGCCTGCACCTTGACAATTTTTTTAGTTTGTAACTGTTTTGGAGGTTTATTTTCGGAGACGGAGAAACGCCGAGCAAAAAGCACAGAAGCCGACACAACTTGAGGTTGTGTCTGCCATACCAGCAGCGTCGGAAGAGGATAAACGGGAAGGAAGGGGGGGGGGGGGGGGGGGCTCCAGTCTCCCCCCCCCCCCCCCCCAGATATTTCGGGCTGTTAAAGAAAACAATACGGCGAAAGAGGGCATGGTCGAGCTTATTTTAATGTGAAATTATTTATGCATATGTATAGCTACTGTCTCTCTTCACTGCATAAAAGATCGCTTGATGGTCATTGTTAGAAACTCGTTGTCAGAAGGCACTACTCGTCACATGCTTAGTGGTCCGGAAGTTCAAAGCTATGTCCTTTTGACCTAAATAACTGTGCCATTGGTAAAAAAATAAAAAACAAATAAACATAACAATAAATGCAAAAAATAAAAAGCTGGAGAAAAAAAAAAACTATCAGGAATCCGCCGGAAGTGTGGTATTCTTGCATATTCAGAGACCCAGAACTATGAAACAAATTTCTCCTACCAACATGTGTGCAGGCTGAAAGAAACGCGTCCCAAAATGTGAAATGAAAAAATAAAAAAATAATAATAAATGTTTTCTTTTTTTACGACGTGCCGAATTTGAGCAATATTATAAATCTTTTTCGCTGAGTTACTTTATTCCTCAACGTGAAAAGAACAATATATACATTAATTTGTACTCTCCAGATAGTAATGATATGTACTGTCTGTGGTGTTAATTTAAATGCGATACCTCAAACTATTTCGACGAAAAAAATTACCAAGTTTAGGGCATCATTGCCCGTAGATACATATTTGGATATTTCTTCGAAACTCGCCTTGAACAACAATAATCATATCTTAAGACGACACTTACCTAGGTTATACATTGATCATTCTTAAAAAAATTAACATCTCTACCATAAATATCTTCGGCTATAGCGCGCTTCAAATATGGCACAAACGACAACTGTCAAAAACCCGTCGTCCTTCCTTGCTCCTTCGGGAATCTATTTCTTTAAAACCAAGCATGCCAGATGAATGAAATAAACGGCATTGTCTTTCGCAAAGATTGCGGCACCACATGTAAAAATGCGAGAAAAAAAATTACGAATGTACCTCACTGCTTAAATCCAAATGAAACCGCCCGCCCATCTTTCGAAGTTCGACGAACTTCGACCTTTTACCCAAAAAATCGAAGTTTGTCGAACTTTTGACTTTTCAGGAATCGAAATTTCGACAATTTTCGAATTCTTTAGATTAATAAGTTTGAAAGTTTGAAAGTTATCTAATTTCTTAGCGTAGGAAGGTCGAAAGTTCGAAAAGCTTCGAACTTTTTTGTGCAAGAAAATCGAAAATTCGAAAATCATCGATTTTTTAGTCTATCAAGTTCGAAAGTTCGACAAGTATCAAATTTTGCAGCGTAATAAGTTCGAAATTTCGAAAAGCGTCGAACTTCTTAGTTTAACAAGTTCAAAAATTCGACTTCCGTCGTATTTCTCGATATGGAAAGTTCGAAGATTCGAAATCTTTCGAACGTTTCGAACCGCTTGATTCGATCATCGAAACTTCGATTCGAAAAAAGTTTGCGGCATCCCTAGTAGAAATTTAGGAGAAAAAAAAAAGGTTTTTCTGCACCACACCGTAAACTTTGCGTCAAAAGAATAAAGCAAGAATGTCACGTCACAAAAAGACGACCTTGCACTTTGACTTAAATATAGCCAGACAACTCACCAACACTCGCAATACTTTCAGTTGGCTTTTATATATTTTTTTATCTTAAACAGTTTTGTCACTTTATCCTGTTTGTTTTTTCACGACATGAAAACGTGCGGCTGTGCACTTTTCCAGTTCATCTACGATGCAAGAAGACAAATGCCTGTTCGGAGCGAGCCTTTAAAAAAAAGCGGAACCAACATCGTTGCACCTTGTTGTCACGGGTAGTCGCACACGCAGATGCACACATCTATGCTTGTGGTAGGTGACCTCACGCGACACACTCTCTAGGAATTGTGTTTTGTGAACCCCTGCATCACGGTCAAGTGTCGAGCTAAGGAGTTTGCTGCCATTGCGGGTTCCCAGTGAACACACCTTAACCCTCACGCCACTATACGGTGACGACATGAATGAGATAGGCTCTCGATACTCCGTTTCACATTAAGTGCGATTTCAGTCGACGCCACGATTTTACCCGGCCAATCGAGCATTTCCAAAAGTGCAACGTCACGGCGCTCGTCGGCTTTATGCGTTAGCAATTCCTGGGTAAACAAAGTCACACACGGTGAATGCGGCATGATTGTGCGATTTTTCTGCATAAAATGCGCATAGTCACGCATAATCACGCATAATCACACCGGCTAAATCGACCACGCACGTGTGCCTGGTTGGTTCAGCAGTTGATAGAAAACGCCTAAATGACGACGAGCGCCTTCACGATCACTCTTGGCGTTGCTGGGTTGTATCCGTCGAATCGGTGCGTCGGCTGTGGTAGGATTTATTGTATCCTGCATTCGATCTCCGCTCCTCACTGACGAGCGGCGATCGTCAGTGAAGAGCAGCTGAGCCGTTGGCAGACGATGTCGAGTTTGGGGAAGGCATTAGGAAGGAACTCGTTCTCAACACGCGCTGGGAACATTGCGCTCAAATATGACGTCCAGTGAATAGCACCTACCATTCCGAAGAGTCTCAGAGACAAAATCAGAAGAAAAGAAATCCCTGCGACAACTTAAAAAAAAATATGCCATTTTTTTTATTTCTTTTTATTGAGCGTTTGCATTGTTTGATGTAACGAAGAAAACTCCATGTTGACTTAACCTGAGACTGGGGTAGAGAAGAAACATCAAAACGTAGACGGGAGAGAAAATAGACAGGACGACGTCTCAAAACTCATTCGGTTCAGCTGTACACCGGTCTCCAACAGGGCTGCAACGCCTTATGCGGTGTAGGTCTCGCGTTCTTTCTAAGACAGCCTGCACGCTGATCTGTTAGGTTGGGATCTCGTATTTTGAGCGTAGACTGGCGAACTCTAGCAGAAGGTGCGTGTAAATGCATCTTGTTCTAGTGTCAAAAGAGTGCGAATGAATTAGGGCTGGCTTTTCAATTCTATGCCACAAGCTTGTTGTCTTCGTCTTAGTACGATTTATTATCCAGATATGCATCTCTATAAACCGCACCAAAAAGCTATATGAAAACTGCCCAAAAGCACTCCATAAAGGTTGGGGATTGAAACAACTCCTCACGGGAAACCAGAATACATATTCTGTTTAAGAAATTTTTTTTTTAATTTCTTTTCATCGATTTGTGATTACTTCATTTGCATATCTGAATTCTGTTTCATAGATAAAAATTGCTTTCTTATTTATAATATACTTCCACCATTTTATTCAAACACCTTTTTTAAATAGTAAAGCCGCAGTGCTGAATTTTCGCTGCCACCTAAAGAAGGTCGAGGCGGGGCGTGGTTTGACCACGACTGCTGCGCTAGTCATCGTTCGGCCGTGTCTCATGTTTTAACTGATCGAACTCGAGCCCCTGCACTACGACTTTGTTCCTTAGGAGATGGTAGTTATTCACACCTGATTCTTTCTTTCTTTCTTTATTGTGACCAGGACGAACCGATGCGTCTGGAGCTGTTCCTCCACATCATCTTCTACTTGGCTTGCCTGCTGATCGTCGGCATCGCCGTGGCCCTCCTCGAGCTTCTAGTGAGAGGCTGCAACAAGTGGAGGTTTTCCAGGGTAGGTTCTACAGATACTATAGGTCCCGCAGTGTGTCCTCACACCTATGGGCTTCGTCCAATAAGAACGAAAAAAAAAAAAAAGTCTTCTTTATCCTCCGATGAAAACAAATTTATCTTCACGTGCTTGCCGCTAGAGGGCGTCGTGCCAGCTGAGACAGTCAGCTATTATAAATCCAAAAATACAGCTAGCTCAATTTTGTTTGCTGTTCTTGATTAATTGCACTGCTAAGTTAGACATAAAACATATGCACACCAAGACGATGAAAAAGCTGCACATACAAGTGCAAGCTTACATGTTCGTGTATGCCCTACTTTCTCTTAGCGAGTGTTCCACGGTTCTCAATTCACGCTGCCGTGGTGGCGCGGCTGTCGGCACAACGCATGTGCGGACGCTTCACTCTACGCCAGTCTGCTTCCTGCCCAATCGCGGTGCCCATATTTGTAGTGGGCCAATGAGAATTTGTGTATAAACAACGTGTAACTTAACAGTGAAGTTTAATCGACCAGTTTAACCCCTATCGTGTAATACATTCCTCGAAATCGTTTGAGATTCAACTTCATCATGAAATAACACGGCGAAACTACTTATCCCAATCTGAAGCACTATTTCTTACGTTTGTTTCAAGTGTAAGGATCCTCATGGGCTGTGTATATCTTTCAGGTTAAGAGGAGCGCCTCGTCGAGAATGATGCAAGAGCCGGACGCGCCCCTGAAGACCATCACCTGATCGGGAAATCCAGTGCGTTCTGTATGAAAGTGCATATCCGTTACGCAGGTTGCTGGTGTAGAAGGTGCATTCAAAATCATGATTCAGTTTATATTTTTTTTTCGTAGCAAGTCCATACATATGTTTGTTTACAAATACCGGGGATAATAGCAAATAGGTTGGAACCTATTTGTTTGGTGCTGGTACTGCGTCATGCTGGTAATTACTCATTTTAAAGGCAAGAAAAAAAAAACACTTGGTTGAGCAAGTACTGACAAAATGTTTAGTGTCCCCATTTTTCTTGATTTTGTTATTTTAAAGTGCGGCGTAATTCCTTGTCGTAAATTGGTTAAATTGAAAAGTTAACAAAAATTCACTCTTTGCTAGTGGATCAGAGCGGAGCAATAATCCAGTAGAAGTCAGGACCCTGAATGACCTGAATGTTTAGTAGCATTCCACGTAAATATATCAAAGTGAACGAAGAAGAAACAAATTTCAATGTAACTTATATCACAGACAAAGTATTCAAGTTGATTTTTGTATTAAATCACCTTATTTACGAGGGTTGATTGATGCTACAGATATGTTCACCTTCAAGACAAGATGGCTTCACTATAAAGTGTATTAACCAACTTACTGCAAATGCATCTTTTTATCTCAAACTGAATAAGCGGCATGAAAAAAATGCATTATTTATCTTTATTTTTTATATGAGAAACTAATTTTTGGAAAAATCAATCATTATTGTGCTTGCGTGTGTGTTTACTTCAGCTTTAAAATCTACCAGCAACGTATTATTTGTTTCGACATTGTGTTCAAACATCTATTGAAAGTCACTGTAACGCTTCGGAAACTCTATCTCTCTTTGGTGTAACACCAGGAGATAATGTATATGACAGTTAAGGAGCAAGTATACTCGAGTAATTTGACATTCGAGTTACAATAGATAAAGTACTATATATATATATTTACCTCGCTCGAATGGCTCTTGATGGGTCACTCAGATTGAAAAAAGCTCTCACTGCCTGGACCGTTGGCCAATTCTATGGTGTGACACAAGAATCATATATACACCTACAGCTCACTATGTACATAGCAGTGCCGCTTTGTGTCAACCTTTCGTCCTGTATAGACAACTAAGTGTTATGATTGTATGAACTGTTACTGAATTGAGGCAGAACCATGTAGATAGAAACAAGGCAAGGCGATGCTATTTGCTATTCGTCACATGGTATACGTGATTCCTCTCGTTGCGATGCGTAAGTTTTAAGGTGTCGCTAGTGGGCTATCTACATTTTTGTTTCATAGGGCAACTCAGCATAGTTATTTAATGGATCGACTTCCTTTACAAACGTCTAAAACTAGCGAGTTTGAGTTTAAACAAATCCGATTGGCGGTGTCTGTTACAGTAGACAGACGACGTGTGAAGTAGTGATTTATTTCTAAAGTTTCTTAGGCACTGAAGTGCTTTATGACGTATCCAAAGCTATTCTTCACGATCTAAAAAATGCATATCTTGTTATAAGTAACGGATGTTTGAGGCATGCAAACAAAAAAAGAAAAGATAAAAGGTTTTCTGTTTGCTGAATAACAGGTGTGATAGCTGTATTCGGGGACATTTAACAGATATTAGCACTTGTGTTTGCCTTTGAGTCAAAATTCGGATGTTAAAAATCCTTTACTAACGAACACCTTTACCCGCGCGCGCGTTAGAACCATTAGACCTTAAACCAATACGCTCAGTAACAAAACAGTGTTTTATCCTTAACTTTTACTGTAGTTTAGCGTAAAAAAGGAGATACAAACTAAGAGTAGCTCTGTGTGTACAAACAGTATTTACCTAATATCAGTACCTGGAACTTAGTTATCATCCTGTTTGTCCTTCATTCACTTCTTAAGGCCATGATATGCTACGTTAACTTAAACCAAGAGAGAGTCATTTGTTGACAACGTGACAAGTATTGGTTAAATGGACTAGTTATTCAGAAAGTAACCGCTCAGCTTTAAAACTCAAATTTTTATATTTGTTACTATGTTGTACATCGTCTTGTCTTAACGAAGGTTTTGCCACTTGATGACGGCCATCTAAAGTTAAACCACGCCAATCCAATTGTAGGTTGCTTGTTGGTTACCCTTGGTGAAAACCAAAAGCTGACTTATTTTAATATGGTTCGGATTTTAACGAATTTTGCGGATTCTTCCTTTTCGTTTTACATTCAGCTGACATTTTGTTTTTAATAACTATAATCTATTCCCCGTGTGACACTTTTTCTCTCATAAGCCTTATTCAGTCAATAAAATGTTAAGTTAGTCACCGGCAGTTACGGAGAGGGAAAGCGTTGCCTGTTATGTTAATTTTTTTTTGCTTTGTGATTCGTGCTTTTGCGTTGTTATTCAATATTGCTGTAATTTTATTGGCTGAGAATGGATAATGAGATGGTTGTGGGGGCTCACCACACCCCTCTTTTTTTAGGCTGTCAGCGACAATGTATGCACGCCACAAAAACAAAACAAGTTAGAGAAACCTGTAACATACTGACACCAAACACAGTTCCAGGCACCCTTCTTACACATGGTCAAAACTGTTTGTTTAATAAAATGGTCCTAAATTAAAAAGAAAAGAAATGATGTGTAAGGTTTTGAGAAGATGGTGAAACGTGTTGCTCACGCTCGTTGACTTTTTTGAGGCTGCCTGTACTGAACGTCGTAATTGCTCGAAAACGGACTTATCTCTTCTGTCCCCTAAAAGCCACTCAAGCCGTAAAAAAGGGTGCCGCAAGAAAATTGTATTCCGCCCAAGTCGCACAACATGCAAACCTCTCTAGCGCCCCGTGAATTCAGCTTCGATGGTGCATGCTAACCATGGCAGGGTGTAGCGACCGCGCTGCATCCGCAAATCTGTACCTTAGACGCGCCCAATGGTGGAGCGTGTTTTCAGGGATGGTACCATCTGCACACTCACAGACACAATCGTTTGTAAATCGGTTGTTCTCGAACTGCCTGTTAAAACTGCCCCCTTCACTCCTAACATTTCCTGGCGTTCGAAGCTGAAACCGAGTTTGAAAGATTGTAGCTCTTGCAGCATTCTTGCAATTCAATATATTAAAACACGCTGACGACGCTTGCCTTTTGGTTGCCAACCTATGGTAGGACAAAAAAAAACCATTGTTAAAAAAATATGCGGATGGTGTGCAATGCTCATGAACGCTGTCAGATCATGTGAGTGACAAAGCTGATCAAGGGAAATTGATTAGGTGTGTATTTTTTTGTGCAGCGGGAGGGCATAGCCACGCGTTTGCTCATCTCCGTTCACCATCACTGCTATGCTGACAGGGCGGTGAAAGCTACGAGGTCGACGAACTAGCGAAGCATCGGTCGCGCATCATGTGATCATGATCCTTGCGCATATTCAAGCGCAGGGAGAAAGGTCACGTGATGAATAGCAGTGTAGTGATTAGTCCGCAAGCACGTAGCTTTCACCACCCTGTCACTTTAGCAGTCAAAATAGTGTTTACTCAGGCTCGAATGACAACTGTACTTTCGCTCTGAACTTGCCGAGTTATGCTGGGATTGTACTGCCCGGTATACTACATTACCACACCTAGAAACTTGTTGAAACCTGTTCATGCTCTAGCCATTCCAGCGCTACCGCCCGTCAACGCTGTTGTCTGTTTTAGAGCCTGTTAACTGTACAGTTGTTAGTGTGTCCGACGTAGTTGCTTTAGTCATAGGCTGTGCTTTGCTGCAATGTTTGAATATTTCGTTGCTCGTGAGCGTATTCAGGTTGATACGCGCAGCACAAGTTCGTCTGCTTCTTGTACAGGAGTTGCGAGGACGTCGGAAACGCCGAACACTGACTGGTTTTGACAGAAAGAATAGTGGGTAGACCCCAATGCTAGCTGCCTTGAGGTCTACCCACTATCGTTTCAACCAAAGCCAATCAGGGCTTGGGGTCCTGACGTCACCGAAACCCCTGCGCATGATGCAGACGAGGTTGCGCTCCGCACAGTCACTGTCGGCTTAAGAAGCGCCGGGCGTGGCTGATTATGTTCACGCTTCTCGCTTTGTAATTCATCCCTCACTTTCAGAAAGTGGGGGAGGTTGCAGTACTTACACCCCTTGTTCAAAACGTAACACCCCATAACACTAGAATTCGACATTCAGCCATCTGACATCAAACCGACAGTATACCAACTTTCACGAGCGACTTGATAGTCGAGTAATGAAACTTATTAAAATAGCTGATGTACGCAATAAAGACTACGGGACAACACTCAAGGCTTTTGTTGGTTCCGCTGCAAAACTTGATTTTTTATGTTGTCTTTGATACGTACATCAGCTATTTAGTAAGTTATATCACACGACTATCAAGTCGCTCGTAAATGTCGGTATCGTCAGTTCGCCGTCTATAGACTGAACGCCAAAATGTAGTTTTGAGGTGTTGCAAAATGTGGTGTTTGTACTACACCCCCTATTTCTGAGAATCGTCGTCATGTATATTGGTTTATACCACAGTCTCATTGGCTGCGGTGCACTAATAAGATGAGTGGGACCCCGCCATGCCCTGCGTTTCTAAAGTAGTCGGTGATTATGCAGTTGCTTGTTTTAATTCCAATGAGCGCTATCTTAGAAGCCAGGATGGCTGCTTTCCAGAAAGGTGGAATAAAAAATGTTTTTGAAGCCTTCGCACTTTTAAGACACCCTTTTTTCAGAGTAAAATGTGATCTTCAAAATAAAAGGGCTTTCTTTGAACATGAGACATGAACCGACAAATGGGAGGCGGATACGTGACCAATAGGGCAATATCTCCATTTTCTGGACTTTGGCAGACATCCTTCCTTCTAACAAACTGCTTGCTGCTTTTAGTAAAAAAAAAAAAAAATCACATCCATGAGAATTTTATGCGGTGTCGCTGTTGTACTTTGCAGACTGCTGAAGTAAAGTTTCTTAATAACTGGGTTATGTCTCGTGAGCGTCTCATTTCAGTTCATATGTTGGTTACTGTGGATAGAACCGGAGCGCTAGCGTGTATACGCTTAGTGCCAGCCCAATACCAGTTGAGTGTCACAAAGCCAAAGTATGTAGTTTTTAGTCACATACAGTCTCAGATCTGTACGTATACTCGTTCCAAGTAAATTACTTGTAATCGATTACTTGTTGAAGCGATTTCGTTGTCATTTGAATATATTTATTAGGAAGTAATAACAAGAGTAATCTGACCACTTTTGAAAGTACCATAATTACTTGGAACAGTTACTATTTTTCCCTCGCCTTCCTAATGGCGCCTTTCTTTCTAAAATATTTTTTTACTAAGGATTTTTTTAATAAAATTTCCTGTCTTAATCTACACTTAGTGGAATAAGAAGATAACTAAATTCGGTGATTCTAATCCAATAATAGACATTTCGAAATGCCTACTTCCAAACCGGCCGATTTGTCTTTTTGAAAGTCCGAATTAATTGGAGAAGCAATGATTCGTCCTTCAAGTAAAGGCCAATTACTTTTACTCCTAAGTAATCGAGTAATCTAATTAAATACTTATTAAGTAAAGAGTTATTGTAAGAGTAATCGATTTTTTTCTCGATTAACGTGTACAAGATAGCAGTTTTGTCGCAAGCGTGTAGCGAGATGAATTAATACGTTAGGTCTGTGTCAAACCTCCCCTCAAATTTAAAAAAAAATAAAAAAAAGTTGTTAGAGAGTTGGCTGTGTTAGTGGATTCTTTGCGTTCGCAACAGTTACAGCTGCGGTGGTGACAGTGCGTAGTTACTTTACACACGCGCCTGAACTACAGCGCCTGGAACAACGAGTCTACGACTGGTGTGCTTAGCGCCCTACTCCGCCCACGCGTCGAAAAGTAGTCCCCTAGTGGGAACAGACGACGTCACAAAAGCCGGAGCGTCGTGCTGTCGGATGTCACGATCCTAGCAATTGGTCGTAGAAATGTCGGCGAAAAAGCGCGAACGAACGCGAGTGTCGCTGTTGTCGAGGCGTATCCCAACTCCTGGCTGGCCGAAACTAGCTTCCGCGGACTGACAAGTTGGAAAGCAACGTGCAGCAGAAGGGGAGGGTCTGTTACAGCCACCACTGCTGCTGCAACGCCGCCAGGATCGCGGCCGGTGACAGCGTGACAGTTTTATGACGTCATCAGGTGGAAATAGGGGGACAGCTGTTTTTTGTACGCGGTAAACACGTCGGTCGGAAACGCGTTTCGGGTACCATGTAGTACCCGAACGGGAACGTCATCCATCGCACCTGTCGACTCAAGCGATCCGGGACGTGCCACACTGTTAGGACGCTTAATTATTTCTTACCACGTAATTCGTCCTCCGACTTTTTTTTTTTTTCTTTACGGCTTATGACGCAAATTTATTGGCTGCGGAGTGACAGTAAGAGGCTAAAAAGCGAGATGTTGGATACCTTGACAAAACTTTGTAACGCCATTTAAATATTCACGGATTCATATCGATGCTGGGCGCACTTTTGTCAGGTAAGGACATTTGAAGCATGCTCGCAAAACGACAACTCAAAGCTAGCGAACTGAAATTAAAGAAAGAAAAAAAATTAGTTCACGTCGGTTTGGTGATTTCGGCTCACTTCTCAACCTAAGCCATCCAAGCTGGAAACAAGGCGAACGATAGGATCATCCAACAAATCGAACCCCTCTCCAAACAGGGATTCATATTTCACCGAGACACGTAGCCGCACTCATCGTGAAACGCCCCAGACCCCCCAGACCACCGGCGACCAAAAATAAAAAGAAACAAAGTACCAAAACGAGCCTTCCTATAATCCCATTTCAATTCAGATCCTCGCCCCTTTTCCTCCTTCCCCCCCCCCCTCCCCCCCCCCTTCCAAACCCACCCCTCCGTAGCATGCAATCCCGCTAGAAACCCAAAAGCCATCAATAGACCAGAAGTTCCGCCATACTCCCTCCACACTGTATACCTGATAGTTCGGTAGAAGCTACGTGCTCGCCGGACCAATCAACCCCGCTCTCTGTCCGAGAGTATGCGCACAACGCGTGATCACGTGATACAATACCTCCAGTTGATTGGTCCAACAAGCCCGTGGCGTACAGCGCAGAGTCAGCTTGGCAGCGAACAGAGTATAGCCTGGCAACAACCGGTCCGCTTCAGTTGCGCGCCGTTAGTGCGCGGATCGATCGCGAGAGGGCGCTGCGGCGCTCCCGCCAGGGTGACGTCACCGGGGTCTTCCCGTCGTGCCCCGCGGGGGTGTCGGATCGATGAGCGGGGGTTCTGGCTCCGCATCCATTTGAAGGCTTCCCAACTGCATCTTTCCTAGATGCTGGGAGAGGACATTGCCTTCTCCGCATAACGGTGGTGGTATCTTCAAGAGTGGTTCGCCAAGTTTAGGCTTCGAAGGTGTCATCCTTATAGCATTTTTGGAGCTGTGGTTGTGTACGCGGTTTGGTGCTGGGTAGAGAGGACTGGAGTTGAAGGTTGATAAGGTCGGTTGGTCTTGATGTTTGGAAGCTGTTGCGCCGGCGGCATGGGGAAGACGCTCCTGGTGATGTTGGTGTCTCTTTTTTCCGCCGGAGTGTTAGAGGAGGTGTCGGCTGTCAAAATCGGTACGTACACGTCGCTATAGATTTTATCCGAGTTTTTTTTTTTTTTGCTTACTTTGTTTTATGGAGGAGCGGAAAGCAGTTCGGAAGTTAGAAATTAAGTTATCAGTTCACTATTTTATATTTTATATATCTAAAAAGAATCTTGACTAGTATGAAGAGAGATGTTAGTCTTCGCGATAGGTTAGTGAACAGTGCACTAAAAATATAAGGGCAGGTTAAGCGAAATACCAATGCGTGCATTCAAAGTTGATAAGCCAAAAACATTCAAAAAGAAGAAAAGTTTAGTCCAAAACTAATATTGCTTCTAAAAAAAAAATGTTTTTATGCATCTATAGTTCTCGTCACTTAGCACAAAATAAGGGATTCGGCGCTCTCGAGTGAATTGTGGCAAAAGTCTAAAAAAAACAGCAAGACACTATTCCCATTTCCCAATTCATTAAGCTCCTGGGAGCTTAAAATAGAAAGCGGAAATTAGTTAGATTTTGGCGACAGACGTGAGCCACGCCCTTAAAAGAATATCGCTAATTTGACACCTCGCTTACACGCCCGACTTGTTTTATCATTCACGAGCGCTCCCGTCTTTTCTTTTGTAAGGTTTATTTTAGTTGTTAATAGAAGGACAGCCATCATATTTTTGTAGAATCCGAGCTACAGGCAGGGTCCGGTCTAGCTCCTTTTTTTTATTTCCGGTTTGTTTACGGTAGCGCTAAGCCTAGCGACATTTCTCACGCTCGATCGTAGCTAGACGATAAAAGTTTCACGCGTATTGTTTAGGGTTGAACTTTTATTTAACATAAATAACTTAGGTTTGTTATTGATCTCTTTTTTGTTTCAAATAGGCCATAAACAAAAGTATATAAAGTTTGTCCAGCTTTTATCTTGAAGAAAGTTTTAACGCCAACCATACATCGATCCATCTTTACGATTCCGTCAAATAGTCCCCGAATAACTTTATCGGATCGTGGAGACTGATGGCAAAATATTGCTAAAATACGTTGACATGCCATCACCTATGATTTCACATTTTATATTCAGCGCTTGGAAACACATTAAGAAGGAAATATCGGCAGGCCGATGCAACGATTAAAACGTTTCTCTCACGCCACAGAAAATTCGCGTTGACCTTTAATTTATAGGTTAAAATTTATTTATATTTTCTTTTTTTTAATTGGCCTGTTTTTTTGTTTTACTGAATAAAAATATACTGTTAGAAGTAATTTGGCGCTAACTGTTGAAAGCAGTATTCATAAATCATATAATCCAGTTGTCTGAGCAAGGCAAAACTAGTTTGTGACATAAGTCTTTTACGTTGTAGCGCTAAACGTTGCAAAGCGCAAAAACAGTAGTCAATAGACCTCATATTTTAGCTGGCCTTATGGTAACAGCCCAAAAGATCTCCCCAGTTATTCAAAAAGTGTGCAACAAAATCAAGTCCAAACGACGTTTTCATATAATTAAAATGTTGGAATTTTTTAAAATAATACTTTAATACACTGAGGGTGTGCTTTTCCAGTTAGATTCGGATAAATGTATAGTGAACCATCCCTGTCCGTCTTGTGACGCCTATTATGTGCAGTTAAAATCAGATCTATGCTAAACATCCAATCCTGATCGTAACATACTGATATTATTTACCGCCTGATTGTAGGGCGTTTTAAACTTAAACGCTTTGTATTTGATGGCTGAACAAGCGACAGATCTCCGCGTACGCGACATCCCGCGAAATTTGTTCTGCTTCCGAAGTAAAAGACCATCAAGTCATTATTCAATTTTACGACAATCTATTCCACCTTTTTTGGCGCGAAGCAAGCAAGCACATACGCCTCCCACAATATTAAACACAAGTTAAATATCTACGCGAGAATGTTATTTGTATGTCCATTCAGGATCAAAGAGTTCAATTGTTAACCATAGTTGTGTATACCCGTCTACGGTACTACTGCTTGTTCCGTGAAAAAAAAGAAACAAAAGTATTTTAAGGTTTTGTCTCTATGATCGCAGTTGTTTGTTGTTTTGCCAGAAAACAAATTCGAAGCCAAGAGACCACGTCCAGTGTATCCTAAGCTGTCAAGACTAGTTTTGTCTTACAATATTGACCACGCTCGTGAGTTGTTGTAACTAGCTTTAACATTGGTTGACCGGCGTACAGGCAGGTTGGTAACATCGGTGTTGGTATGGGCTGCCTAAATTCATCTTTTTCATTGCCTTCTAGGTGTGATTCTCAAACCCGACCTCAACATTGTGCAATCTGTCTACGAGGGAGTCATGTACAACTACAGTAACAGCAACGTGGCCCAGGAAATTAAGTTTAAAGTAAAGACCAGCTTTGCGACGTTGGAGGACACGGACCTCTTCTCGACCAGTAGAACGCGTGAGTAGATATATATATTTTGTTTTGTCTATAGACCAACTCCTGGTTCTGACACCCCTTTGTGAAGTTGCGCACACGCGCTGATGATGCTTTCTACATAAAGCGTGTTCTTCCGCGAATGCAGTGACCAAATCTATTGAAGGCCAATGATTTTAGTACATGATTTTAGTAATCATGTACTAAAGTCTCGTATCGCCATTAGTTACTACACCGTTTACTCTCGTACAGAGGTGGTTACTTAACAGGGTCAATCGACGTAGTATTCAATGGTATTATCTCAACCTTTATGACTAGTAACCGACATGATAGCCGTCGCTAACATCTCAATGGCTGACTAAATAAAATGATTGTGATTTTTATTAACTTAGTGACGTTCACTTAGCATTTTATATTTTTAGGTAGCACTTGCGTATTTCTCGAGTGCGCTAACTTTCTTTTGTATTCTGGGAGGGTCTGTCACTGATGGCAACGTGATAATCAAATTTATAGCTGCGTTTTTACTCGCAACACCCTGAAATGGAACATAGAGACAATAGCTTGGCTAAGCTACTCGTGATTCTTCGAAGATATATGACAAACTGAATAAAAACACAAACAATTGAAACGCAATCTTTAGCAGCTTCTGCGCTCGTCCGCTGCTGGTTAACCAGCTGATTTCGGTAAAAGTATCGGTATCACCCCCCCCCCCCCCCCCCCATGCCTTCTTCCACGTTTATTTTTCTTTTCTCATTTAAAACGCGGACGGATCGTTAAGCCAAAAGATACACTGTATCCGAGCCGACGATTAAAACGTTCTTATTTATCATCGGTCAATGGCACGACTGTCCGCCTCGTTCGATTGATAAAAAACCCGTTACACGAGTTTCCTTCAACCTAAACCAAACAATGGCCAGCTTGCTGCCACTCTCGTTTTCCATTAACAGCTTCCAAAGTTCCCAAACTCGTTACTCGACAGACAGACAACAAACGTACACAAAGTAGACCAACACCAATCGAGCAACCGACACCTGAAAATTTCCATTAGTTTTCTCGCCTTCTCTTCCCACCGTGCACCCACGCGAACCGCCAAGCTTATTTCGAACCGATCCACGTGCCCGTCCACTCCACTGTCATAACACGCCGTGCACACCAGAAGCCAATCGTCCACAGCGACCCAGTCCATTTAGAGCCTAACTACGTGTCTGCTTGCCGCCTTAAAAAAATAAAATCGCACGTTTTGTTGACAGTTCGATTTAGTGGTTGCCGGGCGACCGCTTGGCGTCCCTTCTCAGCTTTGCTTGTCTTTTCTATAAGCGCATGTTGTACCGTGTAGGCCTTTCCTCTCTTGCAGCTGCGTAATCGTCATGGCGACCAATCGACCCGCCCGCCACAGTTGTTTCGAGGAGGCAGCAGCTGACCCCCTTTCCTTCGGCCAAGGCTAGAGCTCCAACAGAGAGTTCTGAAAATAAGGGACGTGTTGCACATCCCTGAAGATCGTTAACGTGTTTGGTCAACAGCTCTTATACTCAGTTTCACATTAAGTGTGACTGCGGTCGACTTTACGATCCGATGGTGTCATTCAAGCTGCGCCAAAAGCGCATTGTCGCGGTGCTCGTCGATTTTTATGCGTGGGGTATTAACGGCTCAACCAATCACGTATAGAAAAAAAAAAAAAGCGCAGGCTCGTAGGAACCTAAGTCTTTTTAGACTTAGGCTAGGTGGCACTAGTTACCGTCCGTTACGACGGGTATAGCTATTTCACAGTTTTCGTAGACCGCGCTGCCCCTTCCGCTAAGCGTTCCGCAACGAAGAAGTCGCTACTGCGCCTGCGCGCCGATAGCCTTGACTGTGGAGTTCCCGCTATCGTAGCGGGTTGCGGAGGGCCTTGCGGGACGGCGAAAACGATCTACGAAAACTCTCTATTAACATCCAGCCATCCATCCGTCCATTCACTATGCGTGATTGGTTTAGCCGTTGAAAGCAGACGACGGACAAAGACGACCAGCGTCGTGACGATGCACTTTTTTTTGGCGATTCTCGAATGGCTTTATCGGACGTGGCTTCGGCTTCGCTCGGACTTAATCTTTATTAATGATGTTTCAGTAGGTATCTCTTAATGTATAAGGTTGTTCGCTAATGACTGCGTTGTGTGGAGAAAAATTAAGAGTGAGAGTGATGTTGCTGAGTTACGAAAGGACTTGGACCATAGTGTTCCGAGTGGAAAATGATTTTGAATCCCCAAAAATATATACCGTTGTGTCTTACAAAAAAAAAAAAAAAAAAAAAAACTTGAAAATTAGTATTATATAAATACCAATCGAGTAAGCAACTAAACTACATTCAAGTATCTAGGTGTTATTTTATCCACTGATTGTTCATGGAATGCTTAACGTAGCTGATGTGATTGCTAAAACCGGTAAGGCGCTAAACTTTATTCTAAAGTGCTCAGAAACTGCATTTGAAAATACTGCTTATCTAGCATGTGACAGGCCGATTATAGAATATGCTTTGCTCCGTATGGGACCCTGCACAAAAACGCTGATTGATAAAGTATAAAAATACAAAATAGAGCTGCTCGGTTTGTCTTGGGGTGGTACGGGCGGAAGGACAGCGTCACTAGAATGAAAAATGAATTAATTTAGAAATCACCGTCCTCTCGACGAAGAAAATTGCGATCAAAGTTCTTCTTTTCACTATTTAATAACAGAACAGGAATCAACAGCACAACTTGTCTAAAAGAACCATAATGTGTTTCTCATCGTAATGATCATGTCTTTAAAGTAAGAGGATACCACGCTAGGACAAACATTTATAAATTCGTTTTTCTTTTGTTTTTGTTAAAACCTTTGTACAGTAGAAGAGGCTGTCTGAAGAGTAAGTGTGTTCTGCCAATGAAGACTTGTTTCTTGCAAAACTGTAACTTCTCTTGCTGTAACGCCTCTGGGCATTGCGAAATAATCTTCTAATAAATAAGCGTGAAACGGACTAGAAATAGTAAGGGGTGCTGACTTTTCCGCGTCTCCCGCATAAAGCCAGTGTTCAGCAGGGGTTCGTGTTCTCATTGATTGGGCCCGGGTCCAAACCGAAAACTAATGCAACACACGTTTTCTTCTTTTTTTTCTTTTTCTTTTTGCGGATTGTGTTCATTTGCAGAGGGGCAGCGATAAAGGCATGATGCCTGACAGCGCCTCGGCCCCCCGCAGTTCATGCAGCGGAAATAACATTACAAACAAGTCACAGTGAAAATAAATAACATGACAGCCATTGTCATAAAAACAAATAGAAACACTCCTCATAAAAATACCTGAAAAACACACGAAATACAGTGACGCAACTCAAACAACTACACAAGCGGCACAGCTTGAACAATGTGGGGTGATATGCTTTTCATAACCCTGAAATAAAATAAAATAAAGATAAAAATAAAAATATCTGTGCCCCGCTTTGACCTCTTTAGCTACCACAAAAAATTTAACGCTACGGTCTTGCAATCGAAAAGGTGTGTCGGCTTGGTTCAGACGCATTGCGCGCAAAGCAATGGTGACCCAACCTTACGCGCGTGCTTGCGATATCATCCGCGTGATGATATCGCAAAAATGGGCCCTTAGCCCGTCTTCACGCTATCTACGTCACGGAACTTTACAAAGTTTCACACGTGAAGACAAGAGACACAGACTTGTAGTCTGTACTCATCTCAGAAGTGTTACTACACCACCAAAATTAGGGTCCGTGAGGACTCTTCACGGGCCCTAATTAGGTAGAAATCAAAAAAGGCGACCGCACTTAGTAAGCCATTGCACTTAGGTTCAAAAAGCTTTGAATAATTCGATCTTGAAGCCATCTGACCCAGCGTCCGGTTTTTATTAGTTTCGAAGCATTTCATGGCTCTGTCTCGGTAATATTGTGACTAATGTATGTCCCATCTTCGAAGGATCTTGAACGATTGTTGAGAATTTCCGGCAAGTTCTACGGAACTCGTCACTTAACTGGAAGTTTAGATAAAATGATAGATAACCGCTTAGTCTGTGACGTCAGATGAATATTAATTGCCTAATGAGCGTCTCCTGACCATTGCTCGAGACTGTCTATCCTACCACTATGCCTGGTTTACAAATTATTAGCAGTTCCCAGTGCCGACTGGGGACCCTACCTATTTCGTGTGCGAGTAGCAGTATCTTCGGACATGCCACGTGAGAAACTATGCGTTGTATAATCTCGCGTCGGCGTTGTGGCTCCACCAAGTACTCCTGTATAAGTGGCGTCTGCGAGTTGCCATGCACAACTATTCTTATTTTATGTGCTGTGATTTACAGTACATGTATCAAGATCGTGTGACGTACCATCTCCACTTCCGCATGCGCTGAATTCATTCGCATGTCTTCCGATGTTTTGCTTCGTGGCTATTTAAATGCTTTGCAATATTGTGCATTTCGCTGACTTTCATTGCATACTTCGGTCAGAAAAGTCATTGATAGTGAAAGTACTATCCTGGCCAATTGCAACGACTCCACGTACGCGAACAGTCGCTCTATAACTTTTAAAATATCATATTAAATTTTAAATAAAAAGAGTCTCCTTCAGTTTCGCTAACCTGTGCTTTCCAGTTGGTTTAGACCACAGGGTTGGGGCGTTTGCTTGCAAGAACCTGATCGCGCCGCATACCCAGACGAACATGTGTGCGAAGTGTTTGCGTGCCGCACACCTTAATTCGTAGTAAGGAAGGCCTTGTCTAAGTAGATTGACCATCTATGGGGCCAGATTAAATAGATTGTAAGTGTAACTATATTGGGTAGATTGGTTAAGTGTAAGTAGATTAGGTAAATTTATTAAGCATAAGTAGATTGACCATCGATTGGGTTATGACATCCCCAGTTCAAACCAATTACAAAGATACACGAAGTTGGTAAAATATAATTAAACCATCCGGAGGTCTCAGAATGATATCCATTTGTTTCGCTAAGAGGCTTAGCTTCTTTATTATTTTGAAGAAGCCAATCCTTTTATTAAAATGTCAGCTGCCCCTCCGAGTCTTCCAGGTGGGTTTGTTATTCAAGCCACACAAAAAAGACGTATTGACCAGAGCGGGACATGTGCCTTTCAGTGTGCGAACAACTGCGCGGCAACGTGACGACCGTGGTCCTGTCCAGCACGCTCCACTCGTCGCTGGCCCTGCAGTCGCTCTTCAAGAACACCAACGTGCCGTACGTGGCCACGTCGTACCAGGAGCACTGCAGCGTTAACGTGGGCGGGAACCTGAACCTCCCGTCGGCCGACTCACTCGGGGTGTCCCTCCTGCCCGACTACCTGCCGGCAGTGGCCGAGGTTGTCGATCATCTTGCCTGGGACACCTTCGTCTACGTTTACGATTCAGACAACGGTAATAGGACAAACGCACAACGGTACTTAAATATTAGGGACATTTGGCAAACCTGAGGAGGTTTCTGAGATCGCCTAAATATGGCGATAACTCATTCTGCGGGCTCTAAGCATCTCAGCAATTTGATATTCATAATGATGCGCGGCCAATTTCCCCATTAAAAAAACAATCAAAGATCGAACACACCGAGGCCACCTGCGGCGATGTAAGAAGCATTGTTCCGGCAGCCATGTGACTAATGAAAACGAGACATTTCGTTGAGATTGCAAACGCTGACATTACAAAATCTGTGCGCTCTCGTAGACGACAAAAGCAAATAAGGGTAGTCAAAAAATAAATTTCCGCGAAGAGGGAACATAATACTGCACTGATCTTCTCAAAAACAGCGCACTATTTTTTTGTTTGTTGTTGTTTTCGGCGGGAGCGATGTGTCTAGTCGTCTGCCTTCGAGCGCGTGATCGCTGGTTCAATCGTAGTCCGGGCTGTATGGGCAACGAGCCGCGTTTTTTCGAGATATCCCTCAGCGGTTCCACCGATGGGACGCGCGACGATCCTTCGCTTGCTATTGGCTGACAGTGGTTCTGGTTTCGGAACACGCTCCTCGCATCGCCAAAGTTGACCTCGGTGTGCTGCGATTGGGTTTTGAAAATCGGCCGCGTATCGGTCAAAATTTATAGATTTTAAGGATGCTTAGAGCCGGTAGATTGAGTTATCGCCATATTTAGGTGACCTCAGAAACCTCCTTGGGGCACGTTTACAGCACGCTTTAAAGCGCGCGTCTGGGTAATACCATGACCGCGGGGCACGCGTTTAAAAGCATGCTTCAAAGGCTCGGGGGGAGGGGGGGGGGGGGGGGATCAGTATTCAGAACACGGTAACAGTTTGCTAAAATTCCCCAAAAAGGTGGGCTAGTTGTTTCAAAGTACAAGCAATACAAAGTGCACAGGACAGACGGGGACATGGTTTCATCTTTCCTTTGAGATTCGTACATTTAGGACAACGGTGATAGGATTGACGAGCAACCTTAGTAGGACTAAGCGTAATAGGACTAACGATACAAAGACTAATAGTAACAGTTAGTGTGACTACAAAATCACTTTCTGGCTCTTGTTATAATTAACTGCTCGGAATGAATGCCCAACATACAGTCGGAGGCGGTAGAAGCTGGTCCAGTCGAATGCTAGCCGAAAAAGGTTCAATGTCGCATGGGGTGCCGCCGGAATACGAAGCTTCAAGAAATGAACTGCCTCGTTGAGACAATAAGAAATTAACTTCCCCATTCCAACCTCTTTTTTTTTCTTCAAAGTTTAACGTATCTGAAGCTTTACACATGGCGTTCCGTGCCGCCCCGGTCTGAATGCCGCTGATTCATCACATAAATAAATAAATATTGCATGCTGCCTCCAGTTAATGGTATTGCCACATGCTCTGTATTGTTTGGTTTGGTCTTCGGATGCACTTTCATCTTCTGTCTTATTTTTGACCTTTAGGCGGAGCTAACGCGCCTGTTATCATTTATTTTCGTTAGCCGATCGCCGCGAATACTGTAGAATGTTTTCTAAGGTTACGGGCATACACTAATAATTCTCGAATGTACAATGACTCTGCATAGATAGAACCAGACCGCACATAGCGACTTGCGATTCGCCGACCACCGACTGCGCGTGTGAACTTTGCTTTTTCAAGTTAGTTTCCCTTGTGGGCACAAGTTCTCCCAACGAACAGTTTATCCGTTGGTTTGTCTTCCCGTCAGTTCGAGCCGTGCCGTTACTGCCGCGTAACATTTAACCAAACTGGCATTTGTTTTTTGTTTGTTTTTTCTTTTACATACGCTATTAGTTTCAAAATAACCGGAAGAAAAAGAGATGGTTCTTGTCAACCATATGAACCAGAGTTTCAGGTCGCTCGTTAAGATTTATCTTAATCTCAGCATATATTTCTGATAATAGTGAGAAACAAGCAGTTGTTTAAACAGACACGGTTCTTCGGAACTTACAAAGTATTCGCCCATTCTCGGTTTCGTCACTGACAAGCGTAACAGAGTTATCCGACCATCGACTTCATCCCACCTGCTGCACCGTCCTCGTCCTTCAGGGCCATCCAAGTTGCAGAGGCTGCTCAGTCACCAGTTCAAGAACTCCGTGAGCATGCGGTACGCCAAGAGGATTTCCAACAGTAGCGACGCCAACGACTTCCTCCGTCTGCTTGAGACGACCGACCGGGAGAGCCGGAAGTACGTCCTCCTGGACTGCCGGTTCGAGACGGCCAAGAGGATCATCATCGACCACGTCCGAGACATCTACATGGGAAGGAGGAACTATCACTTCCTCCTGGTGAATCCGGTGAGTTGGTACAACACCTTCTGCAGTCAAGGAAAGCTTAACAAACGCCGGGAGGATGTTACTGTCTTAACGCTTCTTGCTTTGTTAATCGTTTTTGACAAGTTGCTGCGGATTTCGTGAAGCCGCGGCTCGTGGCCTCCTATAGTGCAACGCGCGCAGGGTTAAATTATGGGACGTCGCAGGTTTAAGGCTCGTTCACACTCTTGCAACCGAGTACGACCGAGAGAGACCAGACCTGTTTTTAATCCTCTTGCGACTTCTTAGGACCAGCTCCGCAGCAGCGCGCCCGGTCCTGAGAAGTCGCAAGAGGATTAAAAACCGCTCTTGTTTCTCTCGGTCGTACTCGGTTGCAAGAGTGTGAACGAGCCTTTACACACCGATTCAGTTTCTGCGCCAAATTTAGCGGGGAAGTTGAATTGGTGTATAGGAGTGCGGCGTCCCGTCATGCAACGTGCGCTGCAGTGTTGCAAAATGAGACGTCGCAGACCTACACACCGATTCAGTTTCTCCGCTCAATTTAACGGGGAAATTCAATTGGTGTGTATGACACGTGACGTCAGTTTCCCCGCTAAATTTAGCGGGGGGAAATTAACGTTCCGTGGCGTACACGTAAATTCAGTTTCCCCGCTAAATTTAGCGGGGAACTTGACGTTACGTGATTTGATGTCACGTGACCTATACGGCCAATTCAGTTTCTCCTCTAAACTTTGCAGGCAAATTAAATTCACGTGACGTACTCACCAATTCAGTTTCCCCGCTAAATTTAGCGGAAAAATTAACGTCACGTCACCTGATTTCACGTAAGTTTCACGTATGCAATACAATTGCCCAGAAATTTGCCACGCATTTTTGACGTTCTCGTCAGCCAATGTAATCTTTTGACTGCGGAGCAATGATAAGGTGCTCGGGACGGGCTGCTCCCTGCTTTTCTTAAAGGAGCGGTGCAACGATATTCAATTGGAATGTTTTTCACTCGACACGAGCTTACTGGCACACCTCGGACTCAAGGATACTCACACGCAACGCCACTGGCCAAGAAACGCCTTTGTTGCGGTGTAATTTCAAGGACAAACGCGATCATTTTCATTCAATCTCTCCTTTGCAAAATTTGATGACGTAACGTGGGGATCGCAGTACACCCAAGTGACGATATTTGAATGCGGTTCATAGATTGGACCCGAGCATCGCCTGGGCACTCGACTTGGGCTCGTGATAATTGCTAGCTCGAGAAGCATTCGGGTTGTGACCCGTGTCCAATCGCTGCAACGACGACAACAGCCGAGCCATAACAATGTCTGGAACTCAGCGCGTCTCCTGCGCTTTGCCAACCCCAGCGCGTGGCTATGATCAACACTGGCGGCATATAATCGGCTCCAGATCACGTGGCCGCTTGTTCTGGCTGCAAGTTGAGGGGGTGAACGCTGTTCGTTTTTCTTTAATTTTTTTCTGTGACTTCTATTGCGTGGGGTAAAAAACGAACGCGTGTTTCATAGGTCATTAACGTTGGGGATCCGTTTTAAGCGGTATTTGCGTAAAGTGCAAAAATTGTTGCATCGCTCCTTTAAGCTATCACAGATAAGGAGACGGTAGTGCTCGATATTTTACGTGCGGGGCGTAAGTCGGACAGTTCCACGACGGAGCCATAGAGCGCCCGGCCGCAGATTTGGAGCGCGAGGATCTGGTAGCACAGGACATCAGAGCCATTTCTCGGGGAACCTGGACGTCAGTGCACAGCCTTTGCAGCGGCGAAGACCCGAAACACACTTGTTCGCTCGGGAGAAGTGTGTTTCGGTGTCTCGCCACAGCGGGGCGCCAGTCACGTGGCTCTCCTTTCATCCGTTGTCTGCCGCTCCACCTTTTCCATTTCGGCGGCCGCTTCTCGTGGCAATCTGCCGGGCCTTCTCAGTATATAGGAGGCTATATGGTTGGACACGAGAGCTACGACAGCGTTCGACGGGGACTTGTGTTTTCACTTATTGCACTCGAGTTCCATCCGTACGCTGGTGTGGAACTCGTGTTCAATTTGTGCCCTGCGCCGTCCTTTCGGAGATGACGTAGAAACTTCGGCACGATACGGTCTTGTTATCTGGGAAGAGTGGGTTGGTGTAGTTGGTCTCAGGGGCTGGCTATTATAGTAGGGTAAATCATAAGCATTCAGTCTTTGTTTTGTTGATTCATCGAAAACTCTCATCGGAACCTTTTGCATTTTAGTGATCTGCAAACCACTCGCCACCCGAAAAACATTTTCCCTTAGATAATTGTACTGATATTTATTCTCATTGTTCGAAGTAATTAAGGTAAAACCAATGGTTGGTGTTCCGCTGCATCGACAGAGAGTATGCCTTCAGAGGCTTTTGATACTGTAGAGTGAGGTGAAGCGTGATTCAGTTACGTTGTACTAGGCGCAGTTATACGATAGGGTGAAAGGGATATGTCTTCGTTGTTTAAATGTCATTATGCTTGTTTCAATTGCGTTAGGTGAATTGATGCTGCGTGTCTGTAGCCTAGGTGTGTCTAGGAATAGACAAACGCTACGGCATTGTCTGAATGAAGAACTTGGACAATAACTACAGGCATCAAAACAAGCAAGCGAGAACAATTATTACCATTACTTTCAATTGTAAAGTACTGTTGCTTGATTCAATAGAAAAAAAATTGTCACCTTCACAACTTTCCTTTTATGCGATGCTTTTGAAAATATAGGAGCTGGGCACACCCAAACAAAAATAAAAGGAGAAGAATCTGAGTGCTGATTCGCAAAATCCTGCTGATTCGCAAAATCAGCGATCTTTACATATGAGAGTCAGTCTGTTGCTTGCAGGTTTCAAAAAGAAACAAAGCGAAGTTTGTGCATTCCTTCAAAGTTCAAGAGAGAAATATGTAGTTAGGGTATTATTTTTTCTGCGTATCATTCAATGCAGACTGGAAATATCAGCAGAACATTCATAAAACCATCATCTTCCAAATATATTCATAAACATCAACAACATTAGGTGCTCTTTGATTATACAATATACAAACATCAAGTTTCCTTTCTCTTCAGGTTGTGAACGAATTAACCTACGAGAAGGTACCCGAGTTCGTCGCCGTCAACATTACTGGACTGCGTCTTGTCGGAGAGGACTTGTCACAGCAGTCGTCACTGGATCCGTCGCAAGAACCCAGGGAGAAAAAAATCACCGTGAGTATGCTTTTTAAGTGGCCAACGGCGCATTCTGATTCGCTGCTTCAAATAAGATCAAACCAGGGGAAATGAAACACGTGTTCAAAATTTTGTTTGCTTTAACTTTATATAAAGTTCGAGCGTTTTATTTGAAATAAAGTGAACTTCACAAAGCCGAGCTTATTGAATGATTTTTAATACAAATATTGACTGCCGAGTCAAAACAATTCGAAAAGAAATTATACCTCTAATCGGCAAGAAAAAAAAAAAAAAAAAGAGAAGTCCATAAGCGATTCGTTTTTTACCGGAGGTTTACATCTCTCCCGAAATCCTCCATGTTTCTGTACCTCAGCACTTCAATTGAACTCAAACTCAAGAATAGAAAAAAAGAACATATATATATATATATATATATATATATATATATATATATATATATATATATATATATATATATATATATATATATATATATGACGGAACAGGCACCGATGGACTGATTGACTGATTGGTGGTTTATTTATATCTGGCCGTAAAGCGGTATTCACACGGGGGAGCTCCCTCGGGGAGGAATATGCGTGACGTCAGCAGTCGGAAGAACCAGCGGGACTACATCATCCGCTCCATCAGTCAGATGGACGGCGGGGGCCGAGAGGGATGTCAGTGTTGGCAGAAACCTGTAGCGGTCGCACTCTCGACAACAAGGCTCGGTGCACGCTGACGAGGGTGGCAAAATGGAGGCGCGCATTCAATGGCGGTACCAGATTACAGCAGCAGCGCTGCTAGATACAGAAAAGAACAAACTGCTTCGTACTAAAAGAAAAAAAAAAAAAAAAAAAAAAAACAGAGGTTGAGTGAAAGAGAGGGAGGGAGCAAAAAAAGTTGCAAACGACAACTCGAAATGTGCTGCGATTGACAACGGTAGCGGTTGCGTCGTGGAAAGGCACGTTGAAGTACATTTGCCTTCAGTCAGTGTGCTGTACAGTGTTTGCAATCCGTTGTTTGCTTTAAGGTCCATACGCACATTGGCGTTTGAACGCGTTTGAGTGCGTTGCGGAGTCCTTGCGGCCAGGCGCGGTCGCTTGCGGAGCGACGCGCGCCTTCCCGCAACGCTCGGTAGCGCGACGCAAGCGAGTAGAGACTCGCTCAACTTTCCGAAGCGTTGCGGTGCGTTCGGGTGCGTTCGACCAATCAGAGAAGCCGAAAGAGGAGAGAGGGTGACGTGTTCGCTCGCCCCACCCGGCCGACTCGGCGAGACGTATCCGGTTCGCCGGTCGCACTGCTTGCTTTTTCGTTTTGGGGTGCGGTAGGGACAGTATTTTCCAAGGCTGCGATGGTTCAAGCTTAACAAAACGTCGGGGAAGCCGGCGAGATTGTCCCAAGATCGAACACTTCGACGCTGTCGCCGTGCGCCGCCATGTTGCCTTGGATTTCGCTTACTATTGGTGAGCCACTAGCGACGATAGCGCGTTCTTATTGGCTCTTGACTGCGGTTGACTGCGCGTCAACGCAACTGTGCGTACAAGTTTGGCGCAAGCGGTCGTCGCAACGCAACGCGTCCGCTTGCCGCTACGGAACGCACCGCGCTCAAACGCGAATGTGCGTATGGGCCTTTAGTGGATTTGATGAAGGAGGTATGTGTGAGGAGATGCGTGCTTTTGGGGTTGGATTGTGCGAAATGTTGTATCTGTTACAAAAAGATACAAAGACGTGATTTTTTAAACGCTTTTTTAGAACAAGGGGGCTTATGAACGCGCCTGCGATAAAAGAAGCACAAGTACATACGCGAGCTGTTCTGTAGAAGCGCGGAGAGCACACGAGAACGGAACCTGGGCGGCGGCAGTGGGGAGGCGAGGGAGCGTGTCTGCACAGCGCGGTCACGTGGGTATTTCGCGAGGCCGGCTACCGGAGGGGGGGGAGGAGGAGGAGGGAGAGAGGGAGGGAGCGCGTCGCCGGAAGGCACGTGGATGTAGCTGGAACAATGGGGACGGCGGCGGAGAGCGTTCTCGTGTTCACGTGGGTTGTTCGGAACAGCGGCAGCATGCAGGGGGGAAAGAGAGAGGTTGCGAGAGAGCCTTGCCGCAGTTGGCGTGTACGTGTGAGGAAAGACGGGGAGAGGGAGAGCAGTGGCTCTGCTTTAAAGGGGGATCCTGTGTTCGTACATAATCTTTTTTTTTTTGTTCTTTTCTTTTGCCGGGAAGGGGCATTAAGCAGCTACAGCTGTAAAACGTGGAATCCAAAACTGGTTGTGTGAGGAGTTGCTTGAGGGTGACATTGATGAATATCAAACACTCCTTCATGAAAATGTAAACGTTCAAGGAGCCGACGGCCTGTCCGAGCTACAACAAATTAGGTGATTCCAATGCCATGACCGGTATCCCGAAGAGCACAATCTACTAGACACACAAATAAAACACCCCTAGTTTCGAAGAGATCTGCCAGGATGCCAGGATGAGCAAGAGCACTTGTGCAACAGATTTTTTCTCTCTCAATCTCTCTCTCTCTATCTTGAGATATTAGTTTGTGGTAGAGTTTTATGCGCACATAACACTGTGCAAAACTCGGTGTCCCATGTATGAGCAACCAATGTTTAAAATCTGGATTGGTGGTTGTGAACAGCAACCTTCTATAGACCAAAACGCGGCCCTGACGTCACGCAGCTGCGGTGGCGCTGTCGACGGCACTGCAGATGCGCAGACGCTTCATTTTGCGCGAACTCGGTTTCTGCGCATACGCAGTGCCCACACCTGGTTGGGCAAATGCGGGCTTGTTTGCAAACAGCGTGTCGGTCTATACTGTTTTACTGTTTTTCTAAACATGTCTTTTTTTTTGTTCCAAAAGGTGGAAGAAGCCCTCATCCACGACGCAGCCACCCTCATTGTGAACACCTACAAGGAGCTCAAGTTGCGAAGCCTCGTGCCCCACCGCTACTCGTACATCTTCGAAGACCAGGAAGAGGACGAGAGGCGCGCGGGTCCCCAGCCACGTCCCAGGCTCGAAGCCGAGGCTGAGCTGCTCGAAGAAGGAGACCAGCTGCTCCAAGCGGACTCGCCGAGTATGACGACCTGCGGCGATCGGCCCTCGGTGCCCCAAGAGCTCGGCGAGATCATCACCAGGAACTTACGGGAGGTACGGCCCAAAGAGACTGAGGTGGACGTGTGGTCATGCAATTTCGTTCTGCTTGTATCATCAGTCGACGAGAAAGATCAAGGGGCCAATTTGTTTAAGGCACCGCAAGTTCAGAGCACGTGGAGCGAAAGCTCGCGCTGCAGAATCCAGAGATCCTAGGTTCAATCCCCACGCTTGCCCGTTTCGATGCGGATGAGTATCATACCGGCGTGAGGTCTCGTATCAGCGCAGCGTGGAGCACGTCAAAGACTCCAGTTTAGCAGTACTACTATGGCTAAAGTTCTCGTCTGCTGTGGAGACACCCAGCGCCCATGTGAGGCTAACGTAACCCCCTCCCCCTCGTGTGAGCAAAGAAACAATTATCGGTCGATGAAGATTACAAAGTCCGGGAAGAGTGGCTTCCAGAAGGGTCCATAGGACGAGTTCTAACTTTCGGGAGACGTGTAGATGACTAAGACCTCCGTCAGGCGGGCCATCGAATGTAATCTCAATCGAATGACATTGGAGCGATTGACCAATCAGTGCACGCCACTGATGACGCGACGCGTTCAACGCGCGACGCTCCAACTGTCACTAATGGTCAAAGGACCCAGAACGTGGCTTACTATATTTACACGATTTGCCCTGAAATTTGTTCCTCGGGGTTGTTATTGGGTGATGCCGCAAGTTCATGGGCTGAAGATCAATGAAAAGATGCTTAAGATTTTCATCGTCCTGCTTTTTTTTCAATTGTTTTAACCTGTGAATCACTATAGCGAAAAACGCGACCCGATTCGTCGATCACGAAATTGTCATTCGATGGAAATGCCTTCAACCTTCAGTTTGTGCGTGCGGGTAGTGCCCACAGCCGGCGTGGGAGAATGGGGGCTTGTTTGTAATCCCTGTGTTGGTGCGTATCCTTGACGTTTTCTTTAATTTCGTTCAGATTATTTTGGACAGAGCTCGGCAGAGAGGCCAGTAAAACTTAGGTACACAGATGGACAAATAAAAATGCATTCAGCTGAAAGTTACGAACTTGAACAAAGTGATCGGTATCTTCCCGATAGCATAAAAAAAAAAAAAAAACAAGAATACAAAATAATTCAAGGTGCGCAAGATGCAGGAATTATTGAACCTATGAAGGTAAACAGATAACGCAAAATTCATAACTGCTTCAAAAACAGAATGTTCGAACGTTATTTTTTTTTTTTACAATACAATGTGGATCGCATTTTGTTGAAAGTTCATATCGCTGCTCACCAGTAGCGCTCAGAAATATTGTAAATGATTGTGTTTAGATTGTATGAGGTGTGTTATGAATTAATTTATTTGATATTCTGAACGTTGTTTCTCGCAATTAGTCCGGGTATAGGACGTCTTTCGTGCAAGATGACGCAACGTATATGACGATTTAAGTACAAAACGAGCGTGTTGGTAACAGTAATTAAACATGAGGACGATACATAGAAAGGGGAACGGACAACAATTACTTCCATTGCTGCCCGTTGTCCGCCCCCCTTTCTATGTATCTTCCTCGTGTTTAATTATATGACGATGTTTTGGTTTCGCCTGCAGTAACATATAAGTTAAACATAATTGTAGTAATTTAATATATTATTGTTGATTTGATAGTAAAATATTATATTTAATGAAAAGTGACTGACTGCGCAGTCCTCTTATATGTGCCCTCTATATTTTTCAAGTAATCGTCGAATTTTTTTTTGTGTAGTTAATTTGCTGTAATTTGATACTGTAGTTGTACCCCAAATAAAAATTCCATAACACATCTTTAAAAGAAATTAAGAGTAGTTCAGTGCTTCAACGAGCCACCTAGGAACCAGGCTAGATATTTTAGAAATACAGCACAGAATTCATGATAATTCAGTTTCCAATTGTGACAATTGATATTGTGACATGCCTATCCCCATGTCAACTCTTCATTAAACCAAACGGCAAGAAATAGTTTGCCCCGGTACTCGTTCTAATATTTCGCTTTCGACAATAATATTAAGCGTGTCTGCAAAACACTATGTTTGTTTAAAAAAAACACATAAAAAACACGCACTTTGTTTTGTTTGGGATTAATTGTAATCTATTAAACCGCAGCCACTGGGAAAAGCTTCAAAAGATGAACGTTTAGAATCAGATTACGCAGCACAATTCGCTTCTTCTGCTAAAGACGCGAGGTCTCTAAGCCAAATGCGAAAAGCTCTTCGGACGGTACGGCTCGGATGGTACGACTGACTTTTCGGTTTGATCTTGATTATGTTTCATTAACCAAAGAAGCAAAAAAAAAAAAATTGCACATTACGATTATGACTTTACGATTGCGGTTCTTTTTGCTGCAGGTGTTCAGTGCGTATGCATCGGCAATGACGCTATTGCTTATTATCCGATTACTAAAACCGAATGAATGTATAGCGATCGGTCTGTTTCACTAAGTACCACCGCAGCCGGTGCACCATCGTGGCGCCCTCGTCGCCTTCGTGCATTGGCTGTCGCAGTCTAAACCGATCGCGCACAAAGAAAAGTGTAGAATCATGGCTCATCTACTGTGAGCGACTTGTTTTGCCGGCGAGATCAAAAGCAAAAGTACGACGAGCATCATAAAAATGCACTTTTAGTGCTGCTTGATTCTTCCATCGGACCGTAGCGTCTGCTTAGTGTGAAACGGAGACTAATTGCGATCAGCTTCCCTGGCTCCCGTCGCCTTCTCTACAACCTACACAATACCAATTAATGTGTGCAATAGACCGTGCTGCAAACGCTTCTGCGCTTCTACATCTTATTGCAGAGAAGTTTTCAAGGCCTTACTGGTTCCATAAGGTTCACGTCGGACGGCTGCAGGATAGACTACAACGTCCACGTCGTCCAACTGAATGTGAACAATGAAGCTATCAAGGTAAGAGTTAGTGGACCTTCGTGCCATTTGAACGATCTTTGTGTATTCTCCGTAGGCATCGAGTAATTTGCGTATTTTTGTTTGCAGATAGCTGAGTGGTCCGACACGAAGGGGTTCGAACCCGTCATCAAGCCTGCGAGAGTTGAAGTCAACGACACTGGCGTCTTAGACAAAGACAAGACGTACGTGATCCAAAGCGTCCTGGTACGTCGGTTTCATTCGAAAGGCCTGATTTCCCACGACTTCATGCAGCGAACCCATTCGTTTTAATTGTGAGGTCCTTGCTCGTTTTGATTCCTATGTTCCAAGCCTATCAGGCAGGTTAAAAAAACTATTTGAATGTAAAGAGGTTGTACGTTAGCCTAGCTTCCAATTGCCGCGGACGTTTTAGAAAGGAAAGGGCAACGGGAGATTGTGAACAAGAACGTTGTCGGCTTTAAGGTTTTTGCTTCTAGACAAAAGAAAAAAATATAAAATATGGTGAAGCGTTGACGAGGAATAAGTGACGAGGAATAAGGGGCCGTAACAAGGTTTTTTTTTTTTTAATTTGTCCCTTTATGGCGATAATTCAGTCTAGGAGCTCTAAACGTCCTTAGAAATCTCAAAATTGCGAGCGTGCATCACCTATTTTCTTAATAAAACACACACACAAAAAAAGCAATCGCAATTTTTGGGCGTTTGTGAGCCCGTCGCCTAGGTTATCGCTGTAAAGAAAACATATGGACCCTATCGATTTTGAATGCTTCAATAATATCTCCGCGTCTGTCTACGGGTGGCGATATTAAGTAAATTTGTAAACACGGTGCGTTTTTTTTATTTTTTTATTTTTTACTCTGGAGGACATAAAAGGCCCGACTCGCGGCTATATCCAGTAATATAAGAGGCGCAACGGCCTCATTTTGGTTCGCACTATATATCTGTATTTTGATTGCCTTTAATGACAATCAAAATGTTGACAAGAAATGACGTTTTGATATCTCTAAAAAAAGAGCTAAACAACACTAAACTTATAGTAACTGACAACTCAAAAAACTCAGAGCGTCGCTTACTAAGATCGCTCTTTCTGCTTCGTGATTGTTTCGTCCGCGTTCTTATCCGCTGATGCCGTAACCCTATTGGTTGGAGGGCGATGGTTAGGTTCTCGGAACTTGCCACGCTCTGCAACTATTAAGTTGTCCATGGCTACAATATCTACAGGATTTTTTAAAAATTTATTCCGCTTCTAGACTAGCGGACTGTGGATAAATTCTGGTGCTGTTTTTTTGTTTTTTTGTTTTTTTTTATCTTCTTTTCTCGCGGCAGGAGAAACCGTACCTCATGGTAAAAGAGTCTCCGGACGCCCAAGATCGCACGGGCAACGACCGTTACGACGGCTACTGCAAGGACCTCATCGATGCTCTCGCGAGGGAGCTGGGCATCAAGTACGAGTTGAGGGCGGCTGAAGAGACCGTCTACGGCCGCAGGGACCACAAGGTTCGGGGAGGGTGGACGGGTCTGATCGGCGAGGTGCTTCGAAAGGCAAGTCAAAATGCCCAGTCTCCGTCGAGTGTGTCGAAACCGGAACGCCCGCTAACGCGGCCTAACAATTATCGGACAATGCGTAGACAATTCCCATAAGCACCTACTGATCACCGCCATCTTTATCTACATGGTCATGCGAATTTCTGGGTGATTCAAGGAGCGGTCAGGTTCTTTAAATTGACCGCAAAATTTCGTTTTCTTAACCTAACGCGTACCGAGTTTGTACAGCGTTGGCCACAGGTGGTGCATTTTTTCTATGAAATTCGCAAAGAGCGAGCTTACCTGAGGCAAAAGTAAAAAAAGAAAAAGGCTTAACTCCTATGGAAACGCAGCGAAGCCACCGGTCTTCAAACCATAGGGCGCCCTATAGTTCAAAGACCTAAACGTGACAAAACGGTTATAAATACTGGACACAGCGCCTGAACAGAAAGGCTTCATACGCGGCTGACTTCCGTCGTTGGAGAAGGCGCAATCTTTCCTGCTGGCCTCCCCCCCCCCCCCTTTTTTTTTTAGTATCTCCGTCCACCCAGACAGGGCGACTGTTTTGCGATTTTCGTATGCTAGGGGACACCATTCTGTAACTATGCAGTCAAAAGTTCGTTTTGCCGCGCGAGCGCACAAACGAGGTTCGCGTGAAGTGAAGCGCCTTTGCATGTGCCTTGCCGACAGTATCGCCCCCGCAGCAGCGTTGGCGTCCGTACCGCGCTTTGGTCTGTAGCAGGGGTGGCCAAGCTGCGACTCGCGAGCCGCATGCGGCTCTTCGCGTGTCAAAGTGCGGCTCGCGGCTCCCCCCCCCCCCCCCCCCCCCCCCGCCCCCCCCTCCCTCCTGGTCAAACGAGCAGTTCCTTAAAAACAGAAATGGAACGCGCTTTAAATCGAAAGACAGATTGCCGTTTAGTAGGCTTGCGCTACTGCTACCTTACGTACTGTTGAACTGCTTTTGACTCGGATATTGAAATATGTTGGAGTTTCGTTTACTGCTTTGGACAAAAGTTTGCCCCCTTTCCCCCTCGCGGCACTTGGAAGTTTCGTGGTTTTGTTTACGGCTCTTGGGCCGGGTAAGCCTGTCCACCCCTGGTCTATAGTAAAGTATCCGGCCTAATCTTCGTCAGCACGCTTCAACCCTCGCTTCTTCCCTAAGAACTAACGAATTTAAATAACGTTGTCTCTCAGGAGGTGGACATGGGAGTAGCCGCCACGGTAATAAACGCCGAGCGGAAGGAGGCAGTGGACTTCAGCCAACCCTTCATGACGACCGGGATCGCCGCGCTGATGCTGAAACCAAGCGATCTGCCAGGACGTGGAATGTTCACCTTCTTGGCGCCGTTCTCCCTGGAGCTGTGGATTTTTTTCGTTTCGAGTTTCGGATTGGTCTTCGTCATCATGTTCTTCGTGAGTTTCTTCACCACGCGAGTGTCTTCTACGAAACCGGGTATGGAACACAGCGCCTGCGGTACCATCTACAAGAGCCTCTGTTACTCCCTGGAAGCCTTCACGCCTCACTACATTGACTCGTACTACGCGAGGTAAGTCCTACTATTTCGTGGGTATGTGTTTCTTAAGATTTTCAAAAACTGTATAAGTTCCCTAAGCTTCTGCTCAAAACACGGCCTGGGCGAGCCGCTTTTAGTGGATTGTGGTTTCTAATGTCACACACTTAATTTACCTAGAAATGATCTTCACTCTGAAATTTGTTTACTCGCTGCATGTTTAGCTCGAAACATATTTTGTAAACGAACAATACAAAGTACTAAAACGATTATAAAAAATTAAGCCGTGATTTTGGTTAGGTACTGTAAAACTTCGAAAGATATATCGGAAGAATCTAACTATAGTGACCTGTTCAGTAGAAACTTCTTGGCTGCTAGAGCTCACCGGCAGCGTGCTCCAACAGGTGCGATGTTGTAACGTCATATCTTGAAGCGTTGTTGGGCTCGGCTCTTAAAGAAATACGTGTTATTCATAGCACGATGGCAATACCACTCTGTAAGGCCTACAGTCAGAGGTGCAAAGCACTAGCGAAGACGCTAGTTTTAAGAAGTAGAAACAAACAAATACCAAATGCTTCTAAGGAAACCGAGTTGTTCAGACGGCTTGGAAAAGCCTCCATGCCACTGGGAGGTGGATAATGTGTCGTGAAACTTCATGCTCTCCATCGTATTACAAAACAAGTAGCGCGCAGACTCGCTGCTTAAAAATGTATCATCAAAATAAATACGGGACATCTAAATTCTTGAGTTAATCAAAACAATGCTGAAATCATTTTGAACAACAAGATTGAGTTCAGTATACTTTACGCGCCCTTCAAAACGTTTAATTGGTATATTCTTGCCTATCTCGCCTGGATTTTTCCTTTATTGAATTGAAGGGCCCTTCAAAGTATAGTTTGTGTATATAAGTATTACTATTACTTGAAATGCAGCGTGTGTCATTACAGTCAGGCAACATTCTGTGGTATTAGCGTCATTATATAATTATAAATACAAACAATTTAGATACTACAAACTACCGATTCAGTTCAGCGCCAGGCGACAAAAAGAAAAGCAAGTTCTAATTTTAAGAGGAGAGTAAGAATTTTGAAAGTCTTACCTTTTTGAGCTACCCTTGGCGCCTGGCACATCGCAACTTTTGCTTCAAGTTCCGCTTTATTGAAAACAGATAATTTTTATTTAGGTAGTTAATTGTCATTCGTATAGTAATAAAAACAAAAAATAAAAAAAAAACCCACCAGCCTTTAACTAAGCTTGACAAGTTTATTTAGATTCCTCTGATATTTATTGCTGGCATCTGTCGTGATATTGGTGGGCAGAATAAAAAACAAATACTTAAAGAGCAAACGAAAACTAAGGTGCAATAGACCATACGAGGTGCTGAGGTCGACTGGCTCTTACCGACGGAGGTACCCTATTTTTCCGACTCTTTCCAGGTCAATATCAGGGAGGGTCATCGGGAATATCTGGTGGCTGTTCATCGTCTTCGTGTTTTCTGCGTACACCGCAAGCATGGTTCCGTTTCTGTCCAAAGAGTCGAGGATTCGCCCCATCCGCAGTGTCGAGGACCTGCCCCTCCAGAGCCAGGTGGACTACGGCTTCAGCAGGCAGTCGATGGCCAAGAAGTACTTTGAGGTCAGTTTAGCTGTTGGTTCGTTAAAAATGTCCTTATCTGTCTGAAAAAAAAAATGGAAGGGACCCGAAAAAATACCGTAAGGGTGCAGGCGAGCTGGTGATTATTAACCATGTTGAATTAACCTGAGACTGTGGTAGAGAGGAAACAACAAAACGTAGAGGAGACAGAAAATAGACAGGACGAAGTCTCAAACTCAGCTAACTTGTTTGTTTAGGCATCCTCCTTATATAGTCTTAATCTCAAGGTCATCTGTATAGATTTCGTCCTTCTGTGTTAGTGGGAATGACCTTGGGAGTGAGACTGTGTAATGAGGTGGACTAAATAAACGAGTTAGTTGAGTTTGAGACGTCGTCTTGTCTATTTTCCGTCTCTTCTACGTTTTGATGTTTCCTCTCTACCCCAGTCTCAGGTTAATTGAACGTGGTTAAGGGACCCGGTCGGTCTTGGCTGGTGCAATATATGACCCGGGGTGAGTTTAATCTCGATGACTTACGTTCAACTTTGACGATGCAACTTTGAATACAGTTCCTGGGAGCTTAAGGAACCCAGGTTGCGGCGAGACCTGAGCTTGGCATCACTGACCCGCAACCAAAAATACTCTGGCATCAGCCCATCAGTACTCTGAACATGAAATCACGAAGCGAGAAGCGTGACCATAATACGGCCGTGTCGTTCTTAAGCTGTCAGACACTTGAATCGCACTCACCGAGGGCGGACCACAACCCCCAAATCATCTCGTTATCTGGGAGCGTGCTCCCAATTAGATTGTAACACGAACCGAATGGAACAACGAATAACCGCTGGTGAAGCAATAACTGCTGATTCTCACATTCTGACGCTTTTCAGCTGTAGAGGACTTTACGAAAGGACTCGTAAATGTGCCCTCTGCCATGCACTAGAAATTGCTTTTATTTTTTTTATTTTTTTCATTTACACTAAGTTATTGTCACTGGTTTACAAAAAAAAAATGAAAGGCGTTTGCAATACTCTGTAATGCCGAATCGGAGCACTTTTCTTAAGGAAGAGGGGAGGGTATGCCCCTCCTCCTCCTCTGTACAATTCAGATTGGTGTTGAGGTCACGTGACGTCACTTTTCCCGCTAAATCTAGCGGAGAAACGGAGTTTATTCATGGGTGACGAGACACGAATTCATGTGACATCGTTTTCCCCGCTAAATTTGGCGGGGAAACTGAATTGGTGTTAAGGTCATGTGGCTTCAATTTTTCCCCTAAATCTAGCGGAGAAACTGAATGGGTTCGTGGGTGACGTGACACAAAGTCATGTGACGTCATTTTCCCGCTAGATTTAGCGGGGAAATTGACGAATTAGGAGCAACCTAACTGGCTGCAGAACGATAATAAAGTGCTCCGTTCTCGCGGCGACTAGAATTCACTAATTTGGAGCACGGACAGCTGCAGATTTAGAAATTGCGTCAAGGACACGAAGATGAGGATGACGAGCCAATAACTGGAAGCACGGGAGAGCGTGCACATTATGTTTGTAATGTTGCAGTGATGCCCAAACGACCATACGAAGCGGGCTCCTCGGGTCTCCCTGTCATGTCTGTCTCTTTGTCTGTAACTAGGGTTACGTGCTTTCGGATAAACACGAAACACTAAGGAAAACACTCGCCGGTAAGGGTCAATGCTACTGGGAAAATGCCACCACAGTTGCCTTTCAAATCTCAAAGCATTGACAAAAGGGATCTGACCGCTTATCTCGTCAAGGTTCATTCAGGAGAAGAGGTCATTCTACTTTAGGGTCACGACAAGAGCCACCGTTTTGGGTCATACCATTTGTGCTTTAAGAAGAAGCGAAGGTTCGGCTTTTTGGCAGGGAAAGCTATGGACTGTAGAAATTGCATAAAATGGGGAAGAGGGGCAGTTGAAACTTCTATTACATCCTTTACCGCTCCACCTCGTGCGGCCGAGGGGTAGGTTGGTGGAATAGCACAAGATGAATAGAGCTTCCCAGCGACTACAGGCAGGAGCTTATTGCTTCTAATTTTTTAGGGTATCAACGTCTATCGAAGCAGCAGTCGTGTGAAACTTTTGTCATGGGACAAATTAGTATTGCCAATGGCAATGGAACCAACACCAAATCTAGCTAAAGAAATATTATTGGATACAAGCGCGTTTAACTTTTTTTTTATCTGGACGGGTGTTTTTATTCATTTATTTATTTTAATCGGGAACATTGCGAAATTTAACTTTAAGTTTTGTTAAATTGGGAATCAAACAAAAATTAACTTTTTTCTTTCGGCCAAAAAATTAACTCCGAAAGACACCGTCCGACTATCACAAAAAATAAACACCGAAAACACGGAATCCTATCTATAACATACGGTGCCGAACGAAGCTATTGAAATTAGAATGAGATAGTGATCACTCGACCACGACGACGACGACGATCGGTGGTACTCTTTCAGAATCCCAACCTGAACTCAACCGCCCACAGACGGATGTGGGAAGTGATGAACAGCAAGCCCGACGTCTTCAAGAACTCGAACGCCGAGGGCGTCGATGCTGTCCGTTCTTCCAAGGGAAACTACGTGTTCTTCATGGAAGCCAACGCGGTGGCGTTCGTCAACACGCAGCGACCCTGCGACACGATGCAGCTCGGAGACACCTTCGGGGTCAGGAGCTTTGCCGTTGCCGTTCCGAAGGGATCTTCACTCAGGTGAGCCGAGGGCGCTGCCTACTCCGTTCACCTGTAGAGTCACTCTACTTGTATAGAATCATAACTCCGCGGACATGTCGCCATGTCCGCAGAGTTTCTCCGCGGACATGGGGACAAAATTGTCTGCGCACACGCCTCAAGCAGGTTCGAAGCATGAGTCCACAACCCAATGACAGGATTGTTTTTTGTGTTTTTTTTTTTTTTTGTCTAGGCGATAAGCATTGGAAATCTGTATTTCTCAGCGTTTATACCGGGCTGAAAATTGCTGAGTCACTGGTTTGTGAATGCAGGTCTGGTGTCTGATATTTCACGAAAGAAAGGCACTGTGCATGCTCAAAACGTGTTGCGCAGCACCGCGGACAAAGATGGTAGCCGCCATCTTGAATGGCGGAGTTTCTATTGTGCAGGCTTGTTGTGGAAGGAGCAGCTTCTGGTAAATATTTTGCAGAAGACAACTCCTGCGCATGCGCAGGACGCGTTTCACAGTCTAGTAAGCGAAGATGGTAGCCCGGCGGAAGGCGATTATTGTCATTGTCTAAGCGTCGAAGTTTACCCGTGAATCCACCATCATTGCAGAAAACACCTGGATGAAGCGATCGCCCATTTGTCCGAGACCGGCGAGCTGGACAAGCTCAAGAAGAAATGGTGGACGCAGAAGTCCTACTGCCAGTATCCCGAGAGAAAAGTGAGTGTCGATCACGCGAAGCAGGCTTCGAGAGTAAATACATGTAATACAAGCAGCCACGCTTCGAAAAACTAGTCTAGACACCATAAGTAGAAATTATTATTATGTTTGCTGTCGTTGCTTTTTCTTTCTTTTTTTTTTTGTGGGGGGGGGGGGGGGGGGGCGGGGGGCAGGGAGGGGCCAGTCTGGCAACAGTGGGCAAGTATTGAAAGGCCTCACCACTGATCTCTATGTCTATTTGCTGGATCGCGTTTGACCAGCTCCTCCTATGGACCGGAATGCGGTCACTGGCGGCCATCTTTAGGTAGAGTTATATCATCTCTAGCCATCATAGTAATATGGCGGACAGCGCAATGGCGGCAGGCTGCCATAAAAATAGCCGTAGATCTAGTACACTGTACCGTGGGTGACATTTCGTGCTTGATTGAAGTTGTTCGACGAAGCAGATTCTTGAAACCCGGCGTGAACAGTAGCCTCATCTTTGAGGACCCGGAAAAAGTTCTACGAAAGCGCAGCACCGGCGGAAAGCAGCGCAGCTCGCATCAAAAGCAGACTCCCTACCGTCGTCTGCTTTCGATGCTCCTTTCGATGCGACTTTCGATACGTGCTGTGCTGCTTTTCTCCCGGTGCTTCGATTTCGTGAAACTTTTACCAGGTCCTCAGAAACCGGACTACTGTTCACGCCGGGTTTCAAAAACATGTTTCGTCGAATAATTTTAATCAAGCACGTAATATCACCCACACTATTTTGACCGCAGCCTGCCAACCCACCTGCCAAAACGCTATCTGCCATGGATGGATGATAGCGGCTGCAGCAGCTTACATTGGCTAGAGGTGATATAACTCTACCTAAAGATGGCCGCCAGTGACCGCAATCGCGGAGCGGGCAAACGCGATCCAGCAATTGTCATAGAGATCAGTGGGCCTCACTATCCGATGATCTACGCACGCCCGAAGCAAGATGGCGGTGCTTAGAGGCCGTGCTCGCGACAGCCACTGACAACTTAAAAAATTCAGAGGGTGCCCTGTTCACGCTTCCTGCTTCGTGATTGGTTCTTTGATATTTTTTATCGGCTAATGCCGCACTATGATTGGCTGCGTAGTGATATTGAGATGCTTGGGACTTTGTACATCCTGCGTTTCTTAAACTGCCAACAACTATTCAGTGTCGTGTCATTTCTTTTAACTGTCTACGTTTGGTTTTATGTGCGCTGACGCTATCGCACGACTTCTCACTTGTCACAATGGCGAAACGTGTCTCAAAAGCGCAAGTAATGCGGAGGGCAAGTTCGTCTGCTTCTTGCGGAGGGGGGTAGCGGTGACGTCAGAACGCGGAGCCCTGATTGGCTGATCGCGACACCCTATCTGAGCGTCGTCTGCTCCTTTGCAACGTCATCTGCTCGCAACGTCATCTGCTCGCAACGTCATCTGCTCGCAACGTCATCTGCGTCTGTGGCACCTTTCCTGCGACTTTTGAAAGTGCAGAGGCCAGATTCACGAAACAATCTTACGCCAAAAATGTGCGTAAGACAAAACTTAAGAAGAAATTCGTAATCACGAAACGAAATTTTCGTAAGTTTTGCGCAGTTTACGACAAAATCCTACGACAGCTCCGAAGCTTTCTTACCCACTTATTACGATCAAATCAGCATGGCCGACAACGTCGCGGTCGCGACGACCCCCGGACGTTTATTTTTCTACGTGCGCTTCTCACGCCTCCCGACATCAAGCAGCAGGAAAAAAGTAAAAAGTACTTCAAACAGACCACGACGAACAAGAACGCTGGATCCACAAACACCCGGGAAAAGCTCTAACGGCCACGATTACACCGAACATGACCAAGCGAGTACGGCAGTTAGGCCCAGCAGGCACTCCGCAACTCGGCGACCGTCTGCCCACGGCCGGCTGGCGTGCTGAATAGAATACGCCCGCGCGACCCTTGTGAGCCCTTCCCGCATTATACTTTGATCGCTGACCTCAATTTTAGATGAAAAGGTCAATTTCTTCCTCTTGTTATCTCCTTGTTTCCCGAAACGATGGTGACTCTCACCGGTGAAAAAGCGGTGAATCTCCGACAGACGCAGGAAAGGTAAAGCAGCCATCGCTTTGACTAGCAGACGTAAAGCAGACGACGTTAGGTGTGCCAACCCGCCGACGCCGTTAAAGAGGGAGGAGTCTCGCCGCACACGAAAGGAGGAAAAAAGGGTTTGGGAGGGTGCTTGCGGACACTAACACGCTCACTCTCGGTTGTTAGCAAACAAACCTCGGCGCCTCGGGACACCTCGCCAGTGAGTCCTTTGACTTTCCCCCTTGATGCGCGTCTGCTAGTTGTTAGACAAAAACAACGTACCGTTCGAGTTATTTCGTCTGCCCTCTCTGATAGGCGAAGTCGAGCTCGCTCGTAAAGACCTGCACTTCCCAAAGTCGCAGGAAAGGTAAGACAGACGTAGACGATGTTGCGAGCAGACGACGTTGCAAAGGAGCAGACGACGCTAAGATATGGGGTCGCGATCAGCCAATCAGGGCTCGGCGTTCTGACGTCACCGCTACTTCCTTTTTCATGCGCAGAAGACGAAAATGAGCCCACTTGCGAGGCGTATTGCACTGAAAAACATTATCGATGTTATCAATACGGTGCCGTAAATGCCGTTTAAACCATTTTGATACGATCAGATTAGTCAAAAGTGTTCTAAAGCTCACATGGGAGTTTCGCGGGAATCTGAACCAATATTAGCATAAGAAAGCAAATGCATTACAGTGAGCGCGGTACGACACGGACTACTAATAAAGGCTGCAGGATATGCATATCATTGAATAAAATATAAGACGGAAATTAATGTCAATATTGTAGTAAAGTTAGTTAAATGAGAGGTTTGTAACTGAAGACAGCAGATTTCAACCAGTATCAACTGCAACAAACGCCAAATCATTAATCGTTCGTGTTTTGACAAATGAAGAGATCCTTTTTTGGACGGTGCTTGTCACGTCCCTTTGATTTTAGGCGATAAAGCAGTACTTGCCGAGAGGTCGGACATCGGAGTGTGCTTTAGCACATCATTATTATGGCGCTTGGTATGCGTTTCCCACTGCTGTTTATAGCGTGCTGAAATGTGGTCCCTCACCTCATGACGACACGGAAGTGTCACGTGATTGCCAGCCGCAATCCTGGCCATGGCACAGGAGCGGAGGAGAAGGTGACAGACGTCTGTTCTGCAGCAGGTCGCTCTTCAGCTTTCCAGGTCGCTCTTCAGCTTTGCAGCTCACTCTTCGGCTTTACTGGTCATGGCACATCTTCGCCAGGCAGGAGTTGGGACGTGGGTGACGAAAGCGGCACTCAAATTTCCTAGTACTTTTTTTTTTTTCCGGAGTTTTTACGATCAATCACCGGAATTTTGAAAACCCGACAACATGACACGTGGACTCCTGGAACATCGCTCGTTTCCCGCTTGGGATCTCCCTCAATGTAGACGCTGTACAGCGCACTAGTCGAAGAATCGCTTCATGGACCGTAGCACCATCAGTCGCGATGCTAAACAACCGAGTTACGGCTAGGGCACAAAGAGAAGGAAACGAGCCGTGTGTGCTGCCGTAGATATTGAAGAGCCAGTATGCACTAAAAAACAACAGCAACGAAGTAACAAACCTGGTGTCCGGTACAAAGAAGTTCAAATGTTATCTCTTGATTGATTCGACAGAAAGACGAGACCGTCATGCCGCTGGACAACTTCATCGGTGTGTTCTTCATCCTGGGCGGCGGAGTGGCACTCGGAATCCTCGTTGGCCTCATCGAATTCATCTATAAATGCTGTGTCCGCTCATCTGCAGCAAAGGTTCGTATTTGCTGCCTATAATCTGTGCTTTTTGAAAGTTCAAGTGCGATAACAAAAAGGCGCCTGAAGGGACCAGCATGTTTTGTTTATTTATTCAACAATCAACAAGTCAGTCAATCAAGCAATTGATCGATCGATAGATCTACTAAGCAGGGAACCTAATAGAGAGCTTATAAATACAGTGGCATAACCGAAATACAGAGAAATATGAAATGGCGAATCCTAAGTACCATAATGTCCACGTTGAATCCGCCTTATGAGGTGCAAAAAATATAAATGCTGAGACCGTGTAATAATTTTGCCCCCAAAATTTGCACATCATTTTACAATGCGCCAGATTGAGACAATGTGACTGTGCGCCAGTCATGAAACGAAAAATGCAGATACGCGCTCTTTTAAGCACTGCATTGGGCCTTGTTTAAAAGCCATTAGTGCTTTTAGACAAACGAAAAGATGCGTAAACGCCTGACCCGATCATCACATTAACATTCGACATCGGTTCAGAAGTTTGACTTTAAACTGCCTTCCACAAGCACTTATTAAAATATTTCTTAATATTTGTTTGAGTTTGAGGGGCTTGCAAGGCTCGTGTAACATCATATGTCAAAAAAGAAAAAAGAAAAATATTGTACAGGTACTGACAATATAATTAAACTCACTCTGGTTTACTTCTTTGTTTCTTATTTTGCAGGGCACAGTGCCTGAAACCACTTCCACGGGAGAGGCAACAATAACCGAAAAAGAATTCGCTGAACAAGCTCTCGCAAGCGCGTAATGAAGAAAACGAATGTGTACCGTGTCGGACTTAGAATACGCATAATGGTGTTGATCTAAACAACGTCAGTCTGGTCACAAACCATAATTAATTTGTGGGTGTATATATACATATGTATAAAAGCAAAAAAGCAAGAGAGGTTGTAATTGTAATTTGGTGTGCTCTATCGTGTCATTCAGATGTGAAGCGTTTTAGATATTAGCGTTTTTGTAACCACATCGCCAATCACTGCCGAAGTTGTCATCAGCAGTTTCTGTATTTAAAATCTAACTAAAGCCCGCATAAAAGAAAAATCATGCTTTGGTTTTGGTTTCGAAAGAAAGTTTCGCCTCCACCGTTTTGCGATAGCAGCATTGAAGTAGACATGGACACGTCGGCTCACCTGCCTTTAAACTGCGGTCCCACGGGAACCGTGTGAGGGTTTCGTGCAGTCTGTTACGAATGTTGGGGAATGTTGGCATCGTTGAAAATCCTTAACTTCACCATGAAACGTTAGAGGAACCATTATCTAAGCGGCAAGAACCCTTTTTGATACTTCTACGCTCCCAACGCGGAGCTCCAGTACGTACAATGCTCACCTCGTAGAAATGCGTCGGCCGTGGGGTGCAAGCTCCCGTGACACTTCGCATAATCCAAGCATGAATATAGCTGAACAAAGCACGCACGTTTTTATACTCTGTGAAAGAAACAAATGTTTTTGTCTTGCATACTCGACCTGGATGTTCGACGTACACATAACTTGACGCAGTTTGTAAACTACCTGCGTCTTGGGAACGTTATTCTAAAGTTTCCATAGCGGGTTTGTTCATGTGTCACGTTCTGGAAACCTGTCAGCTTAAGTCACAGGCTTCACATCCCTTCAAAGAGGCAGCGGTATGGTGAATGTGTTCGTGTATCTTGTTGCAGTGTGTGCGTGTATATGTGTGTTTTTGCTGGTGACATTTGAAGAAGCACAATGTAGCCATTTGACCAGCTCTGCTAAATGTTGCCATGATACAAACTCTGTGTCACGGTTCAGTGTACTAAATGCACGCGTGCGCTTTCTCCACGTAAAGACTTGTTCGCTTAGACGAAAGAGCGTGGTATTGCGTTAGGCAGAAGGTATTCTTTTACAGATCGTTAGTGGCAAGGTAAGAACGGCGTGTTTGAACGCCCGGCCCTCGGCGAAAGCGCTGGTTACCTCTCGCCGTGCTTTTGCTGCGAGTGGTCGTTCGAGGAAACTCGAATCCGGCGTGTTCTTACCCTATCAGTGACCTTAGAGCCACAAACACCGTTGTCACGGCGAGGCGCAACCAATGGGATTAGTGCATTTATGAGTCGCTTGTGTAATTTGTGATCAGCATCATCTTTCATACTCCATCTCAACGTGCCGCTAGAAATATCACACGCATGGTGTACGATAGTGATGTTGCTTACCTGTTTAAGCGAAAATTCAGCTGTTAATTATTAGTGAAAGCGAGTTGTTTTCTAACTTGTGTGAAAACTGTTAGCGGTAGTTATTGTTTCGACCTTTCGTTTGTTTGAGTCCTCAAATCTGAGCTAACTTAGAAGAGCTTGAAGTATCAATGGGGCGCATGAACCTCTGTTGAAATAGATTTTTTTTTATATATCTGTAATTCCGCGTCGTCTTTCGTCACTGACCTCAAACATCATCTGAAATCTATTCGTCACGAACACTTCGTCATCAGTGGTCACTCCCAAGTGACTAGCAGCTCGAACACGAAGAAAACAAATTGTCTACTTTAAGTACGCATCGAAGCCTTTCTTCAGCACTCGATCTCCGAATAAAGTGGGTTTTCCGAATAGTTCTTCTTTAAAAACATGCCGACGTCGCTTATAATAGAAACATGGCTGTATTTGGGATCATCATCTTATGTCATTAATGAGACAATATAACAATAAGCTCCGTCGAGAGGCCAGCGCTTAAAATGGCTGGCCTACTCACCACCGGGAGTCTTCTTCACTGAGTTACTCTCCTCTCTCCTATTTGACAAGTCGATCCGGGTGTGTTTCAATACGCCATGCAAACAGGAAGGCTGTCTATAAAGCTCAGTCGTACGCTTAGTGTGGTTCTTCGGTTAAAATAGCCTTGTCACTTGCAACAGAAGATGTAGGCAGGAATTGGTTGGTAGTTGCTATGAGCTTTCGATATATACTATGTTGCAATTCACTCGGCTTATAGAATCAACCGAAATGGTTTAATTATTCCGCTAAAGTTCAATGCACATACAAGTTGGAGTTTTTCTGCTTGCAAACATTGCTTTATTTATTTCACACGACAATCCGCGTGTTCTGATCGCCTCTACGTGACTTGCGTTGTCTTGCGCCGCGTTATGTACCCAGCCAAAGCAACGCTAGTTTTTACTTCTATACTCGCATCTTACGGAACCAACCCCGATAAAAACGGCAATGTGTTCAGTACCGCTTATCTTTTAACTATTTCGTGACTCAAATACTTCATAGGTGTAGGCACCCTATAATACATTCCCGTGTATATACACGAGATTATAGACGAACTTTAAAGGACATCTTTTTGCTCAGAGAGTGTTCGTGGCTCTGGTACACATGCTCAGTGATAAATCTCCTGTGGTACGATGCTCACCTTTCCTCGTCACTACTGTGTTAACCACCGCATCGAATCGACTCCATTCGTGTCTTTGTTTAGCTGAAGTCGCCTTGTGGAAGCCATGTGTTCTCTCGAATAAACGCTTTCCTATCCTAAGAATTATGTCTTTTTTTTTTTGCCCGTCTATTAACTGACTGAGACAGATCGAAAAACAGCATGTGTGGTCGACCAACCTCCCAAATAATTGGCGACAGCTTAACAAACAAAGGGTGTGGCCTATTTTTCTGACTTCGTCATTGGTTCTTAGACGTTATCGTCGGCTGTCACTGCAATCCCATCGGCCGAGGAACGTTAATGAGATGACCGAGATTCGCCCCACCCCGCGTTGCTTAAACTGCCCACGCGTTCGTCACCTCTCGTAATCCTACCGTGGACCTTGGTATGTTCGTTTCAAGCTACACGTCCCTCAATAGCCAGTGATTCTTGGCTTCGAAGTTGTCGCACGCGGCCTCATGCTATCAGGTATAGCCCTGGAACCGCGCGTAACTGGACTGAAGGTATTGCATTATTCGCGAAAATAAATCAACGCGCTAGCCATAGGAAATCGTCACCTATAACATTGCCAAACTTTTCTATAGCCTACGTAGAAAGTATGACGCTTTGAACCATATATAGGCTGGTCGAAAGAGTTCTACGGGTACGCCTAATAGATGGCGCCAGCATGCCCGCGTGTACTCTAGAGAGCCCATAAATTGAAGAGAGGGTCCATCTGATACCGGGGGGAGCGTTTGATATTTAACGGCGAGGACGCCGCCTGCGTAGTTTGGTCACAACTGCGTATGCGCTGCGTTGCCAAGTGGCGAGAAGGAAAGCTGGCGGAAAGGCGGAGACGTTTGCCGACGATCAACGCTTCTGTCACCTTCTCGCAGCTCGTCTTGCAAGCGCGGCCCATAAACAGTTGGATACTCTATGTAATCTAGCCGCACTATAGTGTTCTCTCGTCGAATGCGATTAGAAAAGAAGGCAACGCACTCGGGCTCAGACAAAGTTAATTCCCCGAACCGGTCTATTACGCAGCTTTCTAAAAAAAGGCTTCGGTGCTTTTCTATACGTGCAGAAACTGGGAGAAAGGGGGAGACTAGAGCGCGCGAGGAAAGCGTTCGAACGCCGAACCCTGGCGTTCGGCGTTTCGCGTTCGCGTTCGAACGAGTTCGAACAGCGAGATAGAGGCGTCTACCCGCTAATTATTCCAACCAGAGCTCGGTGTTCCGACGTCGCCGCGCGCTTTAGTCTCCTCCTCTCCCTCCGTTTCTGCCCGTATATATACCTTTCATCATAGCCTCCTATACACTGACACAACCTGGCAGATCGCCACGAGAAGCGCCGCCGAAATGGAAAAGGTGGAGCGGCAGACAACGCATGAAAAGAGAGCCACGTGACTGGCGCCCCGCTGCGGCGATACATGGAAACACACTTTTCCCGAGCGAACAAGTGTGTTTCGAGTCCTCGACGCTGCAAAAGCTGTGCGCTGACGTCCAGGTTCCCCGAGAAATGGCTCTTTGATGCTCTGTGCTACCAGATCCTCGCGCTCCAAATCTGCGACCGGGCACTCTATGGCTCCGTCGTCGATCTGCCAGGCTTTGGGAGTTTAGAAGAGGCTATGGCTGTATAGATTCCCTGTGCAAGCTTTTTTGCTTGCAGTCATTTTCAACAGCATTCCACATCTTGAATTTCGTATGAAGTGTTTCGTTCTTGATGCGGTGAGGGGTTTACTGCGCTGTCTTTTTACATTTACATTTTGAATAATTCTTGTATGTATTTTGTGTTTTTTTTATTGTTAGTTTTCTTATTTGTACATTTTATGTTATCGGGAAGATTTCGATCCTTATGCTTGAGTTTAACTTTCACCTGAATGTTTTTTTTTCTTTTTTCTTATGTGAACTGCAAGGCTACAGTGCTTTGTTAGGCGTTTTGCACTGACCCCCTTTCGGGCCCTGTAAAAAAACAAAAACAGTTTGCATTTGATTTATTTTCAAGATGCAGGTGAGGCCGTATCGTTGCTCATGCAGACAATTGCTTTTCAAATTGGTGGAATTTCCTACGACAAAAAACACGACCCCAGATCAGAATCATTGGAGATGGTGCCTGCTAGTGTAATTAATTCCACGCTTGTTTAAACAGCAGCAACAAAAAAAGCGACAACACGTAGCATTTTTCTTTTCTTCGTGGAACGATTACTGTGCATAAAGTGCGAATAAACAAACGTTTTCAATTGACACCTGGTGCTTTAACAGACAAGCACTGTCTTATCGAATCAAGAACGCTTTACTTGGTTGAGTGCGATATCTTCTCTTTTTTTGTTCGCAGCTTCTGGTTCTTCTTGTAATGTTCTCAACGTGGGAAATTATTTTGATAAGATCCTCACGCTTTTTATACGACGCATTGAAAACAAATATGCTACAAAAATTGGCCTTTATTGGGACCGTACAAGAAATGATATATCAAGAATGACACCATTTAACTTACAATCAGAGAGCGTTTATATACAGTGAGACAATGAAGACGCTTTTAAATAATACTCGAGGTCGCTGACTCGGCTCGACCAGGCAGAAATTCCGTTCTTTAGATACTGATAGAATTGGGCACAATCTCCGGATCGAGGTAAGGGTACGGAAGATCCTTCAGAGAATTCCGATGCTTAATGTCGTCGCTGATCCGCTTCAAGTCTTCCCTGAACCTGTAATGAAAAGATTGGCGGTTACCGCTACCTTGAAAGTCCTATAATGGATGAAATGCATTATAGGGAATTGGTGAGAGAATTGCAGTGTCACGTGACGTATATTTTCCCGCAACATTTAGCGGGAAAACTGAGTAGACGTATAGGTCATGTGCCGTCAATTTTCCCAAAGTTGAAAGGTCGCGTGACGTCACGTTACTGCACTTTCCCCGCCAAATTCAGCGGAAAATGTATGGATGGATGGACGGACAGACATAATTTTGGGATTGGGGGGGGGGGGGGGGGGGCAGTAGGCGCTAAAAAGTATTTCATGTCTTAATAAAAAAAAACTGGATGAGCGATAAACAGATTGTAATACTTACTCAGCTTGTTATTAGATCAAAGTTTTTTTTAATAATGATTTCTTAGCTAATGCTAACAAGCTAGGTGGCCCTGCGTGGACCCACTAGGGATGACCTTTGAGAGACAAAAGCCTCTTCGAAGTGACATACCGCTGCAGTCGAGAAACGAAAGGGCCCCACTTGAGAGGCTACTCACTCTTCGGCTGCGCTGACTGCCGCCGGTTCGTACATGTACTGAACCTCGAAGTAGCCGAGGGAGTTGGTGCCCTTGCTGCTGAGCAGCTTGGTGATGATCATGGCGTCGAGCGTCACCTGCTTCGAGGGTAGCAGAGACACGACGTCGTCCTCCGACAGCGCCCTCTGTGAACACATCGCAACAACCTCGTGCTCCAGTCATGGCTACACATCGCTTTCAAATGCATTTGTCCATATGTCCAAAGAATAAAAAAATAATGGGGGTGGTGAGTGCAGACAAGCTATAGGGTTTTAACTGTATGTTCGGTATCCTTCCATTTTTGTATACTTCACTTGACTGCATATCTGTGTTTTTTGTCAAAGGTATATCGTAAGCATACCACGCGGTGTTAAAAAAGCGCCTATCCTTACAGCAGTTTTCCGTAAGATCGGCACAATAAGTTTTGATTGAACTTATAATACAACAGCACGCGATACATACCGCGAGAACATTGAGAGGCGTATGAGAACCTATATATCATTTATATCAGTTCACATAGCCCACCGAAAAATCCCGTACAAGTTTTCACCACCTGGATTATGGAACTGGAAATATATCTAAATTCTATACGGATCTCAGTAAAAAAAAAAAATAATAATGCTTTGTTTGCAATCTGGATTTCCAGTTCCATAATCTAGATAGCAAAAAATTATACTGGGATTTGAGGTAGGGATATATGTTTATTGAAAGGATCCTATGTCAAATTTTCCTTTTTTTCAATAGAAAAGTCCTGGTATGGTCATTGGACGAATCGTACGCTACATTGTCCTCATTTGAAGAGGGGCATACCTTGTCCTTGGGAGGTCCCCTGTCCAGGTAGGCCGGGTAGTTCGGTGGAAACGCGTAGTCCTCGTACTGCTGGAAGTTAGCCGCAGCGTGGGCGACGCTGCACTGGCTGATGATGGCCGCCACGGTGTCGATGACTTCGTCCTGCGTCGTGAAGCGCCCCTTCTCTTGGCCCGGCACGCCCTAGGGAAAAAAAAGAAAAGAAAAGAGAAATTGTTTCAAGAAGACGTGACCTGGATGGATGGATGTCATTGTAACGGGTGGTAGCTTGCGCAACCCAGCCCTTGCACCTTGTGTCGCGACGTCCAGTGTTTACAGACCATTCCAAATGCCGGCTTCTTTGCGACACCATATTTGTCTACAGGGCTCTGGAACGCGTTCTGAGCATGCGCGTTAGCTCTTTTCTTCAAAGCGTCCGAGGCCGCCCATATGTCCACGGCCAGTACAACCCAGAAGAAAAGGCCTGAGCATGATGTCATTGCTGTAGATGGTGCTGATGATCAAGTAACTGTTCCCTTTGTATCGGGCGAACTCGAATATTCGTGGCCTAATCAAAATTAAAATATAGAACAACAAAAAATCACCTATTGCTGTCACTCATTTCGTGCCACCATTTGAAAGTCTTGCCTTTGTCCTCGACACACACTAGTGCACAAACGAGTCAGTGCCCTGCCTAGCTGTTGCTGATACGGTTGAGCTGGCCATGTTGGAGTTTCTCCCACATTTTAACCCTTGCTCCGCTTGTAGACGCATTGCCCGTGTTTGACGTTATCATCATCATCATCTTCATCGGTGATAACATTTTTTGGAGAAAAAGTGCAGCACTTGTTTTTTTTGTTTTTTTTTAGGCGATATTGCCACAGCCAAGTGGCTCGCCATTTTTCGCCTGGACGATAAATGCTTGAAAAGTGCTTATATTCGTTCTGTCTAGAGACTTGTATAGGGGGCGCTGTCACTCAACCGCTGGCTAGATGGCGCAAGCCGCCGTCCGGTTTTACACTCTCAGACAAGAAGAAGAAGAAGAAAAAAAAAGGTATAGTCTTACAACCCTTGTCCAATATAATACATCCCAAAATTTCTGTTCCACGTACAGCGGACTAATGTTCAAGCGACGGTACCAACTTTCACGAGCGGCTTGATAGCCCAGTGGTACAACTTACTAAAAAAAAACAAAAAAAACTTACATGTTATTGAATAAAAAAAAATATTTTTGCTTCCCTGTAAAACCGGTGTTATTTCGTGTTTTTTTTTTTCTGTAGTCTTCGATACGTAGATACATTATCATACATTATATAACACCGCTATGAAGCACATAGTAGACGTTAGAACTGTCCATTCGACGTCAGCGCGCTGTACGTCCAACTCAAGTTTCGGGGGGTATATTATATGGGACAGAGGGGTGTAAGAATACCACTGATATTTATTGTAGTAGGCTGGATCGCGGACCGCGGCCTCGGCAGCTGGGGCCAAGTGTCGCCACCGGCGGCCATTGATTGACACCAGCCAATGCATGAGACTCTATGGGAAGAACGAGAAAAAGTGACGTTTTCCCCTGCTTCTAAGCTGTTGTCAGCACTAAAACTTTTTGGATGTTTTTCATAAGCCCGTCAAATAGTTTGCGTACAAACATTAAAATTGACAGCCCTCGCAGTTCTTATAAATAAATATTTTGTGGCCGAAAGTGACTCCGCTGTAGTGCAGCTCAATGAGGCGAGAGTTACCTAGAGTTACCGCGGAATCGGTGGCGGTTTCGTTTGATTTGGGTTTAGCAGACGACAAGCTCGAAGGCTTTGCTACGCGGAATTCGCTCACTCCCGGAGAGCCGCTGTCGAGATGGAACTTCTTTGTCATTCATCAAATTCTGGGCTTCCCTAAGGACGGTCTTATTGACGGCAAGTTCCTTTGTTTACTCCACTACGAGAGCAAGCTTGCCAGCTCAGCCGTGGGTGCTCCGGTACGTTTGATTTTTTCATTCGGCGACCGGACGTTTGACAAATACCGGTTCGATCTCCAAACACCCGACATAAGGATCGCAGCGCACCATAAGATACTCGCCTCGGAGCACAGCGTACATGCTTCAATATGGTCACTTTTGTGCGTTTCTCCCATAGACTTGCGTGTATTGCCTGGTGTCAAGCAATGGCCGCCGGTGGCGACACCGACGGGCTCCCGATCCGCGATCCAGCCTACTAAAATAGAGATCAGTGAAGAATACACCTTTTTCTTTCTTTTTTTTTTAGAGTGTAGAGTAAAGGTTGGCTCACGCAGTTGCAACTGCAACGGCTTGCGACGTACGGGTTGCTATGGGCACAGCTGCAAAAAACCAGTTTTTCTAAAGCCGACGCGGCAGTTGCCATAGCAACTCGTACGTCACAAGCCGTTGCAGTTGCACTCGTTCGAACACGACGCAGGATGTGTGAACCACCCTTTAGTGTACAGACCTTTTCTGTTTACTCTCGTCCCCAGCCACCTGGTAGGCATATCCGGTATGGGCGATAAAAAAATAATAAAGCGTTTATATTTTCAACCTAGATATAGTAAAAAATTAAAGGGGAGACAAAATGAGAATGGGTGCCAGTTATGCGCTTCCTAAGTGTTTTGAGGCATTTTGTTGGTCCCATCGTGGGAGCTACCGGCTCAGTGTATGATGTTGTGTGTTTAACTTGATGAGTTTAAGGCCACTGGCCTAGCGCAATCAAAAGGGTAAAAACCAGTTGTCTCTTCTCAGTGTAATCAATTTTTATGGCTTACTTTGATGCAAATGAATCGAACCAGTTCAATGTCTGTCGCAGAAAAACTCTTCAAAAAACGCTCTCTTGTTTTGGCGTAATGCTACATTTTTATTTGGAGAGGTCATTGTTAATCCTTCTCTGCCATTACAATAAAATGTACCGAGTCCGGTAAAACGATTTCCATGGAAGTGCTCATTTAAGGTCAGGTATTCTAGGTATGGGCGCCGCACTTTTAGGAGCTTTTCATGATCAAGAACACCCATTATTAAGATAAGAAGTTTTGTAATTGCAAACCAACTTTATCTTTTTAAAAAGGTCAATTAAGCATTTGAGGCAAAAGCATCTCAGGAATAGTTATCATTATTGCATTCACTCCTTGTTTTTCAATATTCAAAGCATAGAAGTCAAAATGTTCCCGTAGAGTCCTTAGTTTAAAAAAAATAGCAAACAACCACTCGAAGTGTGCTGCGATTGACAGCGGTAAGCTGCTGCGTTGTGGAAAGGCACGTTGAAGATTTCCCTTCAGCCAGTGTGCTGTACAATGTTTGCAGTCGGTTCTTTGCTTCCAGTGGAATTGATGTAGGAGGCGTGTGTGAGGAGATGTGCGCTTTGGTGTAACGATTGTGCGAAACGTTGCATGTGTTCAAAAAGACACAGACACGTGCTTTTTTATTTTCGACAAAAACGCTTTTTTTTAGGACGGGGACACCCATGGCTTGCGGCGAAAGAAGCGAAAGTACGTACGCGAGCTGCTTTGCAGACGCGCGCAGCGTACACGAGGACGGAACCTGGGCGGCGGCAGTGGGGAGGCGAGGGAGCGTGTCCGCACAGTGCGACCACGTAAGTATTTCGCTACGGCGGCTGCCGGAGGAATAGGGGCGTGTGTGTGGGGGGGGGGGGGGGGGGGAGGGGGGGGGGAGAAGGGGAGGGAAGAAAGGGGGAGCTTTTGGGAGAGCGTCGCCTGAATAAGAAAGCGGAGGCCTACAGGAGGGAAGGGAGGGGGAGCGAGAGAGAGCCTTGCCGTGCGTGAGGAACGACGGGAGAAGGGACAGGAGTGCCTCTGCTGTGGAATGGGATTTCGCGTTTGTATATGAGCATTTTTGCCGGGAAGGGGCACTAACAGCTACCGCTGTACACCTGCAACTATATTAATTAGGTTCTCGTCATGCATGCGTCAATGAGAATCCTGCGAACGCTTCCATTCGAAGTCTAGCCAGCTCGCCGGCACTGCCAAGCCCACCCTGCTCTGGCGCTTTTTCGCGCGCTGGACTAGCCATTGTGACGTCACGGAGCAGACGCACATGCTTTAATTTCTAGGTGTTGGTTCAGTCGCATTCATCCACCCATTCAATGCCCCTTTCGCCTGCCATCCTTGTAAACGGAAATGCAGGTGGCTTATTCCAAGTTGTTCCGACTGGTCAGGTATTTCTGGTAAGTTAAGCTTGTGATTCTGCTCAGGATAAGGCTTCATATAAAAAGAAGGAACGGTATTTTTTGCAAAATGAAGTAGGATTACACGTGACTCATACTGACGTGTTGGGACATGGCGTCTCATGGATGTACGCCCACACTATATCTACATTTAGCCCGTGTAACTTCTTTAGTAATGAGTGGAGCTCTACTGGGTTGGCGACGCCCGTGGTTCGAATATCCGGAGGCGCAATATCCAAGACGACGTTTAAGTCTTTGTTTGTACAGTTGATATGGCGGTTCCGCAGCGAAATGAGACGACAAGTCCGTTGCGTGACATGTCCTGTCATGTCGACCCGTTGTAACAGATTGATCAAAACACATAAGCTACTGACTACGTCGCCATCTGGCTGGTGATTCAAGTCCAGGAAATTATAAATAAGGCAAGTGCGTTTCCCTTCTCGTTCTCCAGCATGTTTTGGGATAGAAAATGAGTTAGCTGCTGAAATTCAGAGCAATAGCCAGGTGGCACAAGCTACCGCCTTATCCAAAAGGTTCAGGCGTATTTATTTATTCATCTACCTAGAGCTAGTTAAGTCCCGCTATGCTTGTACACTGTCCAGATAGGTTGTTTGTGATCAAATTAATGCGATATCAGTGATATTTCGGGTTGTGGACTGGTAACCAGACGCCAAATCTATGTTCTGTGTGTGGAACAGCTTTACATTCAGTCGGTATTATCGCAAGCTGGTTGGCAGGTCTTCGTGTGCCTACCTTGAGTCCGACGCCAGTCAGGTGTCTTTCCTTGACGAGCTCGTCCCTCCACTGCTGAAGCTCGTAATCGTTCTCCAGTTTCTCAGGCGTGTCTGCACGAATTACACCAAATTTCACGAACTGAGTTAACCGTTAACACTGAAATCGCAAACAACTCTGCTCGTGCAATTTTTTTAGGCAGTTTTTGGCTGTTTGGATAGTTTAAGGACTACACTGCGTTTTCTTTACGCGGAAGCCCAGATTGGCGTCTTGGTTAGGGATGACCTAGTTGGGCTGATGGAACAAGAAAGGAATAGCTTGGATTTCGTAGAATTACATTATTTTGGGGCATTCTATGAAGGAAAAACAGATCCTTCTTTTATATTATTTGCCGACGGCTCCGAAGTTTTTGTATCTCTTTACTTTGTGATCTGTTATAACTTACCTCATAAGTGAAAACTCATATAAATTATAGACTATAGGCAACCACACGGAAAGCGGCGTGCACATTCGGGTACAACAGGAAGGTGTGGAAACACACCTCTATGTTGCGAAAAATGTATTCAAAGTTAGACTCAATATACTGTATGTTCTTAATATATTATGCCACACTTCGCTCTTGAATATCGGCCTGCGTTCCAGTGATAATAAAACAATAGAATCGAAGCAACATAGACGTGCGGTTTTTACAGAATAGGACATGTGCCCTTCGTAATTCAATAGGTGGTGAGATCACGAAAGATATCATTTCAGAAATAAAATAGTAGCGTTTCATCGAAGGAAATGTAGAAAAACAATCCTCACCGTAGTAGTACATGACGATCTTGGAGACGTACTTTCTGATTGCCTTGTAGATTCGGATCGAGTCATCTCTGTAGGGATACCAGGGCAAGATGTCTGGACTCAGAACCTAGAAATAATTATGATTTCTGTGTTAGTGGAATCACTGGACATTCGTATCAGCGGGTCAGGTACCTCGACCCGCCTATGAAGGTACTCACAGAAACCGTGTAGATAACTTATTAAGAAGATCAAGAAAGCTATGTCCAATTTATAAAATCGCTCAGTCAACCGCTGGTAATTCCGATTTTTGATAACACTTTTTAAGGGTTAATTCTCGGTGTTTATCGGCATTTACTGAAAACAGTGAACCCTATAGTTTTGACATCCGCACCCAGAATGAACACACACAGAAGTTCACTTTTGGAAAAACACGAATCTCAGAGGATCGTGGACGGATGAACTTACTCCTCTCGACTGTATGTCTTTTTCAGGATCTCCTTGCGTGTCCAGTCTCCACCATTCCAACCTGGTGAAATTCACAGCTATTAATCTTCGTACCGGTTCACAATCGCTCTTAACCGCAGAGCAAACATTCAGATAGATCTTAGTGGTATCTTGTAGGAAACACTCAACAAAGGAATGTTGCAGAGAATCCTTACACTGATAATCAACGCTTTGTCAAGAGACGGCTTCCCGATGAAGAGTATAGATGAAAACCGAGAAGGCAAAGAAGATTAAGCTATAGTTAAATTTTGTGAGGTAAGGTAAGAAGATATGTACAATTTTAGAAGGGACGAGTTCAGAATGAAGTCGCCTTAATTATGTCATCATACTTTATTTTGAAGTATTTATGTACAGGTTTGAGAGCAATCGAAACCGTGTTTTTGTCCAACGAGCACGTTGCTTCTACCGCCTGACGAGCTTAGCGAAGAACGGACAAAAGAACCGTTGTTTGATTCGAAGTTCCGAGAGATTTAATTAAATTTCCAGCAATAAAAGGGCGGTCAATATAAACCGTGAATGGATAAGACAAATAGCGTCTGCCATCGGGAACGGGCGCCTTCTTTTAGCCGAAAAATTTCCGAAAATTGCCTATAACTTCCGATTCCGCCAGCGCAAAGTTAGAAACCTTTAGCATCCGATTTCCACCATGAGCACAATAGATTCATCCAGAGCGCTCGGCGATGCATAATTTAGCTTTGCGTGCAGGCAAACGCCGATTACGTTTTTTCCCCGAACACTTTGTGGATATTCGATGTACTCGCGTAACACAAATAATCTCATACCCACGACGAATGATCTCGAACATTCCGGACACTCCAATCGAAAGCGTCTTGTCCACCCATCCTCCGGGACTGAGGAGTTTACTGATGCCACGTCTGAAATATAATCGTAAGAATAAAAATGTTTAGTTTCCGTTGCTTCCCCCCAAATCCGTTGTGTGCAGTGCCGCCGCGCATGCGCAGATGTCAAGTGCGTGCGCCGTGACGTCAGAGGCGTGCGTTAGCGTACACCAACGTTATTAGATTAGCTCAGTTACGGAACTGCTCATAGGCGCCGCATACACGAACAGTACCCCCCTTCACTCACAGCGACTCGCCAAGCGTCGCTCGACGCGCCGCCAGACGGCTACTTTGGTAACTGAATCAGGATACGTACGTTTCAACGTTACTAGAAACGTAAAAACCAACGGAAAAAAACTCTTTTTGTAGTAACTTTTATTGGAGTTTAGTACAAAATGGGGGGCGCGTGATGTTTTCTCAAATCTTTAGATTGCAAGGTTTTGCAGTACAATTAATATTGTTTTCATACAACCATGACTCAGCGGCCATTTCAGGTAGCACGTCCCGACCTATAGGCTCATCTTAACTTCGGGCAATTTCGCGGCGCGCCCGCTGGGGACACGGGGGTAGCATCCCTGTTACCTCTTTCTATTGTATCTCTTTCGGCTCCGAAATGGCCGATTGAAGCCAAAATAGGTGTTACGTGCAGTTCCTTGAGTGACCGCTGCGGGATAAATGGCGGCGTTGTGATCGCCATTTGGCGCTTCAGCCGGGCTCTTGGAAACGAATAGTTATGAAACGAAAATGTAGATGGCACTTCGATCGACGCTTGGCGGATTGGGGTGAGTGAGGGGGGGTACCCCTCTCCACGGGAGTTCCACAACTGAGGTAATCTAATAACGTTGGCGTACACCAAGTCACTGAATGCTGAAGAAGCGCACAGCGTGGCTAATACTTCGTTCACGCCTTTTTGCTTCGCGATTCGCTCTTGGGCGTTCTTATCGAGTCTATAGTGAAGCATTGTAACTGCCTGCATAGCGTTCATATGTGACGCTCAACATTCGTCACGTCCAGCATTTCTAAAAGGGGCGCTAAACTACTTTTTGTGGTAGTCTATTTATGGTCAGAACTCAGTCTATGGGCCCTAGGCGTCATTAAAAATTAAACATGACATTAACGCGTAGCCGATTTTTCTATTAAAATCGTAATCAAAGATTGATTGCCCTGGTACTATCATTGAAACCAGATGGCGCAACCGGAAGAGGAAACTAACTTTAGCGTCCTATGGCGCCCTCTGGTGTCCGCAATAGTTCCGAGGTAGTCGACCTTTGATAACCACAGGCATAACTAGATTTTTTTTAGGATGTTTATAGCTTATATATTATGTTATGACCATAAATAGACTATCGCGGAAAGTGGTTTAGTGGCCCCTTTAGCTTGCTGGGACTCTAGAGCATGAAAGTTCATCAGTTAATCCCTGTCCTTAAGGTTTTCTGCTACAGTTTATCTTTATCCAAAGCAGTGGATCTCCGCTGGTATTGTAAGTAGTATTCTTTCGGTACCTCGTTCATGTCACTATACACGACAAATGGACGACTCACGAGTTGATGGCGATCAGAAAGAGGAAGTGGGGCGCCATGAGCTTGAAGAGAGGGTGAGAGGGACTCAGGTTCCGATGGGTACAGACGGTCACGCCCTCCATGAGGAGGTGGGTGAACCCTGAAACACCGCAAGAGGACGTGTTGAATAGACTCGTGTTTTATTCTTGTCGGATCGAAACAGATCTGCCTATCTTATCACTCTTAATGAAATAGAAAGGCGCCTGTAAGTATTACTATACCGAACTAAAGAAGTAATTTTAGTAGTTTTACAATAATCTTTGAATTAATCAATCGCCTTCAATTGTATTATTACTATTAGATAATCTGAATAATTGATTGGCGTATTAGTACGATTATGATGCCGAGCCCGGCTGTTCGGTCGTTAAAAGCCGGTCAAACAAAGGGAAATTAAGCTATGTGAAGAAATGGGTCTTGACAGACTAAAGTCCTCAGTACAGCGGGAGAAATGTGTGTTCTTCTCTGTTAAGGTATACAAAGGCTATGCCGTTAAGAACAAAAGTATCTCAAAAAAGATCTTGGGAACTACACATGGCGTCGTACCTACAGCGACACCTTGCAAATCTGGATCTGCTACACCCCTTCCGGGTAACTCAGGGAGTGTTGTAGAGTTTTTGAAGGAACACGACCCAGGCTCGTGCGATGCGTATCATTTGATATTGAAGACGCGTATTGTGCGATGCTGCATAAAATTTTTCTAGAGGCAGTAAAAGAGTGCATCGAGTCTTACGGATCAATCGCTTTTCAAAATGCATGTGCAGTAAGTGTGGAAAGCTGTCTGGAACTGGTATGGTTCTATTTGTAGGCTATCTTTATCGTATTTAGAGAGGAACAGTTTGCACAGAAACAAGGAGTGTGTATAGGACCGAGTGTGGCGCTAATACTGAGTGACATTTTTTTAGCGAGATGTGATAGAGGAATCAACAGCAGCCTTGGAGAAAAAATCCGTGTTTATCAGTACGTTGATGATTATCTGGTCCTGTTTCGGGGGGATTCCGAACTCAGTCGGGAGGTGATGATAACAGAAATGTTAGGAAAATTTAAAGTGCGTTTTTGTGGGTTGAAATTCACAAAAAAGGACAGAGGGGAAGGCGGTATGCAGTACATGGACCTAAAGCAAGTGTTTGGTTCTACTGCCCCAGAAGTAAGAAAGGAGTAGTATTTCCAAATGATCCTGTCACTCAAAGGTGGTGAAGAGAGGCACACTGGGAAGTTGCCTACGGGCAGCGTTATCAAAGCCGTGCGAGCGTAAAATGATGGCAAGTTTTGGCTCTCAGGTAAAGAGCATAATTGGAAGTGGTCATCCTCGAAACCTTCCGGTGATGGTCATAGAAGGTATTTTAAAAAGACTTCGGAGCAAGGGGGAACACGTCAGAAAAAAGCCTATAACGAAACCAGTGGTGTAACCTTATATACATAAGGTGGCTCACAGACTTAAGAAAGTTGGACAAAGACATAACGGTAGTGTTCACGGCTCCGTTAAAATCGAGACGCCTTTGTGCAAAAGTTATCAAAGGAAGGCAGAGCGTTAAGGTACGTAAAAAAAACCACCGAAAGAAAAATAGATTCGTCAAGTGCCAAGTGGGTGTTGTGTACCAGATACAGTTGACGTGTGAAAGAGTTTATATCGGACATAGTGGTAGATGTGTTAATAAAAGACTATGGAACATGCCCAGTCTGGTAATTCACTGTGATAGGAATGGATGCAGTCCAATATTAGAGAAAACGACGATGCTGGGTAGGCATTAAATTAAGATGACAAGAGAAATTTCGGAGGCGTATTTTATTTCACGGTGCGAGGATGGAAGCTGTGTCAGTGTGCCGTCTATAGCTTTATATGACAAGGAACTCATGTTTCTCCGGGATTTCGACAAGTGTTAAAAACATGGATGACGGCGTATGTTTATGAATGTTTTGAGTATCACAACGAACTTCAGTTTATTTTCAATAATAAAAAAAAAACAGTTGTAATTCAGCGCTTTGTCTGTGTGCATGCATCATCTCATCCCCCTTTCGTCTTCACGCTGTTTTTACTTTTCACAAAAGAAATCCGCATCCATATTTGGCTAATATTGTGACCTGATTTCAACAAATCAGAGGTAAGAGTAATACCCTGTACATCACAAGCGAGAATACATTACACTCCGCTCATCTGCATCGGACGGCAAACCTACAGCGTCAAATCCTCCCCATGCGCTGTTAGCACCTCATGTCCAAAAGAGCTAATCTGCGTCGCTCTGTCTGGAGAACCTAGATGTAAGATAGGAAGCAACTCGAACCATGAAGAGTGTTCGCAATTTTATGGCGGACGCCTTCTGCGCAGATTGGTCGTAAGTCCGCATGCACTGCGTTGTCACATTGGAGGGAGCAGAGCGAGACAGGGAAGGCGGCGGCGCTTGTAGACGATCAACGTTTTTGTCACCCCCTCGCAGTTCGTATTGCAAACGGAGCTTATGAACCACGTGACCTCGATCGGGCAGTTTGAAACGCTCTGGAATCCAGGCACGCCGTGTCTGCGATCCGAGGGTAAGTGTTACCGTTGGCGCACCGAAACACCTGGTCCGCCGAGGCAGCCGAGACAGTTGCCTCTAGTGGCGCTAGAGAAGCTCCCGACGATAGATGGCGCCAGTCACCCCCCAAAAATTCAAAGAATAACCACGAGGCTGCTGCGCGTCCAGCCGTTCAAGCTATGCAATACCTGTCCGCGCCAAGGCCATTCGACTTTCCTCAATAAGTATTCAGTAACGAGGACCTACTCTCTGTGAAAGCAATTTCGAGTTGAGGGCAGTTCTGATGTGATCCTCCGCGTCGCACTGTCATATCACATTGCACTGTCATGTCATAGAGCCGTATCAAACATTTTGCAGAATCCTCTGCTGCGAGTTCTCCCGTCATATTTGTAACGCGTTGAACTTTACCTAAATGGGAGCACGACTGGTGATAGCAGGCATCCGAGTTGTTGTAGAACATCTTGGCAACGATCCACGTGTAGGGAGGGTCGGATGGCAGAAAGACCTGCAACAATGTTTTATAGCGTGTTAGAACGCGAGGTCTAGTTGTTCCCAGTATCCCTCGTGATTAAAATTCAACGAAGCCACCTTGTCTTCTTTAGACTATGACCACTGATAACTTAAGAAACATAGGGTGTGTCTTATCATGTTTACGCTTATTGCTTTGTGATTCCTTCTTCAGAGTTCTGACAGGCACTAGCCCATAAGAACGCTGACTGTCAACCTCAGCGACCGCGGAGCGACGCTAGGTGGCGCAAGCTACCGGCTGTCATCAAGAGTGCAACCATTAGCACCCATCCATCTAACACTAATACGCTCGGGAGGCGGCACGCCTCACGTTTCTAAAGATGTCGGCGACGTCCAGGGCTTACCGGATTGTCGAGTGCCTTCTGCTGCCTCAGCTGGATGGCGATGGGCATGAGGTCGTTGCGCTTGTTCAGGAAGAACAGTGCCATGGCACCACCCAGCTGGGAGAGAAGGATGAGTTCATGGCGCACTAAAGAGATTTGCGATTTGTGTTTGTTGTCAAAGGAGTTATTGTCCCGTGGCGTATACCAGGGAGCAACCAAACCCCGAATTGTTCTCATCAAAATTGGGGAAAACACCAAATAAAGCCTGTCCTCAAGTAAACAAGAAAAAATATTTAGAGTTTTGTGAGAAGAAAATTTTATCTACAATAACCTGAAACGTGTTGACCTGAAACACGGCCTGCCTTAAACTGCCCGCGAATTAACTTCTTTTCTTTTTATCGGAAAAAAGGGGGGGGGGGGGGGTGGAGAACCACACTTCTTTCCTCGTTTTTTCTTTTATCAAGACCGCGACGTTTTTTTTTTTGTTTTTTTTTTCAAGTTTTTAAGCTTAAGGTACTCTGGTCAGACAAGAAAATAAAGTATTTACGCATGTTTGAAGCACATAGGTACGTGTGAAGCAAACATACTCGAACATCCTTGAAGCCCGTCCGCAGATAACTATATCATCGTGTCTGCAGCAAACGCAGTGTCTTGTGTGTGATGTATACGCGCAGGGTGACCGCTACTTTAAACATTGTTTAAACAAACCATTTAAACGTTGTTGTTGTTGTTGTTGTTGTTTTTTACAGCGGATCTGTTAAGGGCTAGTCTCCCCAGGATCATGTCCCCCGCAAAGAAATGAAGACACCGAACTCTGGACACCTACCGCCATCTATGAGCGACGGCGGAAAGTCACGTACCTGGCTGCCACCGTCGCTCATAGATGGCGGCAGCCTTTGCACTCTGGCTTGCCGACTTGCGGCCGGTCATTACTTTCCATTGTACAGCTCCTCTGGTCTTCCTTCTTCACTAGAGTGGGAAGGGTGAAAGGCCTTTTTTTTTTTTTTTTAAGGAAACGTTGAATTTTCTGAAACGACGGTTGCGTCGTATGTTTACCCACCATTTCGCCGTTTATTAGCGGGACGTCTTCGACGATCCCGACGTCTGTCATGAAGATCTTGTTGGCCCGCAAGGCGTCGTTCAAACTCATGCCTTCCAAGAAAGGCTCCACCATGTAGTCTTCTACGCCAAACCTACACGTGCAATGAAAAAAAAAAGGGGGGTCATCAGTCACAATGTAATTCCAGTAACTAGAGAGTTTAGTTTTAGGGAACCGTTTTTGCACATCCTATACGGTGTACGATAAGCCTTCCGATACCAACAGCGCTTGCGCGAGTCCTCTGTGGTAGCGCGCGTGCAGTTCGTACCGGCCGAGGGCCCATCGCATAGCTAAACGTATAGTGGCGCGAGACTGGTTTTTAAGCCTCTTGCGACGGCGTAGGAACAGATGTGCTGCTACGGAGCAGGCCCTAAGCCGTCAGAATTGGCTTAAAAACCGGTCTCGTCTTAGTCGGTTCTACTGGGTCGCATGTGTGTGAACGAGCCTTTAAAGGAACATTGAACTAAAAGTGCCTGGACTAGAAGACGTACGTCATAAAACTATTTTTTTTTTTCAGAGAAAAATGCTAGCGCAATATTTGTGCCATCAGAATCATTTGAAGTGATCACTCAAAGTGAGGAGTGATTCACACTACGGTGGTTCGATTTTGGCCGCCGTCCTGAAATAAAAGTCCGATTGTCCCGTTCGGTCCTTCCTTGACGACGTCACACCCGATTTCATTAGATAGCTCTATCTTATTTCGGTGTTACGCGTGACATGATGAAATATTTTCTTAAGGGCGCGATTATGAAATGGTACGTACGCCAACTTAAATTAGCATCGTGACGTGTTTCTTTTTTTCATGCTGGCCAATATGTAAATAATGGTAATGTAGTGAAAGGGAGTACATAAATAAATTCTGCGCATAAAATGAACTTACTTTTCTGGGATTTCGTTGCAGAGGCGGATCATGAAGGGGTTCACACCCTGCACTCTTTGGAGTCCGAACCACCGGTCCTCGTTCCAGTGGTCGAGGCTCTGCAGAACAATTGAAAGACGGCTGCAGCTGCTATAAATGTATTTTATTTGTCTTTTGTGCCTATCTAGGTCATACATTAGCCGTATACTAGATTAGGAAATGGAAATGACTGGAAGTATTAGCATCGTGGAGACACCTTCTGTTTTGAGTGAATCCTACAATATGCAAGCGAAAGTTTTTTCGTTTTTTTTTTTTTGTTTAGTTATTTCTCGATTAGGTTAAGTTTTAGTTAAGCTTTTTTTAAGTTAAGATTAAGTTTGACAGTCAGTTGGGGTAATTTTATAACCTCAAAGATGTTCGTCGCTGTTTTAACCCATTTTTTGGCAAGTACTCAGAGCGCCGCTTTCGATACAAATATAATAAATCTTGCTCACCGCCAAAAAAAAAAAAAAAAAAAAAAAAAAAACGGCGCTATAATGACTGATTACCTTCCTTAACAACTAAACACGGGTAAGACGACTTTGTGGCGAACATGTGATCTCCCACGAGTGATTTCAACCTAATATTATAATGGGGGCTACCTTTGGTTCGCCGAGGCTGTACTTGTAGACCCGCCTGAGGTCGTCCATTGACTCCCAGTGCTGAACCTTGATCTTGATGAGCTTGGTTTCGACCATCATTCGAGCCTTCATCGATATGATGTCCCACTAAAAACATCACACGGACAAATAATCACTTTATACTACTTTGATTTGTCTGCAGAGGGTACTCTTGAGGTCCAGCTTAAGATTCAGACTTAAGCCACATATAACCATGTAATCAGACAATAATAAAAAACTGACAATTCTAATATTGACTAAAGCACGAAACAACATTAGAAAAAAAAACATTGCAATAAGAACTGAGTAAAGCATTGTCACAATAATTATTATATTATATTTCTAAGATTTTTGTTCCACTTTTTTGTTTTTCTATCACAGGATTGGCGGTGTGTTAAGGCCCTGTACATAAAACAAAAAAAGAGAGTTCAGCCGCATTCATGTCCAGCACTTTTTGTTTTGTGTTTAGAGACAATATTCCCTGTATTCTGCGTCCAATTTTAGTATGTAGAAATCACATTCCTTCGTAAATGCGATGTTTACAGTTCAGTCATCGCAGGTTTTGTCCTTAGGCTAAGAAGGATATGCGTGCAAACTGTAGGGGCAGTGTATAAACACCGATCATTACTAGAACTCAGTCCCGTATGGACCCTTAAGCGAGGATCACGATGCACTCGAATAAAGTCTGTGTGTTCAGTTTTCTGCAGAACATGAAAACCGCCACTCAGGGCAAATAATAGAAGAATTCCAGCCTAAATGACGACGCTCAAAATACGATTAGAATCAAAAATGCAGCGTGCACAAGAGACCTTGAGCATAACGTTTCAGTTGCTGGTTGAACAAACAAAGAACAAATGTCCCTAGGGACTAGGGACATTTGTTCTTTCAATTTCTAAATCGTATTCGGTGCAGCGTCATTCACTCGAAGACTGCTAGTGTTTGCCGTGATTGAACGTGTCCGTGTTCTACATAAGGGTGGACTCAAACTTTGTCTAATCTCAAGTTTGGTTGCCCTTACCTTGTACTCGTTCGTGAACCTCTCGTCCTCTGGAAGCTGATAGCTCTAGAAAAAAGAAAAGAAAAAAAAAAAAAAAAGGAAGTGCCATGAGTAAGTTACAACAAGGATTATTTCGCTATTCTGACTTTTGATCATGATATCACATGGGCCAAAAAGCCGTTCTACTCAAAGCAATAAACAGATTAAAGACTAAGATATTTGAAACCGAACGTATTCTGACGCGCTCCTTAGAAGCTAAGAACGCACATCCATCATTGTGGACGCTCTCCAGAAGAATTCGATCTTCGTCTTCATGCGCAAACTAACGTTGGCAAACAATCTCGCAAACTTCATTTCCTCCCCAATATCCGTTCGGAAGCTCTTAGCGAAACTTTCGTACGTTCGCTTCATAATATTTGTGTGTTTTGGAAAGCGCCCCGAAGGAATAATGAGTTTTTATCCTCTTTCACGTAGAGCGGCCCGCAGCCGGGAATCAATTTTGCATTTCTGTTAGTGCTGCAGCTATTGCGTCGGGTAATGGTGTTCAACTTTCATGTTACGTATCTCTCTCCACTCTTTCCTGACGTGGCAGGTAAACTAAATGAAACCAAATACTTTACTATGGGAATATAACTCACTCCGCGAAAATTCAATGGCCACGGCGTAGACAATTTTTACGTAGTTCAAACGGCTGGACGCGCTGCAGCCTCGGGGTCTCCCTTTGACTTGGGAGGGGCAGCTGGCGCCATCTATCGGTGGTAGCTTCTCCAGCCCCAATTGCGACAGAAGTCTCCAATGACTCGTCGACCATCTCCCTAGGAGCGCGGAAAGCGTGATATGCATGTGTTGTCTCGAATCCAAGACGCCCACACCACAAGGGGAGTTATTGGCGCTGTAGACGCACTGACTAATGCAAATGAGCCGAGGGGAATGCATTCTCTCTAGTAAAGTATTGGTGAAACCCAGAATCGTATACTGAGAGATAGAGAGAGAAAGAGATAGATAGAGAGGCCATTCATTTTAAATAGTGGCATAAAAAATGGAGAAAAACAATTCGCGAACGCTCGTTGGGCACATACGCGAGCTTATCTTCGGGTCAACCGCAGGCCGCGACTAATTCCCTGGCGCTGGCGGCGAGCACAGACCGGACGGCCTAAACGGGATGACTTCGTTTTACTGTCGTTGGAGTTGAACGAGGTAACCCTTGGTGACTGAAAAAGCGGCGCGCCTCTAGTCGTGGTAATGGGCGTGTTCAACACTGGAATAAACAAATGCAGAGAGCACTCGTCAGCCTGCTTGTAGAACATCATTAGAGCCTCCAGGTCATCTTGAACATCACCAACTGGTCACAAAAACCAAAGAGCATGATTTGTGCGAATGTCCGGTTCTCGGGAACACCCTGCGTGGGTCAGGTATTCGCAAAAGTCGGTCTTCGTCGGCCAGCGACACTCTACTTTGTTTCATCCTATGTCCAGGCGCAGGCTACATTCGAAGGCAATGGGACCAATCAAGCAGTGTGAAAAGCGCAAGCACTAGGTTTTTTCTGTTCATGATATGCTCAGCGATGATAGAACACGTACAGAAACATGACGCACACCATGATTGTGCGCTTTTGACGCTGTTTGATTAGTCCCATCAGCTGATAGTGTCAGCTGTGTCTGGACTTGCAGTGAAATGAAGTACAGGGGCCGGGGATCAAAGTCTGGTTTTAAACAGACTTCTTTTTTTTTCTTTTTTTTTTTTGTCCTTTGTTCTGTGCAACGTACACGATATTGATGCCCTGTCTCACCTGAGACGGTCCGTCAGGGATCCACGTCTTGTAGCGGTACTTCTTGCGTTTCCGCTGGAGTTCTTCCCTTCGCTGATTCTGGTGGGCGTCGGCGTGGGGCAGGACGCAGTCATAGAGCGACAGGAAGAGGTGTTGGTCCGCGGGCACCCACCGGTGGAACGGGAACACGTACAGTTCCCCGGAGAAGAGCTCCTGGATCTCGATGCGGTCCAGGAACCATGCGTGGCCGAAGCCGAAGCTGTCACGCCATACTTCCACCTGGACGAGGTCATTTGGGTGCAGGGGTTCAGTCCTCGACAACTTTAGAGCGCAGGGCGTAATAAGTCCCGTACATTTCATTATCACTCCACAAGCGATCAGATTGCGGCATTGGACGATAAGAACGCCAAAGAACCAACCACGAAGTAAGAAGCGAGAAGATGCCACGTAATGCGTTTTTCACTATATGGGTGACAATATGTCATATTTGTGTGTTCAGATACAAAACTAACGGATGCATCTGGTACAGCCTAGCGAAGGACTGCGGATTCATTTCAATTACCTGGGAGTCCTGCGACATGCAACCGAAATCTCGGCTGCCATGTGAAGCTTTTTCAGCAATGGGCCTTTATCAGAGAGTGTACACTTCGGCAAGTAATCGAGATCGCGAACAGTACCATTGCTACTTCCACGTGGGAAAGGTTATTTGGTGCCCCGGGGGGGGGGGGGGGGGGGGATTATAGTGTTTAGCAGGTTAAGAATAACGGCACAAGCCTCTCCAACAGAACCCTCCACCCTTCCACTTTAGGAGAGCGAATGATGGAAAGGGGACAGTTGGCGTGGAGTGAACCTCTAATCATAGAGATTAGAGAGCACTGTATAGGGGCTTTTCCACACTTTCTTGTTTTGCAGCAGACTTAGCTAGACGCGCCTTATTCAACCATGTTGATAGAAACCGACTTGTCCAGGTGTAGACTGAGGATTGTCTAAAGACAGTAGACCAAGGGTCATTCCCAAACAATCTGGTGCATCATAAAAACCTCACGAAAGCCTCTGCGCTCTTTTCTTCCCAGTTAGAAATGACGTGATACAGTATAGTATGCAGGACGTCATGGAATAATAGAAGTATCCTTCAGAACCCCGTTTTTAAGCCTGGCACCTACAAAAGAAAAAAGAGATAGCTCCGCCTAATGACTATTGCGCCGAGTGGTGCATTGCCTTTGTGGACAGAGCTTATAATGTATCTCTCTTACACACTAAAACAAAAAAAAAAAAAAAATATATATATGCAATTCAGGGAAGGGCAGTATTTCAAATACAAGTATTTGAAATACGTATTTCAAATACTTTGTGTATTTTGCATTTGTATTTAATTACAAATTGGGTAATGTATTTGACGTGTGTATTTAAATACTAAAACGTGGGTATTTCAAATACAATTGTAATTAAATACAATTTTGTGGGCGAAAATACATCCCTCAAATTTACTGTCACTGTCCAGAGCAGTAAGAAAACTACGTTCTGCACCGAATGCGGTATTTCTCAATGAAGCACAAGCGTTCAGTGACTTTGTGATTACGGTGCTAGTCCAGGGCAAGAATAGTGACGAAATCGACGTTCACAGGCAGACTGGCTAAATAAGTGCCTGTGACAACTTGTGATGCTTTCCAGCCTAATTTACATCCATATTTTTGCCTGGAACATTCTAAATGCGCGGGTCGTCCAGATTTTCGTAACTGGTGCGAGTTGCAAGAATAAAAAATTCTCTAGCTAGTGCTGTGCGTCTTGGTCGTCTCGGTTCTTTGTTGGTCTATACCAAAATGTAATCCACAATAAAAGCTGCTTGAAGCTCTGTACTTTTTGCACCTATTACGTCCAAGCTGATTACCGTAAAATCCCGAGAGATAACCCACCTAACATCAAGAGCAAATCAGGTAAAAATATGGAGTGGCCTAACTTTCGGTGTACAATGAAGAAAATTTAAAAACTTACTATTTTTAGGTCATGTTCCTTTCAAGCTTGATAAGGTGGCGAGGGGCAACGAAGCAAAGATAACTGTACTTCCCAGCTGGCAACGTTCGCTTATATTCCGCCATAGCTAACTAGCCGCATTTACGCCGAGGTCATCATTGACCCCAATACTATTATTAGGAGTCTGGGGGTATCTTTCGGTAAAAAATAGCAAATCAAGCCGAAAAATAGGGGTGGGCTATCTTTTGGGGGTGGGGAATCTCTCGGAATTTTACTGTACATTCTTTTGTGATTATATTTCTATTACGTTACTAGAGCCTCGCAGACTAACTCCCGAGTGTGTGATGCAAAATCAAAATGAGATACCCAGAAACCCGTTGCAGGTGCCCTGAAGTCGCTGACGCAAATTTTGAGGAATGTATTTGGAAAAGTATTTGGCGGAGACCAAATACATTTGGTTGTATTTGTATCTTGTAATTAAATGCTTTTTTGGAAATGTAATTAGATTTGTAATTAAATACATTTTTGACGGAGTATTTTGTATTTGTATTTCGATACATATTTGCATGTATTTTGCCCATCCCTGTATACAATTAAGGGACGCGTTCGGTCAGTGATGAAGCCTAATAAACGTTTCGGGTTGAAAACGAAGTGCAGGGTGACGTTGAACCTGATGTTCCGCTGGCTCGTTGTACCTGCCGCACGGGTTCCCGAGCCCTTCCATTTTTGCGTTCTTCGTCGTTCACTATACTTCGTTTCAGCTTCCGTCCGAGCGCAGCCAAAGCTACGTGTGGCCGGAGCCAATCATACGCCGGCAATAGGTCACGCGATCTCGCCTGCACTTTTGTATCACTCCGCTGCACCGCTGGTCGTCCGCGCCGCCCGCGCTCGCCGAGTATTTCGTCTGCTACGGGTGTATCAACGGTATCGTCTGCTACAGGATTAAAAAGTGCCCTTTCACGTTCTGAAGTTTAGTCACAGAGGATGTCAGTACGCAGGCTGGCCCCTGGCGTCTGTGTCCGAGCTTTCCACTTGTTCGGCATTTCGGCATAGTTTCGAGATGTAAGTACACGTTGCAAGGTGCCCGATGACCCGGCCGTTGATGTTTCCTTCTATTGTCTGGATATACCAGAGCTCGAGGCGCAGTCCTTCTCACCAGCTTCTCGGCGTTCAATGTGATCGGCAGGTAAAGGAGTGCCCTGATTTCGCCACGTATCAGTGAACTGTAGTGGCCCGGACGCTTTCCTTGTTTACAACACATTCGCGGTACGACGCAGCCGGAGCCTCCTGCCGAGTTTGAAACTAGATATTCATCACGACCTCTCACGTCTGACGCACAAACGTGCCATTGCGAAAGGGCGTTTTGAAGTGACTCAGTGAGGAAAGCAGCGAAGCACATGATTCGGCCATTACGGGAATGAAATCGCACAGAAAAATCGAGCCCTGCAGCCGTGTTGCCAGTAGGTGTCCGTGTTTTGACCAAACCACATGCATTTACATATATTAATAAAAACATAAACTTAGGATATTTAATCTTTATATTTGCAAATTACTCTCAGCAGTACACATCTGCAATATTGTGCATTACTTACGCACAAAACAGCTATTTAAAAAAAAAAAAAAAAAAAAACTTTTGCGGACTATTTTGTGGTGCGTAGGAATGCTCTTCTCTAAGTTGCGAACCGTCCCTCAGTCTCCGGCTGCGCTCGGAGGGAAGCTGAAACGAAGTATAGACGTGCTCTGTGGATGATAGTGAATGGCTCTTTGCCGCCCTATGCGGGGAGGTATACGTTCAGTCATGCTTGAGAGTCAAGCTTTGCTGCATTGGGTGATACAGGGATCGATTGAGAAAATGAAACCCGGCTTTTCGGCCTGGATCGTAGAAAGGTGAAACTCCGTGAGAATTTGGCGCCAGCGGTGCTGAAAAAAGTCAAAAGTCTGAGCACATGACGTCACATGAATCAAACGATGCAAAAGAAAAACAAAAATTCTGTACGCGTCGACGGCCACCCAAGCCTCATATTCATCAAACGAAACTTTGAGCTTTGGGTGCCTGAAGAAACTATGTCAGTAAAACGAAAATTGCCAGGAAGAAAGAAATGTGTATAATCTTTCTCATTGACAAATGTTTTGTTTTTTCTTTTAAATTTATTATAAACTTTACAGGCGCCAACAATCTCAACTTTCCATTTCATGAATGTTTGTGGCTTGGGTGGACGTCAGCTGGAAAGGAATTTTGTTTTCCCTTTTTTTGGATATTGTGATCTATGTAACGTCATTTACTCCCACATTTCACCCCCACCGCTGGTGTCACATTTTCACGAAGGTTCAGGTTTCTGCGTTGCGTGGTTTACTTGCGCGGGACAAAAAACTGGGTTTCCTGATCTCGAGTCATCCCTGTAGATCACGAAGGTACGCGAAGTAGGCAGTAGGAACTTGAAACAGAAGAACCTTAAAATCACAGAATGGCAGCAAGCGTTTGGCCCATTAGCGTGGCTGATTTGAGCTTAGCGTTCTAGGCTTAGTCTAGTTCTAACGAAAGTTTACGAAACTTATACGCCTACTACGTAGGCGTACCTTAACGAAGTGTCGGCTGGGTTACTGGGATGTCCAGGAAGTTCCATTACAGCAAGTTTAAATAAGGCAACTTGCAACTTCAAAAATATCTTCGCTGCCTGTTTTTTTGTTACCAGCACCATAGCTGTGAGCTAGGTGGATGTTTGCTCTTCTGAATTTTACTGTTCTAAAGCTGCAAAACGCTTTAAAGCGCAATTTATGTTCTCTCTTCGCAAGATAGGCTGGTAAAATATCTCAAATTGCAATCGGGAAACATCGAAATTACTTTGTTGATATATGACAGCACTACCTATAACGAACTATATTATAAACGAAACATTCACTGATATCATATTTTGAGCGATGTTTCACGAATAGAATGTGACAAGTAGAGGGATGGCATCCGGTAAAAAAACTTCCAGGGACAGAGTGCGTGAACTCACCTCGGTGGAAGGGAAAATCCACACGAAAGTAAAGAGGGCGCGCCCACAGAATAGACGGAACCCTAAGTACCACCTACCACTTCTAAGTTCCCTCTTTTCTGGATAAAATCTAAGAAACCGCGCCGGGAAAACCGACTGACAGCGACAGTACTGTGAGTCATCCTCAAGCCCTTCCAGTCACTGTGTCTACGGCGGAAATGGTTCCAGGGCAAACGCCGCTCGCGCAGGATACGAGCGAAAGTGACCGTGAATTTCTGTCATTATTGAGTTCGTGCGAGCGATGCGTGTTTCCTCGGTTGACCTTGAGGCTTATTTTTTGTAGGGTGTCTTTGTGCGGAGAAAGCGTTGACTCAAAGGACAACCAGAAGGATGGAGCGACGATACGTATTATACGCAATGCTACCGTAGTACCTATGGGAACAGGTTCAGCAGAATTAAACCAATTTAGGTTTAAGGCTCCGGTTCCAGGGCGGTCACTTTGAAATTGCTTCAAAACAAATGTTAGTTTATTACAAAAATAAATATACATACTCAAAAGTTGCTTTGCTAGCCTATTCTTTATAGTCACGGGGATTCCACTGCAAGCTATTACTGCCAAGGAATATTTTTTTTAAGATATTGCGAATAAACATTGCCACGGGCTTTTTATTTTTCTCCTAGAGTATTACTTTTATGAGGGTAATAAATTTACACTGCATACTCGAATCTATAATAACGAATCGAACTGGAACTTTTCAGTAATAAGTACTTCTAACAGTGATTCACTTCGTTGCATTGAACGAACATTGGTACCGCAGAGCTGTGGCCCTAATCTATACGGCGGGATCAAGCGGAACCGAAAGACCGGGACATCCCCGCCTGCTACGATTGGGCAGCACTGCGGAGCTGGTCAATCACCACAAGTGGCGATGTTACGTACTCTCCCGGTCCCGCTTGGTCCCGCCGTGTAGATTAGGGCCCCTGTAGTACCTTTTGTTTCCTCAAGCATTACGTACTTCAGGAAAATTTCAAACTATCAGCTTCCATTTCGTTTTTTAGTTAATACCCGCCGTTTCTTTTTTAAGTTTTCTTGAAAGTACGTGCGCTAGTCTCTATAGCGCAGAAAATACGACGGTTGGTAAAAGAGTACAAAAAAAAAGATTCCAGCGGAATTATCTCGTAAAAGGAAATCAAGGTACATACCTTGGAAACGGCCCCAAAGTTGAGGATGGGCTTGACCGAAAACGAAGACGTCTCCCCTCGTTCGTGGTCGTTCTTGAAGGTGTGGTTCAGCGTGATGATGTTCGACTTGTGGCCGGCGTCGTCGTGCAGACGCATCCAGACATTGGCGTCCGTGCCGGCACCCTTGCGGTCGCCCGTTATGACGAAGATCCTGAACCCTGCTTCGGTGAGCGAGTCCATCCTGGTCAGCACGGGACCCATGGCTGCTTCGAGTGCTGAAGCGGCGGCCGCCGCTGTGGCCACTGACGACGCCTTGCGTTTAGAATCGACCGATGTGGACGATGCTGAACGGAGGAGTGCAGCGGCTGTTACGACGTCCTCCGGGGGAATGATTGGCGAGGTGGCTGCCGCGAAGGCGGATGTGATTGCTGAAGTCACCACTTCGGGACTCCTGGTACCAGGGTCCTGTGGAGGCGAGACTCGCTTCTCTGCGAATGAAGATAGTGGAAAAGTTTAGGCGGCTGGTTTGCTTCAATATTATCAGCGACTCTAGTCATCAGTAGTCATAGTCTTTTTTTTAGGGTATCAAGACAACTGTTTGCTACATTGTGTAAAAGTAGCAGACCGTCAGCAATCATTCGTTCTATTGTAAGACATCTTTTTACCGTATATTATTACCATATTAAGCCGATGCATTTACGTCTGGGAAACACAGGAACATCGTAGCCGTTACAAATAAATACAAAGTACTGGTGCTGAAACAACTTGTTTCTAATCAATCCTTTTTATAAATGAAACCAGCTTTGGCTACTTTACGGTCATTTCCGAAGCATAGTAAATAGCACTGAAGTACCGAGAAGTCGGAACACCAATATGAAAAGAGAACATCTCTAACGTATTCGTATCAGCTGATTTTGTTGATGCAACTCACAGTTTGTAAGAAGCGTGCCTGAAGGTGCTGCAACTCCTACCTTTTCGGTAATACGTGGTTTTTCAAGTGTGGTCGCGAGCCAAGCGGACCGCCGTCTCTTTAAAGACAAGGGCAGGAATCATCGGACCGCACCGGATATCGTGAGAAGGGGAAATACCCCGGTCGGTCAGACGTCAGCAACATCTGCTTCGGGAATATCGTAATTCAGAAATGCTCGCGCATAGCTCCGACGAATTCAAGGGCTGCGCGGACTGCGCATTCAACTGCGTCCTTATACACATTCAGTAGGAAAAAATTACAGAGTACGTAGCGAGCGGCTCCTTCCCGTTGTATAAAACAGGGGTTCTTAGTTTTCAAATACCGTTAAGGAGCAAGCAGTTTGCCCAGTGGCATTGTTTGGTGATTTCCTGTATTCTGAGTAGAACGGATGGTTTCCTGCAGTTTTAATGAAGCTATGAAGGTGTCTTTTTTTTTTCTTTGGGGCACTGAATTCTATAGTGAATTCCATCGTCAAGTCTACGAGCTATTTCTGGTCACCATTTGTACCCTTGAAGACTCTTAGAGGATGATTGCTCAGCACGCTAACAGGGATGCCTTGCCAGTCTCTGAGCAGCAGATATTTGGGCCACATTAACCAGCCTGGACGCGTAGTTCCAAAACATACCTTCTACAGATGCGGCGCAATTGTTTCCACGAAAGTTACAATGAAGACGTCAATAGATGTCGATAGACGCTATCAGATGCAGCTTGTTTTTCAAGAAACTAATTGGCCCTTTCATTCTTATTCCTAAATCAACGTCTCGAGGCACACGGACTCCGAGGATCCGGCTTCGAATTTTGCGAATTTGTTAATCCGGCTTAGTTGGCATTACTTCCGCACTATCGTGTGTGCGAGTCTTCCTTGTGAAGATGGCTCTTAACGCTCATTTGTTGTAAGAATTAAGTCGTGTTCAGTGGCCCATCTTCGATTCAAATAAAGTAGTGTATACAGCAGGTTATTTCTTGCCATTACATGGCATCATCCGCCGCTCGATGGAATACTGTATAATATTAGGCAAGCTTCGTGGTGCGTTTCAGACATTTAATTAAGTGCAAAACTAAATCCGTGGATTAGACTAAGTTTTTTTTTTTTTTTCACTTTAAACGGTAACATTTTAGAACGTAGCCTCACAACGTAAGGATGGTGTAGCCGTGAAAACACATTCTATCCGTGATGTGAAGTAATGGTGTCGTTTATTATAATCACTAACATCTTAAGAAACGCATAAATGAATCATGGTAATATCGGAGGAATCGTGCCAGAAAGTAAGGCGTAAAATAAACCCCGAGTCAAAGAAATAAAAACGAAAAGAACGGACAACACGACACAAAAATGTCGAGTTGCCCGTGTTTTTTCATGTTTCCTATCCAGCTGGCTTGCATTCTTTTTCTTGTAAACTCCCCTTGTTCGCACTAAGCGCAAAAAGAGAAGAAAAAAAATTAAAACGACACCCATTTTCCTTCGTATACTTTCTATTTTATATTCGTAAAACCAAGAACCTAAACTTCGTCATGTAGTAAACACGAGGATTTTTTGTTCATAAATTTACTTACAAGCCAAACGAGAGCGAGCAAACGGCGTTATACATCCTCGCAAAAGTCACGTTTTAGAGTATAAGGAACAGAAACAATACTCGCGTGATACAGATATAAAGAACAAAACTTGCAAAATTTTTCCATTTCTGTTTTTTCCCGTTTGTTAAATCATGGCCACGAGTAAATCGTACCTCCTCCAGAACACCAACGACTATGTACGATATGTTGCCCGGAAATATAGTTTGGTTCCAGTTTTCCGTTTGACAGAAACGCCATATCTTAAATGTGCTCTACGTGTCGCGGCACGGTCGTTTTCCCAATCATGGCGGCTCAGGTGTGTTCTCTCTACCCTCACAGCGCGTTACTTTAGGGCCCCGTTCATACGAAGAAATTTTGCAATCTGAATCGTGTAACTTTCAAACTTCTTTAAAAACTTACACAGATTATGGATGGGGGTTCTAGAGTACAGTGGATCGAAGATTACCAACGTTATTGAAATTACTCAGTTGGGTAACTGCCAGACTGCTCTGAAAGAGTGGCACGGACCCGTACTCGAGAACCGAGCTAATGGCGATCGCAACGCCGCCATTTCTCCCTCAGCGGCCACTCGAGGAACTGCACGTGACCCCTATTCTGGCTTTAAATGGCCGATTTGGCGCCGAAAAAGGTACGGTGGAAGGGGTTTCGGGGATGTTTAGAAAAAGTTTATTGACATAAAATCAATGGCACTGCACTTATAATATACACACTGGTCTTCAAGCTTGTTGACAGTATTTGGACCCTTCGATACAATGACACACTTTACACAGGATCTGAAACAGCATCTTATCCTTCACGCAAAAATAGCGTACCAAAAACACTGATTCAAGCAAAAATGACCGCATCTCCACGTGGTGAGTGATGTTGATTGGGGCAAAGCTCTGGTGGTGCTGATGATACTGATTTTGTTCATAGGTAGTGCTGATGGCGCTCATTTTTTTCCATGTCAGAAAGAGAATGTGTGATATGGATCGTGGTTATATACGCAGTTGAGCATTTGACTGCACACCCTCTCGTCTATAAACGTTGAGCCAATGCATGCAAAGTTTAATGCGATTATACACGCATTTGACCGCAGCGCCCTCTCCTGTATAGATGTTGAGCTGCTACATGCAACGTTTCATCCATGACATCCCCAGCTCTTGAGTTACTACCACATCTCAGAGCCCCCCACTCGTCCCGCAGTCGTGGCCGAGTGGTTAAGGCGATGGACTAGAAATTCATTGGAGTCTCCCCGCATAGGTAAAAATCCTGTCGACTGCGCAAACATTTTTTCTTTTTTTAAAAAGACAGATGGGATGGCAATCGATGTGAGCACGGACGCCGGACGGACAAGGCTAGACCCTAAGGAGCTTGGCCCCTAAAACGGAATACGTGAGAAGAGACAAAAACGTCAAACTCGGATGCCGTTTCAGGAAAGGTCCCATCACACCAAGGGAAGTGGCGTGAAAGAAAGAAGGATTCGACCATGGGCCAACCGGACGTAGAGGCAGGACCATCGTCTCAGGAACTCCGGCTCTCCCAGCCAAAAACGTTTGCGCTCTAAATAGCGGTAAAAAGTACCTCGAAGACGGGACAGCAGAGGCCCCATGGCTCGCGTACAACGCTGCCTGCCCACAGCAGCACAACGATTCTGCCAAAGCGCATGCTGGCCGACTGCGAAGAGGAGGAGGGCTAAGCCTCCTCGAGGATAGCGGCGGCCTGAGACCTAGTGCACGATGTCCAGAGTGCGAAAACCATGGCGCACGAGACGCCAAAATGATCGTGCAACGCTGCAAGTCGCAAAAACGTGGGAGTTCGTCTCCACTTCTCTGCAATTCGGGCACCAGGAATCAGGCACCATGCCACAACGTTGCAGACGATCCCTTGTCGGAAGAACCTCCCACCCTCGACGCCACTTGAGGTCGTCCACGGGTCCAGGAAGACGGCGGGAAACCAAGGAGTCCCACGGAAAAGCGTTTGCCCGTACTCGCTCATCAGCTGTGATCCGCGTCAAGCAGACCTCCTCAACTATACGAGCCGGTGGCTCGTCTCGCACCATTAGGTCTGGCACCACTGAGCCTAAATCCTCTTGAAAAGTCACCACCATTTGGTAGAAAGGGGGTGTAATTTCAGCGCTCGGGTAGGGGTTGCCTAGGGCCCGAGGTACGAGCCTTCGGCGCGAAGGCCCAAGAAATACAAGGCCATACAGCGCGCCGGGTGTTCTGTGTCGTGAAGCACCCCCAAGATGGTGCGAAGCGCGAGTACTCGCGACTCGGTATCGATACAAGGCATTCCCCTTCCTCCGAGTGACGTCGAGAGGCGGAGGACAGCTCTGGTCACGAGCTTCGTGCCCTGGCTCCAGTAAAACCTAAAAAGGCAGGTCGTTACACGCCGGCAAAACCGAGGTGGAGGGAGGCCGACATGGGCCGCATAGAAAAGTTGGCCGCCAAAGACTGCTCTCACAAGATACCCTCTGCCACGAAGCGACAATGCAAACGTTTCCGCCACGGCAACTTGGCGCTCGAGCGCGGAGTTTATAGTCTCCCACGTGCGTGGCGACACTTCACAACAGTCAAAAAACACTCCTAGGACACGAACCACGGCTACAGTTTGGATGTCTGCATGTAAGGAAGGAGGGGAGCTTTCGAAACGAAGAGCTTGTCTTTTGGAGGTGTTTAAACGCGCTCCCGAAAGGAAACCGTACTCTGAAAAAAGCTGTGCAGCGGACTCAAAGCTCTGCGATTCACGCAAAAACAAACTGACATCGTCGGCGTACGCGCTAACTGCGACATCACCGCGGCCAGGTAACGGAAAGCCGCGTATGCAGGAGCAAGACGCAAGGCGTCGGAGGAGAGGATCCAGGCTTAGGACATAAAGCAGAGGAGACAGGGGGAAACCCTGCCGTACTCCCCTTGTCACGGAAAAGGGAGCAAGGATCCACCCATTTACTTGGAGATGGCT